GCAGAACCAGTTCGACCCGAGTGCACGAGGTTGAAGGTTGCCGGTACGATGTCTGCATATATTGGAGGAGAGCCGGGACTAGCTTGGGAATGAGAGCACGCCACCGGTCGAATGTTTTGTGCGCCTCTGCATCGGGTAGCAGCCGTTTGCTACGCTTGGCTGGGGGTGAGGCATCCGATGGCTCCTGGACAGGGATTTCCTGTTCAAAGGGTTCGGGTTCAAGATCAGGTGGTAGGGCGTCCTCGGGAGGGGGGGGGGGGAGTAGAAGCATGAGATTCTAAAGCACGCAGACGGGCTAGCAGTGCCAATGTACAAGTATCACCTGGACGACTAACTAAGACCTGATCTTTTTTGCCCCCGAGCCGACATTTTTGGGGGGTCAAAAAGTGCGCCCCTGTGCGGGGGATGACCTTCTGGTTATCGCGCGTCCTCGGTGGCTGCGATCGGGGGGGTGTCGCAGGACATGGGAGCAGGTCGTCGCCGATCTGGAGAGTACTAGGTGGCGGCATGGTGAAAGCGAGAATATAGCCGGGCAAGAGAGCATAGGAGCTAATTTGAAATAGCAAAGACATGGCATCAAGATGTAGACAGGTACAAATATGGCGAGGGTACACAGAGGCTGGGGATGGTGGAGCGTCCTAAGGTACGGCGGAGGAGCGTCCCAAGGAGGGCGGGCGGGCGTCTAACCCGCCTCGAGGGTGCGATCAGGCACATGCATATATCCATATCGGGATATAGGCCCTGATCTCCCCCTGGGGATGGTGTTCGTTAGACCCATTTCCCACCGCCCCGATGGGGGTCTACTAGATACCTCCAGGACCTGCCCTAGGTGTGAGGACCTACGTTCATGCTACATCCTGGTGTCGACGCCGGATACGACATGAGACGGGCACGGTTACCCGCCGTCGCGGTCCGTGAATATGTGCAAAAATGAGTGCTTGCTCCGAAATTTGGAGGATATCGCAAGGTAGACTTCAACGAGCGGCCATCGCATACGGGCAAGGACGAAGATGAGCATTCAGATCCAATGCCATAAACCTAACGGGATCTCGGGAGGGGAGCGTGAACATGTAGCGGACTGCTGTGTGCTACCTTCGGCGCACGCGAGGAAGGTAGCTGGCGATCGGGATAAGTAGCTATCCTGGTTTGACCCAAGTAATTACCTCCCGGTCGGTAATTAGCTGGGGATTTATTTCATGATATCTGCTTGAGCCAGTACATCTCCCAGTAATCTTCTGGGTGACAGCGCACCTAAAATGGCTACGGCGATGGTTGTCTCCAGCCTTGTTCAGTCCAAACTTCATTTCATCTCGCGTACAGTCTCAGTGATGGTCCAAGCTTCAGCGCACTTCTCCTAACACAACAGGGGACGCTTCATGCTGTGTTCACCAGAGTCCCTGCAGTATGTCTCCAGCGCTATTAGGACATAGCTAAGGCATGCAAAACATAGCAGGATGTGTCCATGTTATGGGAGAGGTGGGCGTCGTGGCGGGCGTCTGGACTCTGGTCGAGGATGCCGCCGTCTCGATCACTTTGTTTGTCCTCGTATATCGATGATGTCATCCTCCCAACAATCGCATGAGCCAGGTCTTTCGCGCCTCATGTGCGCTCCCGGCTCTCGAACAATTCCATCTCAATTCCGGCGGACATGTCGGGCGCGTGGCTACGCACTTCCAGCTGCCACCGTACGTCGAACAGTATGCACATATCTCAGTTGGCGCCTTCTGCATGCACCGCGTACATCTGCGATAACACAGCTTCCGCTCCATTCATATGCATAATTCGGGAAACACTCTTGGGAAGCCTGTCCGGCGAGAACCGGCAGACGCCGCGTCCCGCTGCACGGCGTGTGAATCTGAACAAGTACTATACGAGTTAGCGGCAATTTTACAAGCCCTGAATATGAGGAGATGTATGCGCTGGGGGAGGAACAAAGAACAACGAGATGCGCACCTCTCGCCTTGGGAGAGCATCTGCAGGATATAGCAGAATATGACCACAACACGATAGGAAGATGCAGCGCGGCCTGTCAGGGTTTCCGAGATTGGTCTAGTTGTCATTGATAACTATTTATCAAGTACAGGAGAGCATGGCGTTCAAATTGAACGGAGAAGCTGTTGAGCATGTCAAGGCGGACAGCCACTACAAGAAAGGTGTCGCATGATGTACAACAACGGGCATCTCGGCGTCTCACTGGATTGAAATATCATACCTGTCTCATCGCATCGCCTGCTCCGTGGCTGGCTTTGCGCATGCCTCAGGCGGAGGGCGCTCACATGTCTGGCAGACCGGCAGGTCAATCTTCGGCCCTCAAGGACTCCATCGACGTGCACCGTGGGTACCACATGCAGCCATCGAACCAGAGAGTGCCGTAGCTACACATAGAGCGTACTTGTAGATTGATGCTGCGTGGCGGGCTTTTAATCGTACACCTGAATGTTCAAATCGAGTAGATCGATGCACGGGGCTGAAGATTCGGGTGTTCCGCGACGCCCACGGAGTCGTTCGCTTATTCCTTTCGTCCGCGCCTCAGACACCTTAGAGGGTGTGTCCAGCATATCCCTCGGAGCGATGCAGCCCGCTCCCCAGCTGTGCGTGTCAGCATGATACGCATATATGATCCATTTCGCACGTCGGCTTGTGAGTCGTTACGACGTCTGCTAGACACTCACCACGTTGGGAGACCGCCCCACAACTATCAAGAAGGGCGCAGCATGACCAGAGTGCATTGTTTGTCTTGACAAGCCGAGCGAGGACCGGGGATCACGCTCTCCCGGGACCCTCGGGATCCTGCGAGGTGAGCTGAGGCGTCGTGTATCACTGAGAGGCACTGAATCATAAGCGCCAGGCACTGGTGTCGTCCGAATATGAATTTCGTTCAAATTCAGAAATTCGATGGAGGAACTCGGAGACGCGCACCTGCAGTGTACCCACGAGGCGCGGCCATTGTGCGATTCCGCGGGAAGTCAGAGCCGAGTAGAACATCTTCCGGTCGACTGCCCGAAATGTCGATAACGAGCCGAGGACATGTAAGAGCATACCTTCGTGGCATTGGTACTGTTATATTCGGATTGTGGTTACGACAGATTCTGAGCAAACATAGCAGACGTTTGAACCAAGGTGATAAACGTATTGTGCAGTGAGTGGCCAGACAAGCAACATCTTCACATTGAGGCCGTGTGGACCCCTGCACCGTGACAGAATTGTAAATATTTCCGCATCGAGGCAACACTCGCCGTGCAGTCTAGGCTCTGTCATGCATATCACATGCCTTAAGCCAAAGTAGGTCTGTCCGTGTTGTCACCGCATGCGCAGTTTGCCTTTGCCTGCAGGGCAACCACCTACCTATCTCGCCGGTGTCCCACTAAAGTGATTGCGGCCTGATGTGAGGGTTCCGCATGGCAGCTGTGACGGAGGGCGTGCGGTTGATGAGGTGCTGAGAGATGGAAGGCTGTGCCTTCACATGGAAACAATCATATCAGCCATACATGTGTTCTCGAGCGGTGAAGGGGCCTCCGATCTCTACAATGAGGCGGCAGGTATCGGAGAATGTGGAACTCACTGAATACATGTTGACATTACACAAGGCACAGCCGCACAACAGCCTCGTTCGTACCCAGATCATCAGAGGGAAGTACAGAAGGATTCATGCTGAGTACGTGTTTTGTGCAATACTGCCCAGATAGGTAGTGAGGTTACTGTACTTATTTTTAAGCCTGTCCAAATATCCCACATACCTACACGAAGAGTCCAGTCGCACATCGCACCGCACCTCACCACGTAGTAACAACAGAGCATTCGATCTGTAGGTCCTCCTAGGCAGCACAGAGAACAGGGAGCTCCCCTTGTTAAAGTATGAGCAGCTTGCAATGGAAGACAGCGAGGAATATTCAGCCAGCGAGGAATCCTTGGCGAGCAAAGAATCTCCGGGTGAGCGAGGTGTCTCTGAGGATAGGAGACAGGCGTATGCCCAGCATCTTGGTGAGCACGAATCCAGAGGCTCTACTATCGCATTTGCCACTCAAACAGCATGCAGATCAGGCAAAGACCTGAGTTGCCTGTGGAACTCTGGATGCACATCTTGGACGATGTTGTGAATGAGCGGAACCACGATGCCATAGCAAGATGCGCGATGGTCTGCCGATTCTTCCAGCACATGTGTAAGAAGCATTTGAAGGGCCAGTTGACGTTCGGAAGCGAAGAGTGTTGGAACTTGAGATTGTGGCGAGCGCATGCCACCGTATTTGGCATTGTTTGTAGTACCTCGCAGACTTTGCGCGAGCCGTCCTGTATGTTCCTTACGCGTTTGACAGAGCTCAGACAAACGCGATATATCTTCGTTGATCGTTCTCGCTTCGGGTCTCGGACGAACTTTAACAAAGAGGACGTGGAGCGCCTCAAGACAGATACTACAGCGAAGGAGATCGGGGGCTGGCGAGGACCACAACGCGTGTGCATCAGGGGAGAAAATGATTCGAAAGCGATTCCACACGTGGCCACTCTCGCATTCAGATTTGCAGGCAGATGGACTCGGATAGAGAAGCTGAACATCAGAAAGGCATTATGGCCGTTGTCGCTCCGGGCCGCCAATGCCGCCGTCTTCCGGGATTTGTCCTGCTTTGCCTCGATAACCCGCCTCGGCTTGTATGACGTCACGTTTCCATCCATCATCGCATTTGGCGCCCTCGTCTCTGCTCTGTCGGGCCTCGAAAAACTCCATCTCCGCGATGTTAAGCTCACTGGATCCTCAGCTCTATTCGACCCTCGTACGCTTTCCGACTTTCGGCTGCTGCCACCAACCAAGAACCTGCGGCATATTACCCTGGGTCACGCGGCCTACGACGGCTTGCATGAGTTCTTTCCTTCTGCATGGCCATGCTATACAGAACTTCTTGCCTTCATGACCGCCGTAAGCAATCCCTGTGGCAAGTCCCCTCGCGTCTATCCATGGGGCTCCGTCCGCAACTTGCGACTCGATGAGAATGTCTGGTGGAAATTCTCCTCCTGCTCCATTGCCCGTCTCCTGCGCGCACTTCCATCACTTGAGAACCTAGAGTTTGCAACTGCAGATAGTCACCTTGCGAACGTTGAGATCACAGGTGTCCCCACGCATCCCAGGCCGAAACCGATCACAATTGGCGTGCATTGTGCCAGTGCCCAGCCTCGGAATGTGGCTCATATTATCCGTTGCTTGATCCACATGGACTTTCCCCTCACAATTATGCGAATCTATGCTACGGTATATCCCTTCCTACAAGACGCTCATAGGTTGGTGGCCACTGCCATCAGTGAATTGGTTCAGCATGCCGGACCGTCACTCGACGATCTTGGTGTTTTTCTCCAAGGCGATAGATACGACAGTGTTATCCCAATTGATGCTGCTGCAGACCGATGTGAGTCTGCTATTATTATCTCTCGGTGGTGCCTCGCGTTGCTTATACTCCTTGTAGACCGTCAATGTGATCTCTTTGCGACCACAAAACCCATGTCCCTTCGAGTTTATGGTTGTGAAGCGTCCTGCCTTGGCGTGCGCGAGATTCTATCTCACGTTACATCAAGATGCGTCTCTTCCATTAGCATCCGTTTCAAACCGTTGGAACCAAGTGATCGGGGAGAGTTGAGCGAGGGCCTTTCGCAATTGGACACCGTGCTTTTGCTTCCTGTCTTCGACAATCTCGTGCACGTACTCATATCGCTGAAATTTCGTTGGTCTCGGCCTCGGCTAGAGATGAAGGAGTGTGCGCACTTCATGAAGTCATGGTTGCTTAGACTCCACGAACGGGGAGTTCTAGGGTATGTACCGGTCCACCCATGCGCTATCGTCAATCATATAGTCCATATGACTCATACAGCCTTTTATAGGATTGAAATATGTGACGAAAACTGGCGGTAGGTGTAGGTGCTAGAGCGACCAATTTCGCCATTATAGCGACCACTGACAACCTGCCAGTGTCAAAGTCAGGCTCGGGTTGATTTGGAGTGACGAAACAAACAGCTGGACGCGTTATGATAGCATAACGGACAAGAATGGCAATTTTAGAATCGTCGAGGTTCCTGCTTACAAGGGACATGCGCATTCTGAAGCAATGGCGGCACATACAGCGTGGAAGCGTTCTCCTCAGGTGGGTGCCTTCTGCTGCTGCAGGTCATCATCTATCTTACTCGAACACAGACGAGGAGCGGCCGGCGATCGACCCCAGAGCCAGAGTGGCCGATACTCCCCCAGCGGTGGATGACGGTACGCACTACTAGTTCATTGCGATGCAGCCGGATGCTCATGCGTTCGTGCGTAGGAGGTTACAGCGCGTGGCCGTGCATACGCAGAGGATGCGCGAGGCGTCAACGATATTTGAGACGTAGGATTATAGGCCATGCGTCGTCTATTTCATGATATTTCTGCTTCGCTCGGACTCTCAAGACATGTCATCCTGCCGTATCGTCATATCTAATTCGGGCTCGCGTGACCCCGTACCTATGCTAGGCACGCAGCACAGGTACCGCAGTACCGTCTCGAATTACTCAATAGATACAGTATGCTCCGTGTGTATACATAGCCAACGGATCTAGTGCCGTATGATATTCTAGTCGGACCACAGCAGGTAGTGTACAACAAATATATATACACATCTAGCAAATGATGCAGTCAGCGAGGTTGTCGGTGTTGGGGATTGCGTCCCGGCACCGGGCGTTCCGTTCTGAGGGCTAGCATGCGGTGAAGTAACCAATATTCGCGACGTCGGGCAGCGCTGCCTGACCCGCAGCATACGGGACATGCTTGCGCACGGTCTTGTCGGCCGGCGGACGGAGGCACCTCGAGCATGACGTTAGCAATGTCTTCACCGTGCCGAGACGCCGGCTCCACGATGGACCAGCAAGGTATAGCATGGCTAGAGGATGTCCGTGCGATCGGCGGGTCGAGAGAGGATCCCGGAGGTCGCTCATGCGCGCTCGTAATGCCGTTGCAGTTCCCGACTCACCGCCCTCTCCGTTTGCACTCTGGATGTATCTCTGCTAGCACCCTGTCCCACTGTATGTTACGAGCCCGAGTGATTGTTTCCAGTTAGGACATATGCATGGTAACAAGATTAGTGCATTCAGGGATCACAAAGAACGTGAAGGCGCGGACCCGCAGTGAGTCTTCTGCCACCCGCGGGTTTCTGCAAGACTCGCGTGGACAGGATAGTCTGGACGTACGACGTGGAAAGCCTATAACGGCATACATTCGAGTTAGCATGTCATAGAACTGGTGACTGGATGTGCAGTATTTATCGCGCAGGTCTTACATACGCCACGACAACGACCTCTCGCGTAGACGCCTGGACTAGGGCTCCAACGTTAACAAAGGCATGATGGCTGCGTCACACGGGCACACAAGAACAAGTCATTACAGACGTCGTGCAGCCGACGCGTGATTGGCGTCGAGCGTCGAGCGCTCCTTCGAGTCACTCGGACTGATAGATCGTAGCAACGACGACAGCAGAGAACATGTTACTGTACCTGAAAGCCGCCTCCGTGGGTGAGCCTACTAGGGACCCATAACGGGCCGCCGCGTAGTACCTCCGGTGCGCACGAGAAAAGTAGCTGGTGATTGGGATGACTATACGGTTGGGATTTACCCTGGGATGCAATAAGTGGTACCTGATTGGGTCAGTACATCTACCACTAACCTGCTGAATGACAGCGCACCTGCATTAGCTACGACGATGGTTGCCTCTCGCCTCGTTCAGCCCAACCTTCATTGTATCTTGCGTACACCGATGGTCGGAGCTTCAATGCACTTTTTCTGGCACGGATTCACCGGATTTCCTGCAACATGTCTCCGGCATCAGAAAAAGATGGATAAGGCAGGCAGAATACAGCAGGACGTGTCCATGTTATGGGAGAAGAGGGCATCGTGGCGGGCGTCTCGATCACTTTGTTTGTCCTTATGTAGTAATGATGTCACGCTCCTAACGATTGTTCGAGCCTCGTCTTATGCGCGTCTTAGCGCCTTGTGTGCTCTCCCGCCTCTCGGATAATCCACCTCGAACACCGGCGGGCGTGTCGTGACCGTGCTTATACCCAGACTCTCATATTCCCACGCATCACCATCTGCCGTCAAACGTGTGCCTTTCTCGCGGTCTGGCCTTTAGCTCACAATAGCTATGCACATCAATATCCACTTCTTGGCCAACATGAACTTTTGTCTTGCTATCTCGGGGACTCGTCATTCTAGCTGCTAAGTGATCAGTTCCTAGAGTAGTCGTCGAAAGCTCGTTTCAACTTCTTTCATTCGGCTTGCTGGACACGTCTTTGACCCGTGTTTCCACCCGCTCTTTGGCTTCGTGTCGGTTTGGCAAGGTTCGACCCTTGATACTATACACGCTCGTCTCATCAACATATACCGCGCCCCGCGCATTTGGCACCGCATATAGCCGTGCCCAATGCCCTATGATGCCACAGTCCAACCGAACCGGATATACATATACATGCCGGTCAACGCTCATCGTTACCGTCACGGCGCGCTGCACATCACCCATGTCGTCGCTGTGGTTGTTTTTTTACGACTCTATTGCCAGCGCGAAGCTACCCGCCTCTCTCGTTAGGGCAGTGCACGGTGAGATTCCCGCTCATGTTCGCATTGGACATCTGTGTTATCTGCTGCGGGTCCTGCCGGATCGCTCTTAACGTCGGGTTGCACCGCCGCCGCTGCCGTCCACGCAGTCTGGGGCCATCGTCAGAAACACCGCGGTCGTCAACTTGGCAACGCTGAATACACACGTGCCGTCGACGTGCCTCGATACAACCAGTGCGAGCAGTCCGAAATGCTGAGCACGGGTCGCCCAGCTTGTCCCGCAGACAGATATGCAGTCTCTAGGGATTCACGGAAGAGAGAGTACACTCACGCCGTCCACAGATGAGACATCGCGCCTTGGTTCACGCAGGATAGCGGCCATAGCGCGGAGAACTAACGGCTTGATCGAACGTCCTGCGTAGCCGCGCCTCACTTACCGTGCTATTCAGGTGCAGCAACACCTCCTGTGAAGTGTCAAAGCCTTTTTCACTCTGTAGGGATGAACATATCCAGGAATCCTTACTGGTATGGTTGGGATTGTATGCGTGGGGTAATGACCACGCAAGCGCCACCATCGAACCTGCTCCGGGACTTTGCGTACTCCGGTTCCAAATCGGAAGCTCCAGTACTGAACCTTCGCTAAGTCTAACCGGCATCGCGCACCGGACGTGAATATTCACAGCGCCCGTCCTCTCCCAAAATTCACGTCTTATTGGTGAGGGGCCGCTGCTCTGCGGCCATGATGTCTCCTACACAATGCGCATTCTTTGTGCGGCGGCCACACTGGACCTTGCGCGACGTCAAGATAGCGGAAGAACATGGTGTTCTGACATACAATTCAGGTGCGGAAGGCGCAGGGCGTTTGCACGTTTGTACGCAAAACCTAGCTGTTACCAGATAACAATTGCTCGTGGTCCCACGACGCATGGTGACGGCTGATCGACATCATGCATGCTCCTGCAGGTTGCGGACGCACCTATATCATTGGTATAATATCAAATGCACGATACTGGAAACCCAGCTGCTGCACCTGTAGGGCGTCCGCGGCGTACCGTACGAAACAGGACTGAACGGGTCGAGAGCTGTGCTGAAAGAGTCGTCTGCATAGGTGTTTGAGGTCAGGGAGCCTTCGTAAAGTCTCATCAGCGCAGTTCTTTTTGCTACGATGCGACTACCCGACCGCGACGTCAAGTCGAGCGAAGGACGCAACGACACATCCTTGTGATGCACATACACGGCGCGGCTGCTGTGTCATCCCACGGGAAGCACGAGCCGAACCAAGGATCTTCTGATAAGAGCATCCTTGGTGGCACTGGCGCCGTTATGTTCGGATTGCAATCACGACAGCTGTTGAGTGGACATATTGGAAGCTTAGACCAAGGCGATGAATCTATTGTGCAGTAACCAGACGAGGAACATGTCTACGTCGAGGCGATGTGGACACCCACCCCGTGACGGAATCGTGAACTTTCTTCGGCGTCAAGATAGCAGGTGGTCAGGCAGCATCCGCCGTGCAACCCATATTCGAGGGCTACACATGTGTAGGTCCTGTCATGCATATCAATGACCTCCGGCCAAAATACGTCTGTTCGTGTTGTCGCAGCATGGGAAGACCGCCTTTGGCTGGAGTGCAGCCACTCGCGAACAAATGACTGGAACCGGACGCGAAGGCTCGATACGGCGGCTGTGGTAGAAAGCGTGCGGTTGATGAGGCGTTGAGGTGTGGATAGCTGTGTTTCGCATGGAAGCAATCATATCAGCTATACATGCATGTTCACGAGGGCGGTGAAGTGGGTCTCTACAATGCAGGTATCGGCGATTGCGGAACTCATTGAACATGCGTTGAGGCTACGCAAGGCACACCGGCCTCATTAGTATCCAGATCATCAGACGCAAATACGGATGGGTCCATGCTGAATGCACGTTTCGCGCGGTCCTATCGAGATAGATAGTGAAGTCGGAGTCACTGAATTCATTTCAGAGCCTGTTCACATCTCGCCGTACATTTACCGCACATCTACACGAGGACTCAGCAGTCCAGCCATACATCTCGCCTTACCGCCAAAATAGAGCATTCGAGATGTAAGTCATCCTAGGCTGGGGCCAGGCAGTGGAGAGAACAGAGAGCTTTTCTTATTGAAGTATGAGCAGCTCTCAATGGAAAACAGCGAGGGATATTACCAAGTGCATCTGCGAGAGTACGACCAAGATATGCCCGGCATCTCGGTAAGCACAAATCCACAGGTTCCAGTGTTGTGTTTGCTACCCAGACAGCGTGCAGATCAGTCAAGAGTCTTCGTTGCCTGTGGAACTCTGGGAGCAGATCTTGGACGATGTTGCGGAGGAACAGAACTACGATGCGATAGCGAGATGCGCCAGGGTCTGCCGATTCTTTCGGCATAGGTGTAGGAAACATTTAAGGGTCGGGTTCTGGTTCAGCAGCGAAGACGACGTGGAGCACCTCAAGACAGATACTGCAGCAAAGGAGATCGGGGGCTGGCGAGGACCAAAATATGTGACCATCAGGGGAGGAAAGGTTTCGAAAGTGATTCCACACGTGGCCACGTTCGCATCCAAATTCGCAGACAGATGGGCTCAGACCGAGACGCTGTACATCCAGCAGGCGTCGTGGCCGTCGTCACTCCGGGCCGCCGACGCTGCCGTCTTCCGGGATTTGTCCCACTTTGCCTCGATCACCCAACTCGACTTATATGACGTCACATTTCCATCCGTCGTCACGTTTGGCGCCCTCGTCTCGGCTCTGCCACGTCTCGAAAAGCTCATACTCCTTGATGTTAAGTTCCCCAGATCCTCGTTTCTGTTCGACCCTCGCACGCTATCCGACTTCCGCCTGCTGCCACCACCGAAGAACCTGGTGCATATACACTTGGGTGCTGACCACTGGCGTAAGGTCGAATTTCATCCTACTGTGTGGCCGTGCTATGTGGAGCTCCTCGGTTTCATAAGTGCCGTGAGCAACCCTTGTGCAAAGTCCCTTCGCGTGTATCCGTGGGGTTCGGTCTGCCGCTTGCAATTCCAGGAATCTGTCTGGTGGAGATTCTCCTCCTCCTCTATTGCTCGGCTCCTGCATGCGCTCCCATCACTGGAGTCCCTCGTGCTCTTCTGCGCAAGACAGGAAATTGACTCGGAGGAACTGAGGATCATAGGTGCCCCTGCATATCCCAGGCTGAAACCAATTGATATTCTCGTGGAATGTGGGACTCCTTCGTCTCAGCATGAGGTGGATATTCTCCGTGCCTTGATCAAGATGAACTATCCCCTCAGAATAACAGATATCCACGCTCCGACATTTCCCACTTCACGAGAGGCTGATACGATTATCGCCCCTCTGAATAGATTAGTCAGGCACGCGGGACAATCACTCGAGCATATTCTCATCAAAGTCGACAAAGTCAATGATTGGGACATCAGACCTGTTTCAGACCAATGTGAGTACCCTAATACTGTGATCTCGCGGTGTCACACATTTCTCATACTGCCTGTAGACCGCCATTTTGATCTTTCTAAGAATACGAACCTCAAAACGATAACAATTTGTACTTGTCGGGTATTCCGCATCAGCGAGATTCTGTCTCGCGTCACGTCAAGATGTCTCTCTTCTGTCAACATCAATTTCAAATGGTTGGACTGGAGTGATCGAGGAACGTTCAACGACATATTTTCTCAAATGAACGCTGTGCTCTCACTTCCCGTATTCGACAACCTCGTGCACGTACCTATAGTGATGGAATGGTATGACCTCGACGAGAAATACGCGTATCGGATGAGGTCATGCTTGGCCGGTCTCGATATACGGGGGATTCTAGGGTGTGTATCGGTCCACCCATGCGCTATTGACGATAACAATTGGCCATGTCATTGATGTAATTCGTCCATAGGATTAGAACATGTCCCAAATACTGGATGTAAGTGACAAAGCGTACAATGCTCTATATTACGGCGGCCATTGACAACTTGCCAGGCCCGGTGTCAGGCTCGGATTGATATGGGATTATGAAATCAAAGACTGGAGACGTTTTGATAGCAAGACGGACGAGGACGGCAATGTAAAAATCGTCGAGGTCCCTGCTTTTGAAGCTAGTGCACCTCCTGAAGCAATGGCAGCGTACACGGCGTGGCAGCGTACACAGCGTGACAATAGGAAATATTTCAATTAGCTCGAGCTCGTATCTATGAGTGAGTGAGTACCTTCCGTTTATATGGGACATCGTCTGTCTCATCCGCACGGATAGATATCGGAATCTATCTTCCTGGCGGTGGATGATGGTATGTCTCCTGAGTACTAGTTCATTGCGATGCAGCGCGGTACTCATGCATTCGTGCGTAGGAGATTCTACAGCGTATCCGTGCACACGAAGTGGTCAAGATTGATGGAGCTAGTCAAGATCATGCGGATGGCTGATGATGTCTTCCCCCAGCAGACCCGGATGTTGTGATGCTATTGCTGTAATGTTCTGGCCCTTTTCGAGGAGATTCTTGGAACACTGGGGTATTTTGCAACATGGTGTTGAAACATATTGTACCCACGTCATGATTCTGCTTTACAAATACACCATATGATAGGTACGCGGTCACCGTATTGACCTCAATATCTCCGGGAACATTTATTGATAAGATATCCGGGCGCTCACGGCGTCAACATCAAAACAGACCGACCTTCCTCCAATACGCAAGCCACCTTTTGACATCCTCCTCTCCCAGCTGGCAAACAGTGGGATCCGCTAGCGTCGGCGATCTCAAGAGAGCATGCTCAATTGAGAGGGTCGGCATGCCCATCGCCATCCGCGTAAGATGAATCTTGTTCGCCACACTCCGGAAGAACGGCAGCAGCTGTAGCGCGCGCAGGTCCCGACTATTGCCCTGTTCTGTGTTACCCAGATCGTTGTCCGCCTGATGCGCCTGCTCCAGCTTAGCTAGCCACTCCGAGTACGACACGAGCGGGACAGCGAGCTCGGATGCGATGGCGCTCGCGAGGGAGTGCCACGAGACCGGGCGTGGGTGCACGAGATGTACGGTGCGCGTTGTATTTGAGGTGTGGTGGCGAAGGTCGATGATCGCTCCTGCCGCGATCTCGACCGGTACCCAGTTCACCTCCTGGAAGATTGGGTGGTTCAGTCAACCATGTTGGATAGCGATGTAAGGCTATTCAATCGTACCTTGTTGTCATCTGGGAAACATTGGAGCCGTGGTGCGCTCTGTACGAGGGTGGGGAACCACTCATGCACGTTCCACACGCCGTCGAGGCCACCGCAAACCTGTCCCACACGGACCACCAGCGTGTTGAGAGAAGCCTTGGTTGCTGCTGCATAAAGGATCTGTTCGGAGACCCATTTGGACTCTCCGTAGCCTGTGCCGGCTGCGAGATCGGGCTCAATCGGTCCTTCTGTAAATACCACATCGCTGCGCAGATCTTGAAAAAGGTCAGCCTGCGGAGTACAACGTACGATGTCACGGACGAACTTTGAAATACACCAATAGAGCTCTCGAGCAGCACCCGTGGCGGTTGTGGCAATGGTGAAGTCAGAGCGAAATCCACCAAGCGTCGCACACCTGCGATGGAATCCTCGAACGACTCCAGATTGATCACGAAGTCGACACGCCATGCTGTATACAGATTGTTAGTCGATGGGCTAGCTCAATGTTGCTAAACATCTACCGTTGTGGATGATATGCGTGACATATCTGTGCAGCTATCCATAAATACGTATCAATAGTGCTCAGGATAATTTATGCCCATCTGAAAGACACCGACCTTCTCGTACATAATTTCTTCAAGGCCTAAGTTCCCCGATGTGAGGCTTCCCTCGAGAAGCACCACTTTCTCCAAATCTACTATGCACGCGTCGAGTCCACGGTCGGCCAAGGCCAATTTCTGTCTCTCGCGAAGAGGCATCTGCGACTTAGCTGGCCTGTTGAACGCATACACCCGCCCAACCTTCGGATCCGCCACGAGCAAAGCAAGTAAATGACATCCTAGACTACCCGTCGTCCCTGTTACGAGGACTACATCGCGTTCAGGTTGCGATGGAAGCAGTGTTTGAGGGCGAGCCGAGAAGTGAGCGGAGTATTTCGCTAGCATAGCCCGCATGGACAGGATACGAGCAGATGTTGTTGGTCCTGCTGCTGCTGCGTCATGCATCCCCTGGGCGATGGAAGAGACAAACGCAGCCAAGCTGGAGATGGTCGGATGATCGTAGACGAAGCCGTCACCGATATTGCGTGTATCCATCTTTGTTGTGTCACGGAGGGCACGGAGGATCATGTTGCGAATGTACGTGGCCTGCAGGCTGATTCATATTCAGTGTTGAAATCCATGCTTTGGTGCGGATTATTGACATACCTGTCGCATCCGTGCTGAAACACATCGTCATTGTCCGTTACCGGGTGTACCATCACTTTACCTACGACCGTACGGACGTATTCGATGGTGGCGGGAAGTGCCCAGTCGGTCGGTGGCTGTATAGAGGACTGTGCGCTCGCATCGACAGTGTCGTAGAGAGCAGCTATCTCATCCTCATAGTCTCGAATAATAGCACCTCGTCGAATGCTATGCTTAGCCGTGTATGAGAACGGCTTCGTTGGTCTGGTAACCAAGATCATCTGTATGCGTAGTGTGAAGGAAATCGCCCAATGAACAAAAGCCATTCGCCTACCTCCTTGAATAATCTTGAATGCTGGGGCGCGAGTTTGTTCATCTTCTCGACTGTGGGCCTGATGCAATCCTTTCAATATCCTGCCTGGCAGAATAGTAGCGTGCGATTTTACCATACTTTGTTCCTGAACTCTGGCAGTTTCCCCTCGTCCAATATATCGAATACATGGTCGGCTTTAGGGTTGATTAACATCCCCACTTGAAAACGGCCGCGGCCAAACATTAAGGATGCCGAAACATGAGGGTCCAAATTCATGATAGCTTCTATAGGGCCCAATATGAGCCATGTTACCAATCGAGAAATCTATAGATGCACCCAGAGGGTCTGGATTGGTCTGCAAAATCATAAGAGATTTGGATTGGTGTACGTATGGATAGACCTACCTTCTCTCCGGTGCTATGCATGATTTGGTCGTCAACGCGTCCGATCACCTTCCAGTAACCCGATTTCGTTGGATGTTCTACTAAAAGATCAGATGTAGCATAGGCGTCCACTCCGTCGATGTTGGTATTAAAAACACTCAGGCATCCATATTCGTTTGCCTTGTGAAGGAGGATATATACGAATCTTATTTGCTTCGGCTACAAGTACGACACTTACGAGAATGACAAGCTCGAAGGCCCCCTCTCCTGATGGTATCATCTTGGCGGATATGTGGCGCGGGAGTTTCAAATACTCCCAATCGCGACTAACTTCCGCTAGGAAGGGCGTCACTGAAGGCACGCGGGCCCACCGTGTGAGTAAACGTACCAGGCAGGAGAAGAGCCATGACACCAGATTCTGTGCTGAGGAAACCCGGAAATCTACAATGAGCAATTGCGATAGTGCATACAGACAAATGATCCGCACTCACGCGCCATACAAGCTGAATAAGGTGATTCCTTGCGCAGTCAGGTAATCGCCGATCTCCTGATTGAGCGGAGAGCCGCCAAAGAGCTGTAATTGTCGTTACTTCATACATATCGCAACTAGTGGGTTATGAAACGTCCTCACGATTCCCTCCCTAGCAGCCAGGAATTTGACGTGGTTTGGATTGCGCGACCAGGCCTAGTTCAACAAAGTTGTCAACGCAGGAAGTACCTGAATGAGCTAGACGCTTACCTCGACCATCGAAGGAACGGTCAATATGAGATCGCTGCTGGTAGCCTTGGCCATTTCTAGGACATTCTCCGGTGTGGATACCACCACAGGTGATCGCGGTGGGGGAACACCGAGAATCCAACCGCAGGCAGTCTACAAACGCCAAAATTAGAAACTGCGTAATAATAGCAAGCTATCGTCACTTGCAGCCCAAGCCGCAAACAGCACGCCAATAGCATGGAACATCGGCATGGCATGTACAGAGACGATATGGCCGGCTAAATCGCGTTCACTCCAGCATATGGAGTTGACCCTTTCAAGGAGGCAGCGAGTTGTGAGCGTGATTGGTTTCGGGAACGCAGTGGAACCTGTGCAATACTTGTTAGATACCAATTTCATAAATACACGGGTGATACGAACCAGACGAGTGCAAGATCACAGCAGGTTCCTCAGCACCCTTGTATTCATACGGAACGTCGTTGCGAGATGGATTCTGAGAGACAGGGAGGTAGAGTTCCCCGAAGCCAAGCATTGCTGACGTCTCGGGCACAGTCGCTTCAGAATACTGCGTCTTCAGGATATCCAGGGACTCTTTACAAAGACCAGTCATGGAGGGCTCGTCTCCAATTAGTAGATGCTGAGCACCGACTTTATTGAGCAGATGTGCCACCGCCGCAGGAGAGTTGCGCGAAGAGATCAAGAAAGCCGTGCAATTAGCCCGCATGATAGCCATTGTCGTCGTCGCGTACGGAACCGAGTCTACAATCGTTCGATGTCGCACTTCAATCACGTTTTAGAGCTGATATGCCAAGTCCTCACCTGAGTTCGACAAGATAGCTACAACCGGCGCCTTGGTCATACCAGCTTGCCAGTGCGTACGGTCCCGAATGATCTTGACACCTGTGTAGACCGCTCTCAGAACCTCGGGCCAGCAGATTTTGTGAAGGCTGCCATCCTCCTGTGCGAAGACAAAAAGAGGGTGCTCAGGACAGTGCTCCGCGTGCCACTCGTACAGCTCAGGTAGAGTCAAGGAGCCACCCAGTGGGGGCATTTTGAAGGTGCTACATGAACTCCCATGGATCTGAGGGACGATGGGGAGGAGAAAGCGATCGGACGAAGCCATGATATGTTAGTCTTGTTGATGGGAGGGTGCGCAGAGCCTGATGCTAAAGGCTATGCGTTGACTGTCTCCAAATAATAACCTCGTGCAATCGCGATCGACGTGTCGATACGCGTTCCAAGACCTATATGACTTCATACGTTATCTTAAAATTGTCGTTCTTATCGATAACACACGTAATCTTACATTATTAGACACGAACTTCAGTTGTCTGTTTGACCAGTACTAGTGCAACCGAAGCCTTTGCATACTATATATGTCGCTCGCTCTAGTCAAGGCTTGATGATCTAAAAAAAGTGCTCCTTTGGTCGTATACAACATAGTTTGCACAAAGTTAAGTTTTGTCTTGCCGGGCACGCGAGACACGCCGGTACGAGTGGGAAAGTCTTATCGGGATGCAGCCGTGACGGCACAGATTACGAGAAATAGGCTTCAGGTTGATAGGAATCGGTAGCACCCTTGTCTTCAGGATGTTCGTCCATAGCAAGTCTTTGAATGAAGATGAGCATATTGAATGTTGACGCGGACGAGTCAAGCCTAACAATCTTGACACGGCGCTACAGCGCCATCAATCGAGATCTAAATCCAAACCCAGCGTCCAGCTCCGACCCGGCCAGCTCCTCATCTGATTAATTTGAAAGTAGTCACTCAGACCTATACAACATGCAGCGGGACGCCGCTTTCGCTTAACGCGATGCTCAAAATATGGGCTGTGTCAAGGTACGAACAGCTAGCTATGGATCTGATACACGAGAGAACGTGGTGAGTACCGAAGCATTGCAAACGGGCGGCTCACGGGACTGTCGGGTTTTTGCTAGGAGCAAGAACGACCGCCAGACCTTGCTATCAGCAGCTTAACCATTGTGAGGCGGTTATCTGAGGATTAGAAGCGCTCAGCGGACGTTGCAACAGCAGCAACTGAATTGTTCAGTGCGCGATTCGAGCAGAAGATGCGTGTAATTAGCACGCGGCCGACGCTGCGGGAGGCGCGTCCGACTTGATGAAATGGGCTCATGCTAGTCAGATATGATCAAACAGGTTTTACTATTGAAGGTCGTTTGCGAGCGACTCGGTGAGCACCGTCCTTCTTCCCTTCCCTGAGCCCTCTCCATTGTAGTTGTCTACTGTGATGTGCTGCTGAGTATGCCAAACAGCTCGTGTTAGACCTCTGCCTTGCCAGCCCGCAGCCCGATACCGACGCTCAGAGTAGCCTTTAGTGCGAGGGCGAAGGACGACATGTACAGCCAATATACCATTCTAGCGCTCTAGCGCGATATTTCGCCGTTGACTCGTGTCGCGTTACTCCATGACATTTTATTGCAGATTTCACGATGATTCTATAGTCAGTATTCCACGTGTTGGATTCACCATCCATTTCCACAGAGCAACGCCAATTATTTCATGCGAGGGCCTGTCGGATCCCGGCGCGTCAGATCGAGCTCGTGCTACCTTTGTCATGAGCCGCCCTATTCCTTTCCTGCCAGTCTCCAAGTCTCCAAGTGACGGATACCAACGCAACTTGACCTCGCTCCCTTCCTTTTTCAGCCGCTGTACCACCCCCACTGAGGTATGTCCGTCCTTGCTCTGTCCCGTCTACCTGTACTGTTCCGGATTGGCTGTAGACATGCGGTTACGTTTACGGTTCGCTAAGAGGATTACTGCGCGTGAGCATTACTCGGCCTTGCGAGACCGCTCGACATGTGCGTGGCAGAGAGCTTATATTTCTATTGTCCAACTCCAGACGGTACTGCAGTATCTCTGCCGCATGTCTAGCAATGAGGACCGAGTCGCGTAAGTGTAAGTTCAGGCGAGAAATTCCGATCCAACGCGAGGACACATCTAGGAGTCCGAGCAAAGTAGTAACGTCATACAATAGACGGCATCTAGCTTGCAAGCCTACGCCTCAAAGTGCACTAACACTTTACAAATATACAACGTATACACGGGTACGCGGTGTCATCGGCTACACACGTACGTACGAGCATCTGACTGCGCCGCGATGAACCACTCGACAATGTCTACATCGCCGTGCTCGCCCTGTTAGACTGCCACTTTATGTTGACCCTCACAAGGGAACTAACATGTTGTCAGTGAGTGCCGTAAAAGCGAGCATTGGGCATTCTGTAACCTACTCACATGGTATCATGGACAGCATAAGACGATACCTCTGCCCCTATCCTACAGGAAAGAGGTCAGTAATATGAACAATCATTATTGACTATAGTGTATGGATGAACCCATACACACATTAGGATTCCCCGTCTGCCGAGACTGGTCAGGCATGCCTTCATCGACTCTTCCATCCCGTCATGCTCCACAACCAGACTGGGTTGAATAGATACGTTCACGAGATTGTCGAAGACAGGAAGTGAGAGTACGGCATCCAACCGCGAAAGGCCTTCGCTCAACTCGCCTTGCTCCGTCGGCTTGGAAGAACCAGTTGTGATCTCAATGTAGACGGACGAGATGCATCTCGACGTGACGCGAGACAGGATCTCACACATGTCGACGCAGGATGCTAGATGATGATGGATTCTAAGTGATTGCAGGTTCGTGTTTTCAGAGAGATCTAAATGATGGTCTACAAGCAGTATGAGACATGCGCAATACCTAGAGAAGACGCTGTATCAGACTCACATCGATCCGCAGAAAGCGCAAGGGTGTGATGCTGATCTGGTCGAGAACCTCCACTCATTTTGTCGGCATTGATGAAGAACTCCAGGCGGTGGAGTGATGGTCCTGCATGTCTGACCACTTCATTCATGGCGGGCCCCCCCATAGCAGTCTCTTGCAGCCTGGAATGTGCTAAAGTTTCGATCTCCGTTATCCTGATGGGATGATCCGTCTTGATGAAGCAACGGACAATATTATCCATATGCTGAGGTCGGGCAGTCGATCCTTTCACGACGATGTCAATTCGAGTCGACCTAGAATGTGTGCGGACAGCTGCCATCTTAAGGTTCAAAGTTTTTTCATCCGCGCTTGTGAACGTGAGGTCAGTAAGTGACGGGAGTGCACGCAGGAGGCGAACAATAGAGGAGGAGGAGAATCTCCACCAGACAGATTCATCGAGTTTCATGCAGCTGACCGAGCCCCACGGATACACGCGAGGGGACTTGCCACGAGGGTTGCTTACAGCGGTCATGAAATCAAGAAGCTCCGTATAGTACGGCCACGCAGTGGGAGTGAAATCATGTTCGAGCCGGTGCTCCAAGTCATAGCGGTCGGTCCCAGTACCCAAGTAGATTCGCCACAGGTTCTTGGGTTGCGGCAGGAGGCGAAACTCGGAAAGAGCGCGCGGATCGAATAGAAATGAAGATATGGTGAGCTTGACATCGCGGAGATAGAGCTCTTTGAGGCCCGACAGAGCAGAGACGAGGGCGCCAAATGTGACGATGGATGGAAATGTGACGTCATCCAAGACGAGTTGGGTGATCGATGCAAAGTGGGGCAGATTTCGGAAGACGGCGGCGTCGGCGGCCCGGAGCGACGACGGCCACGATGCCTTCTCGATGGTCAGCTTCTCGACCCGAGTCCATCTGCCTGCAAATTTGGACGCGATCGAGGCCACGTGTGGAATCGCTTTCGAGTCCTTGTTTCCCCCGATGATCATGCGCATCGGTCCTCGCCAGCCCCCGATCTCCTTCACTGCGATGTCTGTCTTGAGGTTCTCCACGTCTTCTTCGCTCCTGAACGTCAAGTCGGTCGCTAAATGCGGCTTACACATGTGCTGGAAGAGTCGGCAGACCCTGGCACATCTTGCTATCGCGTCGTAATTCTGCTCTTTGAGAACGACATCCAAGATTTGCATCCAAAGCTCCACGGGCAGCGAAGGTCTTCGGCTATTCTGCATGCTATCTCAGTGGAAATTACTACACTAGAGCCTGTGAAAACGTGCTCACCGAGGAATAGGGCACATTTTCCCACTTCAAATGCAGGAGACGCAAGCTTTTCCACCTCGGGTACGGGCCTGGGAGTGGGTCTTCCCCGCACGGGAGTGGGTACGTGGGCGGGAACGGGAACAGGTCTTCCCAGCACCCGTGCGGGCCGCCCCACTCTAGAGACGAGTCTTCCCACTCCAGAGACGAGCCTTCTCGCCCCAGAGACACGCCTTCCCACAAGGCTTGCGGAGACGACTCGCTCGCTGAATATTGCTTGCTGTCATCCATTGAAAACTGCACATACTTCAATTAAAGAAGTTCGCCGTCCTCTGTGCTGCCTAGAGGGACTTACAGGTCGGACGCTCTGTTGTGACTGTAAGGGGGGATGTGGTGCGATGTGCGACTGGACTCCTCGTGCAGGTGTGCGGTAACATATAAACAGGCTCGAATATACATATAGTAACTCAATTACCTATCCATATACAACCGCACGAAACATGCATTCGGCATGGATCCGTCCGTATTCCCTTCTGGGTATGAATGAGGCTGTGGCGCGTTACACGGCCTCAACGCATGGCCAGGAAGTTCCGCAGTCACAGATCTCTGCATTGTAACGATCGGCGCACTTTGTGTCCGAGGCGAACATGCATATACGGTTGATATAATTCTTTTCATGCGAAAGCACAGCTTTCCATACCTCAGCGGCTCGTCGCCCGCATGCCCGCCACCATGACAAACCCTCGGTTCCAGTCATGTTGGCAGACCATCGGCGAGATATGTAGGTTAGTGGTTGCACTCCAGCTAAAGGTGAACTGCCCATGCTGCGGTAATACGAACAGACGTGATTTGGCCTAAAGCCTGTGCTACGTCACGCACGACAGGGCCTAGACAAGTATAGCCGTCCGGATCTGGATGCCAAAGAAAATTTACAATTCTGTCAAGGTACGTACATCGACGCCGCCTCGATGTGAACACGTCCCCGTCTGACCACTGTACGATCGATTCGGTGCTTTGGTTTAGACATCTGCTACATTTGTTCAGAAGCTGTCATAATCGCAATCCAAATACAATAGTGCCAATGTCACGGAGGCAATTCACCGACGTTTCTGGCCATCGACCGGAAGCCTCCATAACTCCACTTTTGCTTCCCGCGAGGTACATGGCAGGTACGCGTCTCAGGGTTCCTCTTTCGAATCCTCATTTTGATCGACATTTATATTTGAACCACATGAGCGTCTGCGCTTATGACTCGGTGCCTTTTATCGCCAGTGAAGGTACATGCACCCTCCAGGTATGGCGAGACCGGCTATCGATGAGATGCCACCCAAACGTACCTGATGCAAAACGAGGGAAAGGACCGTACATGCGAGGCTACAGCGTGATCGCCGCGCACGCACGGCACTCCGATTTACCTCGTAGGATCCGGAGGGTCGCAGGAAAGCGTTTTCTTCCGTCTTCGCTCGACTCATTAGGTAAAATGATGTTTTGGTTGTGCTGCACCGCGCTTGATAGTAGTCGTTGGGCAGGCCTCCCATCGTAGTAAATGTTCAGCGTCCATCGTGATTATTCACAGGTCGACGTGCGAATCACATAGGTCTTGTATGCATGTCATGCTGACATGCACACTGGCAGCTGTGGAACGGGCTGCATCGCCTCCGGAGGATACTCTGAACAGACTCTCTAAGGAGGTTGGGACACGAACGACTCCGTGGGCGACGTGGAACGCCCTCGCTCGTCGCGGCCGGATCCTCGGCCCGCTTCGCCCCGTGCATCAACTTACTCGGTTCGCAGTATTAGGTGTACGATCACAAGCTCGCCGCACAAACACCAGTCTGTAGGGATGCGTTATGTGCAGCGCCGCAACATGGCTATCTCTGGATCACCGGTTGCATACGGTGATTACGGTGCACGGCGAAGGAATCCCTGAGGCCGAAGCTTGACCGGCCGGTCTGTCGGACATGTGAGCGTCCCTCGTCGGACGAGCCAGCGAAGCTGGACATGGCGCGGTCGATGCTGTTAGACGGTATGATGTTTCTAGGCACACGACGTGACAACCGTTTTCATACGTCATACGATTCCTTTATTGTAGCGTCTGTGGCTTGATGCGCTCAGCAGCTTCTCCATTTCTGAATGTCATGCTCTCTTGTCAACTACACAAATATTGGACGCCCTGACACACCACGCTGTGATATCATATCGTGTGATAATTGTATTTCTCCACCCAACCAGCCGGAAGTGGTGGCCAAATTCAGGCCGTTGACTACTACCCTGCAGTTGCTCTCCCAAGTCCAGAGGTGCGCACCTCGATATTTCTTGTTCCTTCCCCCAAGCGCACTCATCCCCATATGTTCAGCGTTATACACAATTACTGCTAACTGGCAATACTCGCACAGGTTCACACGACACAAACTGCTTCCAAAATCGTGAGCAGATCGGAAGATGTGCTATCGCAGACGTCGTATGCGCATGCAGCAGGCGCCGACTTGAATATTTGCATGACGTTCATCGCGCGGTTGGGGCAAAAGCTGCATGCTGTAGGCACACGCTCGATGCGGCAATATGCGTGCTCTTCAAAAAAAATGGATTCGTGCAAGTCGGATCCAATAAAACGGTAACTCGGATTAGCAGGCCGTGTGCGAGCGACTCGGTGAGCAGAGCCCTCCTTCCCTCCTCGCTATTGCCGTGGCTGTCTACCACGACAAACGCGTTGCACTGCGCGATGGACTTTAACTGATGCATTGTTTTACACATCAAGTAGCCAGACCTCTGCCCTGCTACCAGCCTGCCGAATCACACTGACGCTCAGAGTGCATGTGAGAACGGCAGTATGTGCAGCCGCTGTTGCGCCACCGGTGCAATCTGGCGTTCTAGCTCGATATTCCGTCGTTGGGACATGGAGTGTCATCTCACTATATATTGTGACAGGTTTCATAACGATTGTATGCTCAGCAGACCACGTCCTTGTACGTGTACGGATTCTTCGGCCTATTTACACGGAACAACGACAATCGCCTCATAGCAGGACCGATCGGACTCGGACGCTTCAGGTCAGGCTCGCGCTACCTATGCTGTGGGTCACCCCAGGCTATTTCCCGTCAATCTCCAAGTGACGAATACCAACGCACCTATTCCTTACCTCCTCCCTTCCTCGGTTGCTGTGCCACCCCTGACCGAGGTATGTTCATTGTCGCTCTATCCCGTCTATCTGAATCAAACTGGTGTAGTTTTGGACTTACGGGTGCGGCTAAGAACAACCAGTCGCTGCACTATCCCTACCTTGTTGTACACTTACGGTTACAGTTCAGTTCCTAGAAGGGCGTCGCAAAACCGCCCAGCATGCGCGCGTCAGATGACATATATTTTTGTTGTCCAACTGCAGGCGATACTGCAGTTCCCGTGTAGCGTGTCTTAGAGGAACCGACTTATACAAGTCCAATTCAAAGATAAGGCACGAAGACATATCTGGGAGTGCAAGCGAAGCAGTAATATGATAAAACGGACCGCGCTGACACCTCATACATCCACTTGGTGCTCACTGATACATGGTGTCATCGTCTAAGTACGTGTGCACGAGCTCGGCTGCATCGCGATGAAGCACCCGGTAGACATACCATCATCCACAATTAGAAAGAGATCCGCCACTCAGACCTTGTGTTCAATAGTGGGGGTCGTTTATATGAGCGCGGATCAGATAGATAATACCTATTAGCTCGGAAGGTACCCACATGTCAATCTTTCCGACCGGAAAGACTCTTCCAAGCCGTGTATGCTGTAATTGCCTCGGGAGCCGCGCCGCCCTCGAAAGCAGGAACCTCGACAATATCTACATTGCCGTTCTCGTCCATCTTACTGACATAACGCTTCCAGCTGTTTGTTTCATCTCTCCAGATCAATCCGAGCCTGAAACCAAGCTTTCAGTAATCGCTCAAGTGTTGTGTGCTCAGTTACCTACTTTTCTCCGTCAATTATGTTGATTCTGTGGAAGACTGCGTCAGCGATACGCACAGTGATTGTTGTCAATGCACATGTGAATAAAACAACACGCACCCTATGATAGCCCTTTGGTCGAGACAACGTAAGCGCGACTTGATCCAACACGCCCGGATTCTCTCTTTCCCAGACATGGAGTGTTGTTGGAAGCGCGCAGATATAGGTATGTGCACGAGATTGTCAAAGACAGGACGTGAAAGCACGGCATCTAATTGCGAAAGCCCGTTGCTCAACTCTGCTTGACTCCTCCAGCCAAATGAACTATAATTGAACTTGATCTCAACACAAGAGACACATCTCGATGTAACGCGAGACAGAATGTCACACACGCTGACACAGGACGTGTGCTGATCATGAATCGAAAGTGATTTGAGATTTGAGCTTTCAGAGAGATCTAAATCATGATCTACAGGCAGTTTAAATATATGCATGACCCTGGGGACCACAACAGCAGACTTACATTGGTAGGCAGCACCTACAAGGGTACGATGTTGATCTGGTAAAGAGTCTTTGCCTCTTCTACCGGCCTCGATCACGAGAGCAAGATGATCGAGTGATGAGCCCGCATGCCTGACCATTTCATTGATAGCGATAGCCACCGTATCAGCCTTTTGTGGAAAGGAGTATACCGGCGTAGAGATCTGCGTGATTCTGAGAGGATAGTCCATCTTGATCAAGCAACGGATGATGTGAGCCCCATGCAGAGGCTGAGCATCCGCACATTGCACATTGATGACGATTGGAGACAACCTGTGATTAGGGAGACAGCTGTGATCCTAAGTGGGTCAGAGTCTCCTAGGGATGGACGCGAGCCTGTGAACCGGAGAGCCTCAAGTGATGGTAGTGCGTGCAGGAGGCGAGCAATGGAAGAGGAGGTAAATTTCCACCAGGTAGTTTCATAGAGATCCAATTGGCGAACTGAGCCCCATGGGAACACGCGAGGAGATTTGCCACAGCGGTTATTCACGGCGCTTATGAAATCAAGGAGTTCCGTATAATATGCCCATGCAGCTGGGTTGAACTCATGCTCCAAGGGGCTTGATATAGCATCCATATAAACATCTTGCAGGCTCTTCGCTTGCGGTAGGAGGCGAAAATTGGAAATGGTTCGAGGATGGAAGAGGAAAGAGGATCTGGCAAATTTTACATTGTGGAGCCAGAGCGCCTCGAGCCGTGGCAGGGCAGAGACGAGGGTGCCAAACGTGACGACGGACGGAAAGGTAACCTCGTCGAGGAAGAGGAACGTGATCGAGGCGAAGGCGGCGGCATCGGCGGCCCGGAGCGACAGCGGCCACGCCGCATTTCTGATGAAGAGGTGCTCCATTCGGGTCCATCTGCCTGCGAATCTGGACGCGAGCGTGGCCAGGTGTGGAATTGCTTTCGTATCCTTTTCTCCCCTGATGGTGACGCGCATCGGTCCTGGCCAGCCCTGTAGCTGGTTTGTTGCAGCATCTGCCTCGATGCGCTCAACTTGTTCCTTGTTATCGAACGTCACAACATGCATCTCATGCAGATAATCTCGAGTCCATTCCTTGAAGACTCGGCACACCGCCCCGCATCTTGCTATCGTATCATAACATCCTTGCTGCGCAACATCCTTGAAAACCTGCAGCCAAATCTCAGCGGGCAGGGAAGGACCTTTGCTATGCTACGTGTCGTCTGAGTGCAACACTATTGCAAGTACATGCCACGCCTACCACAACGCAAAACATCTCCTCGTGGTCTTCTGCAAAATATTCCTCGCCGTGCTCCGTCATTGACTCCTTTTTTTTCGTCTGCCATCAAGGGAGCTCGCTTGTGTATGAGAATTGTTGACAAGCCAGATCTTTTGTGGTGACTGTCTTGCGAAGCGCAATGTGATTTGGGACGTGTGGGAGGCAATGCTAGGATCGGAGTGGAGGTCTTCCGTGGGATCGTCCAAAGATCCTGACATATATACTGACTCCAGCGATAGAACCTGATCCCGCATGTGTCCGGATGTATCGCCCGTCCCGCACCTTCCTTAGGCGCCGAACCAGAGGAAGAGTGCTGTGCGCCGAGCTGCTCCCAAGCATGTATCGATTGATTCATGGTGGTGGTACCATTAGCGATATCGACCCTATGTCCGTTCCTGTGCACAAGTCCGGGATGATCCTGCCTTGTATGGGAATATATCCAAACCATTTCATGCAGAAGCGCGGCTTCCCGTGATCCTTCGGCGTCTTGTCCGGAACTACACGATCTATCGCAGTCGGAGGAAACCTTATATTTATACAATGAGCGCGCAGCGCCTCGCGGTACGGTGAGGAAATATGTTCATAACCTCATAACCTGCAGGAACACGCATGACATCTATCAGCTGCCGCTGTACGCTCTGTGACCGCCTCTCTGAACATTGGTCGCTTTACTACATGCTAGCCATCAGAACTGAACGTGCGGCGTCGGGATGCAATTGCCAACATCCCCCTTTGCGATGCTATACATATATTTCTACTATGCACTACCTGCTGTAGTCTGACTAGTTTATTGTACGGTACCAGACCGTTAACAAGGGGCGCGTCACAGAAGATGATTATTCGTTGTTCAATTCAATTCAAAACAGTACTGAAGTACCTCTGATGAGCGTCTATCCGTGAGGACGGCGTCTAACAAGTACAAATAATAAGTTACGATACGGCAGGAGTCCAATACTTGAGGGGGCGCGTTCCTATTCATGCCCGGCGCACCAGTACAACGACATTACCATCCCAGCTCTCAGTCTTCATGCCGAAGGCACGAAAAGTGCGAAATGGTAAGTAGCTCAAGGCATCTCGTTGGCATGTCCTCGCCGGTCGGCGCACAGACGATGTGGAAGTTGCGCCATCGCACAGCCACGCGCATGAGGCATACTGAACGTCCTCTCACGACGAAGATAAAAGGCGCCAACGTGTAGATCTACACAAAAGCGTGGCAGACTGCAGAGTTTTGAGCCGGAGTGAACGTGACAGATTTCCTTCAGGCTTGTATGGCACCTAGTGGACCGCTCGCCGGGACAACAGTCACGCAGTGTGGTACAACTGTTGAAGCACGCGGTAAGGAGCGAGCTCGCAAGCTCGGGCGCACGAGTAGCCGGGGGCCACAGGCCCCTATCGTAGTATATAACAACCCCGCGCGATGTATGTACCGTACGCGATTGTCCCTTACGGGCATCGCTACGCCCGTGGACAAACGCGCTCGCCGCGCCGTCGCACCGGTTGTTCCAACTGTTCCAACAACAACATGGCATCGGAGTGTCCCAACACTCAAGCCGCCCCGCTTGACGATTTCGTCAGGTCACACGTGCGTCCTCCACACTCACTGCGAACTATTCTTTTTCCGAGTAATCGCGGTCTGCGGCAGCGTGCACGCGTGGCTGCGGTCCTCCTGTCTACCGCATTGGCGCGACATGATGTTCCCTTTCGATATCTCACCGTGAGGCTTTGCGTCAAGATACCGCACGACGTTGGGCGGCAAGCCTCTCAGTGATTTCGTGGTCAGTTGTCCAATTGTCATGCATATACTGAGCACCATCTTGATTGTGATCGCTTGGTGTGTCCTCTGTCTTGTAGAGTGCTGCAGGCTCCAACGTTCTGTACGAGGGCCTGCTGCGCCTCTCCTGGATGATAGGTGGAACCCGGACGCTCCATCATGTCGCTGTTTCATTGCCTCGCGGTCTTTGCCGAGAGAGGACTCTTCCTAGGGAGATCCCCAGCTACTTCGATGACGCGAGCATACATCCTGTGTGACTTCCCTGATGTCCATCCGAAACCGACCAGAAGATCTGGTCCACCGGCTACGTACCCTCATTTACCAAAGCTATGTTAAAGTACGTATGTTTGCGCGTCATGCGTTTGCATGGTCGGTCTATCCGTGGTCACTCTACATTTCGGGAATAGCTAAAGGCGGCGTGAACATATAGGCGATAGCAGCGTCGCTCAACGTCCTCGGAGATGCAAGGGCTGCGGGCGCCGCGAAACGCCCTCGTTCGACGAGATCAATCCTTGGCCATTGGGTGGCGCATCAAGACGCCACACATTCTGCAGCAAGTCTCGGCGGATCGCTCGACCTCATCGTCACTTCTGCCTCACGGCCTCTACCGAGAGTGGGCCATTCTTGGGGACCCAAGGCGCGGCGCCACGCGTTTCCAGAAGACGCTAGTGCGCACTCTTGCTTGGACCTCCAATAATGGTACCTCCATTTGCAGCACTAGCGACGAGATCATATGCTCAAGATCTCGAACTGCTCGCACGCTTTTGTTGACGCTGCTTCCAGATTCGGAGACATGACTTGCGTACCCGCCGTACGGCCGATTTCCACCCACGATTCAGGTCCGCAGGTATATGCCCCGTATGCTGCGGCTCACGCAGCGCTGCCCGACATCTCGAGCGACCTGGCATGATGCATGGCCGTCTAGCAGATACGTCTCGTGCGAGCATTGATCGCTTCATTATATGGTAGACATCAGAACGGTGCGTCCGTTGTCGGGGAACAATCGCCGAAACCGGCGACCCTACTGATAACTTGGAACGATACGCACCCGATGTTCCCCATTGCGTTAGATGCTACAGATATTTGTTGGTTGTGCGCCACCTGCTGTAGTCTGACTAGCGTAGCATACGGTATCAGACCTTTGTCTAGGTGCGCGTCCCAGAATATATACTTATTCGTTGCGCAATTCGAAACAGTACAGAAGTGCCTCGGCTGCGTATCTTGCCATGATGCTGTAGTCTCGTAAACCTAAGCGAGAATTTACGACACGGCAGAGGTCCAAGCCAAACACCAATAGCATGAGATAGACGACATATGGCCTGAACATCTTTATCTCAAATACTTTTAACGCTTCGCGCCTCCGCTTCGTATGCACGGCCACGCGCTGTGACCTCCTACGCACGAACACATAAGCATCCGGCTGCATCACAATGAACTAATGCGTACCGTCACCCATTGCTGGGGGGCTGCTTGCCACTCTGACCCTGAGGTCGGTTGCCGGCTGCCCTTTGTCTGTGCGCGAATAAGATAGATAACGGTCTGATGCAGCAGAGGGTACCCACCCGAGAAGAACGCTTCCACGCCGTGTATGCCGCCATTGCCGCAGAAGGTGCACGACCCTTAGAAGCATGAACCTCGACAATTCTTACATTGCCATTCTTGTCCGTCATGCTATCGTAACGCCTCCAGCTGTTTGTTTCGTTACTCCAAGTCAATCCAAGCCTGACTTCCAGACTAATAGGTTGTCAGTGGTCACCGTAATATCAGGCATTGAGCGCTCTGCAACTTACCTTGAGTCTTCGTCACGTATTTCAATCCTGTAGAAGACTACATCAGTGAGATGGATCATTATTATTATCAATAGCGCATGGGTGAACCGATACGCACCCTAGAATTCCCAATTCATGAAGTCTAGCTAAGCATGACTTCACCAAGTGTGCCCACTCTGTCATTTCTTTCATCTCTACGTGGCACCTAGACCGAGCGAATCTCACAGATATCAGTACGTGTACGAGATTGTGGAAGACAGAAGGCAAAAGCACGGTGTCCAATTGCGAGAGACCCTCGCTCAACTCTCTCCGGTCACTTCGGGCCAGCGGTTTGAAGCGGACGTTGACGGAAGAGACGCATCTTAATGTGAAGTGGGACAGAATCTCGCGCGCGCCAAGGCAGGATGCATCGCAACCATGGATTCGAAGGGATGTGGGGTTTGTGTTCTCAAAGAAATCACATTGACGATCTATAATGAATATGAGCAACGGGAAAAAAAACACCGAGAGACCAGAGTAGCAGGCTAACGTTGATCTGCAGCAGCATCAAGTTCAGAATGCTCACCAAAAGGGGCCCAGTCTGCATCGTCTTTGTTGCCTTTGAGAAAAAGACCAAGATCGTCGAGTGACGGCCCTGCATGCTGAACCAATTCATTGATGGCGGTAGCCACCAACGTATCAGTGTCTTCTAGGAAGGGATATACCGCAGCATAAATCCGCATAATTCTAAGGGGATAGTCCATGTCGATCAAGCGACGGATAATATGAGCCACATTCCGAGGCTGGGCACTGGCACCATACACGCCAATTGCGATTGGTTCCAGCCTGGGCTGCGCAGGGACACTTGTGATCTCGAGGTCCGCAACGTTACTATCTGCAGTCGCGAAATTGAGGTTCTCGAGTGATGGAAGTGCATGCAGAAGCCGGGCAATGGAAGAGGAGGAGAATTTCCACCAGACATTCTCGTCCAATCGCAAGTTGCGGACGGAGCCCCATGGATAGACGCGAGGGGACTTGCCACAGGGGTTGCTTACTGCGATCATGAAAGTCAGAAGTTCTATATAGCACGGCCACGCAGAAGGATGGAACCCATGATGGCCGTCTTCGGACACGTAACCCACGATAATATTCCGCAGGTTCTTGGTTGGTGGCAGCAGGCGAAAATCAGAAAGGGTGCGAGGGTTGGACAGAACTGAGGATCCGGTGAAGTTGACATCCAGGAGATAGAGCTCATTGAGGCCCGACAGAGCAGAAATGAGGGCGCCAAACGTGACGATAGATGGAAACGTGACGTCATACAAGTCGAGTTTGGTGATCGAGGCAAAGCCGGACAAATTCCGGAAAACGGCGGCGTCGGCGGCCCGGAGCGACGACGGCCACGACGTCTCAGCGAATCTCAGTTGCTCGATCCGAGTCCATCTGCCTGCAAATCTAGATGCGAACGTGGCCACGTGTGGAATCGATTTCGAGTCCTTTCCGCTCCAGATGGTTACGCGTTGTGGTCCTCGCCAGCCTCCGATCCCCGTCTCTGCAGTGTCTGTCTTGAGGCGCTCCATGTCTTCATCGTCCCAGAACCCTAAGCCATCCCATAAGTGCTTCTCACACATGTGCTTGAAGAACTGGCAGACCCTGGCGCATCTTGCTATTGCATCGAGGTTCTGTTCCTCGGTAACATTGTCCAAGATCTGCATCCAGAGCTCCACAGGCAACGAAGGTCCTTGACTGATCTGCATGTTGTCTGAGTTGCAATCACGGCACTGCAACCTGTGGATTCGTGCTCCACCAAGATGCTGGGCATATCCTTGTCTTCTCGTCGCAGAGACACCATGTTAGCTGAATATTCCTCGCTGTCTTCCATCGAAAGCTGCTCACACTTCAATTAGAGAATCTCCCCGTCCCCTGTGCTGCATATGAGGACTTACAGGTGAGATACTCTGTCACGACTGTAAGGCAAGATGTGGTGCAATATGCGACTGGACTGCTGGTGTAGGTATACGGTGATTTCTAAACAGCCTCTAAACAAATATAGCTTGCGTAGTGTCAACACATAAGCGGTGAGCTCCACAGTCTCCGATACCTGCACTGTGGAGATCGGGGACCCCCTTCACTGCTCGAGAACACACATATGGTTGATATGATTGCTTCCATGCGAAAGCACAGCTTTTAATCTCTGAGCGCCTCATCAACTGCACACTCTTTCCTGCAGCTGCCTTAAGAAATCCTTGCGTGAAACCGCGGTCACTTTAGTGAAACATCAGCGAGATAGGTAGGTGGTTGCGCCGCAGGCAAAGGCAAAGTGCTCACGCTGTGACAACCCGAACAGACCCACTTTGGCTTAAGACATGCGATATGCATGCCAGAGCCTGAACACGTATAATTCCCCGGGTCTGGACTGCATGGCGGATGCTGCATCGACGCGGAAAGATTTACAATGCCGTCACGGTGCAGGAGTCCACACGGCCTCGATGTGAATACGTTGCTCGTTTGACCACTCACTGTACAAAGGATTTATCGCTTTGGTTCAATCATCTGCTATATTGCTCAGACGCGGCCGTGATCACAATCCGGACGTGACAGTGCCAATGCCACAAATAAATATTCTTACACAGCCTTAGCTCGTCATCATTGATCAACACTCCAAGCCGTCGAACAGAAGATGGTCTACTCAGCCCCTGCTTCCGGCGAGATCGCACAATGGCCGCACCTCGTATGTGCACGGCAGCTGCGCGTCTCCGAGCTCCTCCTTTGACTTTCTGATTTTGAACGAGATCCATATTCGGACCAGACGAGTGCCTGGCGCTTATAATTCAGTGCCTCTCAGTGACACACGAGACACCCGGCTCACCTCGCAGGACTTCGGATCCCGGGAGAGCGCGATACCCGGTCCTCGCTCTGCCCGTTGAGGCAAATGATGTCCCCTGGTCGTGATGCACCCTTCTTGGTAATTGTGGGGCGGGTCTCCCAGCGTGGTGAGCGTCAAGCAGACGTCGTGACGACCCACAAGTCGACGTGCGAACTGGGCCATATGTGCGTGTCAGGCTGACACGCACAGCTGTGGAGCGGGCTGCATTGCTCCTGGAGGATACGCTGGACAGACCCTCTATGTTGTTTGAGGCGCGGGCGGACGGAATAAGCAAACGATTCCGTGGGCGTCGCGGAACACCCAAATCTTCAGCCCCGTGCATCGACCTATTCGGTTGATCATTCAGGTGTACGACTAAAAACTCGCCGCGTTATACTAATCTGCAAGTACGCTCTATGTGTAGCCACGGCCACGGGGTTGTGTCTCTGGTTCGATGGCCGCATGCGGTAATCACGGTGCACGTCGATGGAGTCCTTGAGGGCCGAAGATTGAGCTGCCGGTCTGCCAGACATGTGAGCGACCTCCGCCTGAGGCATGCGCAAAGCCGATGACGGAGCAGGCGATACGATGAGACAGGTATGGTATTTCAATCCAGTCAGACGCCGTGATGCCCCTTGTTGTACATCATACGACCCCTTTCTTGTGGCGGCTGTCCGCCTTGACATGCTCAACGGCTTCCTCACTCAATCGGAACGGCATGCTCTCCTGTACCTGTCGACTACACCAATATCGGAAACCCTGACACGCCACGCTGCATCTTCCTATCTTGTTATGGTCATAATTGTCCACCCAACCGACCGGGAATTGGAGCCAAATTCGTCGCGGGCGGGCGCACATCTCAGGCCGTCGGCTGCTATCTCCTGCAGATGCTCTCCCAAGGCGAGAGGTGTGCATCTCAGTATTCCTTGTTCATCCCCCGAGCGCATCCATCGCCTTATATTCAGGGCTTGTACAATTGCCGCTAAGTCGTGTGGTACTTGTTCAGGTTCGCACAACATGCGGCGGGACGAGGTGCCCGCCGATGGTTGACCGACATGCTTCCCCAAGCTGCCTCCAGAATTATGAACAGAGCGGAAGCTGGGCTATCGCAGATGTACGTGCATGCAGGAGGCGCCAGCTTAGATATTGCGGTTGGAGCAGAAGATGCGTGCTATGGACACGCGCCCATGCCTGCCGGTGTTTCAGGCCGAAATGTTCGAGACGTGGGAGAGCATAGAGGAGGCGTGAAAGACAATGCTCAAACGATCGTTGGGAAGGTGACATCATCAATATACGAAAGTGATCGAGACGGGCGCCATCCACGGCCAGACGCCCGCCACGACGCTCTCTTCTCCTATAACATGGACACGTCCTGCTGTGTTTCGCCCTCCTTATCCATCTTCTACTAGTTCCGGAAATATGCTGCAAGACCTCTGGTGAACTCAATATGAAGCGTCCCATATTGTGTCAGAAGCTCCGACCCTCGGTCTACCCAAGAGGCAGTAAGGTTTGGGCTGAACGAGGCGGGAGATAGCCTTCGCCATAGCTGATGCAGGTGCGCTATACTCCAACAGGTCACTAGTAGATGTATTGACGTGAGCAGATACCACAAATTGAATTTCAGGGCAATTACCGACGGGATTGTAACTACTTCGGTCATACCGGGATAGCTAGTTCTCCCAATCAATGTCTACATTCCTCGCGCGCGCCGGAGGTACCATGCGGTGGCCCGCTACGTGTTCCTGCTCCTTGAACCTCTCTGACTTCACGATCGCGGCTGTAGTCAGCGATGTTGAATGCTCATCTTCGTCCTCGCTCGTACGTGAGTGACGGCCGCTCGTATTGATCTGATATGTCTTGAAACTTCGGAACAAGCACTGATCCCAGCCCACATCCACGAATCACGAAGGCGGGTAAACGTGTTCATCCCATGTTGTGTCCGGTGTGGACGAAGGATGCAGCACCGGAGTCATCTGCGCAGGCCGGCCCACAGAGGCGGCTTTTAGGTAGCGTAATGAGCTGACTTCTCTCACCGCTGCCACAATCTCTCAGTCCGAGTGATTCTGACCCACTCTTTCCAAATTGCCGCAAATCAAAGGAGCGCTCGACGCTCGACGCCAATCACGTATCGGCGACACGATGTCTACAATTACTTGTTCTCGTGCGACACAGCCATCAGACCTTTCGTCAACGTTGGGGCTCCAGTCCAGGCATACACGCGAGGGGTATTTGTCATGGCGTACGTAAGACTGCGCGATAGGTACTGCACATCCGCCCACCAGTTCTATGTCATGCTAACTCGAATGTATGTTCTCATATGCTTTCCACGTCGTCCGTCCTGACTATCCTTTCCGCGCGGGTCATGCAGAAACCCGTGGGTGGCAGAAGATTCGTGGACATGATCGCTGCGGGTGTGCGCCTCCACGTCCCTTGTCACTTCTGAAAGGACTATTAATATTGCCATGAAGAAGTCTAGGCGGAAAACCTTTTTCAGGCTCGCAACATGCAGCGGGACAGGGCGCTCGCAGAGATACATTCAGAGTGTAAGGAGAGAGAGCGGTGAGTTTGGAAGCGCACCGGCATTACGAACGCGCATAAGCGACCGTCGCGATCATCCCTCGACCGCCACTGGCGTTCGCTCGCTTGCATACGACACAAAATGTATCAAGGGTCAAACATGTGCTGGGTCAAGGCGGTGAATGGCAAGCGCACAAGTGTCAGCTTTCCTGACATTACCCTGGAGACCGAAAGGCCGCGCTCTCCGACCTTTGCTTGGCCCGCCCATCCCACGGATATTCTTTGGCCATGCTACACCCTGCTGGCCCACCGTAGAGCGGGCGCCTCGACACGGTGAGGACATTGTTATGGTCGTAGTCGAGGCGCCTCCATTCACCAGTCGACAAGCCCGTGCGCATACATGTCCTATATGCTGCCGATCAGCAAGCGCTACCCGACGTCGCGAATATTGGTACCTGCACCGCATGCTAGCCTCACCATCCGAACGGGACTCCTAGTGCCAGGACGCAATCGCCAACACCAGTGACCCTGCTGACAGCGTGGACGGCACGCATACAATGTCCCTCCCTGCATTATATGCTATATAGATGTTTTTGTTGTGCACTACCTGCTGTGGTCCGACTAGAATATCATACGGCACTAGTCGTTGACTACGTATACACACGGTGCATATTATATTTGTTGACCAATTCGAGACGGTACTACGGCACCTCTGCTGCGTGTCTAGCAAGAGGATGGAGGCACGTGAGCTCAAGTTAGAAATCACGATACGACGGGAGAGCATGTCTTGGCAGTCCGAGCGAAGCAGTAATATCATGAAATAGATAATATCTGGTTTTTACGATTACGCCTCCAACTGCGCTGACCCCTCGCGCATCCGCTCCGTGTGCACGTATGCGCGTTATGATCTCCTACGCGCGAACGCTTGAGGATCCGGCTTGCATCGCAATGAACTAGTACATATCATCGTCCACCGCGAGGAAACTACCCGTTACTCCGACACTAGATTTCGCCACCGGCTGCCATTTCGCTGTATGTGGATGAGATAGGCAATGCCCTGATGCAACAGAAGATACCCACCTGTAGAGAACGCTTCCACACCGTATATGCCACCATTGCCTCAGAAGGTGCACCACCCTCGAAAGCAGGGATTTCCATGATGTCTACATTGCCGTCCTCGTCTGTCTTGCCATCGTAACGTCTCCAGTCTTCTATGTCAACATCCCAAATCAATCCGAGCCTGACATTGGGACTGGCAGGTTGTCAGTGGTCGCTGATATGTCGAACATTGGGCGGTCTGTCACCTACCACCAGCTTTGGCCACGCATCTCAATCCTGTAGGGCATTACATCAGTGATATGGGCGGTCATCATTGCAAATAGCGCATGGGTGAGCTGGTACGCACCCTAGGACTCCCCGTTTGTCGAAACTAGCAAAGGATGACTTCATTAAATACGCCCACTCTTTCAACTCTTTCTCATGATGACGATGCAGCTCGTTATCAAAGAGTACCCATATATCTACGTGCGCGAGGTCGTCGAAGACAGGAAGCGAAAGCACGGCATCCAATTGGGAAAAGACGTCGCTCAACTCGTCTCTATCTCTCCATTCTAAATATCGGAAACAGATTTCGATGGAAGAGATGCATGTCGACGTGACGCAAGCCAACATCTCACACGCGCCGATGCAGAACGCACGGAGATGATTAACTCGAATCGTCTCGAGATACCTAAGGTTTGAATGAACAGAGAGATCAGGATGATGATCTTTAAGCGGAATGAGAAATGCTTGCCACCGCAGGATCACAATTGAATACTCACATTGGTCTGCGGAAGTTCTAACTTCCGGATAGTGTTTCGACACATCAGCTCCCCAATCAATGAAATCAAAATAAAGATGCTCGAGTGATGGTCCCGCATGCGTGACTAGGTCTTTGATAGCGTTGGACACCGTATCGGTCTCTTGTGAACCGGGAAATATCTGAGTGTGGATATCTGTTATTCTGAGGGGATAGTTCATCTTGATCAAAGAGCGGACAATATCCAACTCATGCTGAGACGAAGGAATCCCGCATTCCACGAGAATGTGAATTGGGTTCAGCCCGGGATATGCAGGGACACCTATGATATTCAATTCCCCGAATATTCCTCTTGCGCTTATAAACGCGAAGAACTCAAGTGATGGGAGCGCACGTAGAAGCCGAGTAATGGATGAGGAGGAGAATCTCCACCAGACTGATTCGTTCAGCTGCAAACGGCGGACAGAGCCCCACGGATACACGCGAGGGAACTTGCCACAAGGGTTGCTCACTGCAGTTATAAAGTCAAGGAGTTCCGTATAGCACGGCCATGCAGTAGGAGTAAAAGGCTTGTGCCTGTCAATGGCCAAGTCAATTTCCTGTAGGCACCTGAGCTGTGGCAGAAGGCGAAAATCGGCAAGCGTGCGAGGATCGAGTGGAAATGAGGGTCTGGTGAGCTTGACATCGCGGAGAAAGAGCTTATTGAGGCGCGGCAGAGCCGAGACGAGGGCGCCAAATGTGACGATGGATGGGAACGTGACGTTAAACAAGGAGAGGTCGGTGATCGAGGCAAAGCGAGACAGGTTTTGGAAGACGGCGTCATTGGCGGCCCGCAGCGACGACGGCCACGACGCGTTCTCGATGGTCAGCTTCTCGACCCGAGTCCATTTGCCAGCGAATTTGGAGGCGAGCGTGGGCACGTGTGAAATGGCGTTCGAGTCGCTTTCTCCCTCGATGATCACGTATTTCGGTCCTCGCCAGCCCCCGAGCTCCTTTGCTGCAATGTCTGTCTTGAGGCGCTCTGCGTCTCCTTTGCTCCTGAACGTCAACTGGAGCTGCAAATGCGGACGACATATGTACTGGAAGAATCGGCAGACCCTGGCGCATCTTGCTATCGCGTCGTAGTCCCATTCGCTCAGAATGTCATCCAAGATTTGCATCCAGAGTTCTTCAGGCAACGAAGGTTTATGACTGATCTGCATGCTATCTGAGTGGCAAGTACGACACGGAAACCTGCGGCATCATGCTCACCCGGAGGTAGGGCATGTCCACGTCTTTCCAATGCACAGATATGAAACCTTCCGCGCAATATTCCGCGGTGCATTGCATTGAAAGCTGCTCATATTTCGATTAGGGAAGCTCCCCGTCATCTGCGCCACCTAGGAGGACTTACAGGTCGGATGCGCTGTTGTGATGATAAGGCGGGACGTGGTGCGATGTGCGACTGGACAAGTGTGCGGCGACATCTGCACAGGCTCAAATCTAAATACAGTGACACAATCACCTATCTTGATAGAACCGCACGGAGTGATATTCGCTATGGATCCTTCCGTGCTTCCCTCCGGTGATCTCTATATGCATGAGGCTGCACAAGGCGCAGCAGCCTCAACGCATGTTCAGTGAGTTCCGCATTTGCCTACATAATCCTGCATGGTAGAGATTGGAGACCCACTTCACCGCGCCATGTGTTGAACATGCGCGTATGGCTGGTATAACTGCCCCAATGCGAAAGCGCAGCTTTCTATACCTGAGCCTCAGTGCCTCCTCAACCACATGTCATTTACCGCATGCTGGGACATCACGAGCAGACATAATCTGGCCTAGTGCCTGCAATACACGTGTAGTCCCCCGGGATCTGGACTTCACAGAGGATGCTGCCTGAGTAAATGATGTTATCTTGACGCCGAACAATTTCATGATTCCATCACCGCGTGGGCATCTATACTGCTTCGATGTAAATACGCTCGTCGCCTGACCATTGCATTATATATTCATCGCCTTGATTTGAACTTACTGTGCCACCCTGGGTAGTCGGCAAACCCCCCAAGTCGGCACCCCTTGCCTGATCGGCCCAGGATCATGCTGCCCGAGTGCATGCTATCTTGACGCCGAAGAGAGTTCACAATTTCATCACGGCATGGGCGTTCATACTGCCTCGATGCACGTTCCCCGTCTGGAAGCTGTCGCAATCGCAATCCGAATACAACAGTGCCAGTACTCTGAAAGCATATTCTTACACAGCTTCAGATCGACCGACCGGGAGATTTTCCAGTTGGCTCCTGCTTGCTTCGAGATCGTGGAGCGGCAACGCCTCATGTGTATTTCCGCAATCATCGTTCAACCCCTGAATCTGAATGATCCCATACTCGTATTGAACGAAAATATGACTTTGATCTCACAGGCTCTCATCCTCAGCGGCCGCGTTAATTCACTCGAGGCGTGGGGGGACGCACCGTCCCCCTGCTGCAAAACGTGCTATGAATCTGAAAATGTAAGGTGCTGAAAGAGAGATTTGTAGCCAGCCAGAGCGCAGCAGAGCAATTTGGCTGACGTCGCCGTCGAGACACCTTCATTCATAGGCTGCCGCGCGGGCTGAGCAACGGATATGTGCATCGCACAGGATAGAACTGTGCTGATTGCATTTTACAAAAGACCTCTCAGACCTCTCACGCAAATCCTATGCAAACAATTCCTTAAGCACAGCGGAACATTCTCACTCAACCTGTTCAGACCCGTCTCCTATGATACGCCGTGGACTGCCTCCGAGCCAACGGCGCCTCGTTTCACGATGATCATCCTCTCAGCTCACGTAGATGTCCTCCAGCTCTCGCTCCATACATACCCCATGACACCAGCTCTACGAGCGACCAGCATTGTGATCTAAAACGTCATACATTCAGGCACGTGCTACTGCACCGCCAAGGCCCAGTATATCCCCCGTCAAACGCCAAAATGAACCTGTCTCTATGTGTCCCGCGAGTTTGGAACATCGCTGTGGTCGTCGTAGGCGAAACCCAAGTATAACGTACCAAGGACTGAGTTACATAAGTCCAAGTGAGATCGATGATACGGTGGGAATCCAAGCAGCAATATTACAAAGTAGACAATACCTAGCCATTACAAGTACGCCATAAAACGTGCTGACGCCTCACATACCCTCTTTCTACGCGGGAGTGCGGTGTCATTGTCTAAGCATATATGCATGAGCTTCGGCGAAAATGCGATGAACTAGTCGGGAGACATACCATCATCCACAGCCTGAAGAAACTCGCTGTTCAGGCTCTAGAATTGATCGCTGGCAGTCCTTTAGATGGGTGCAGATGAGCTATATGGCATCGTGTTGACCCGGAAGGCACCCACATCACAAGAACACGCTGAACAGACGATACCATGCAGTGTACGCCGCCATTGCTTCAGAAGGTGCATCGCCCTTAAAAGCGGGAGTCTTAACGATGGCTACATTGCCCCTCTCGTCTGCTTCGCTGGTATAACGTTGCCACTCTTCTATATTGTCATCCCAAATCAATCCAAGCTTGATAATGGGACTGGAAGGTTGTCAGTGATCGCCATAACATCGAGCATTGGGCGCTCTGTCACCTACCCCCGGTGACTGTCGCCTGCTTCAATACTATGGGAGAATAGATCAATGATACGAAAAATTGCTATTGACAATAACGCAATGAGTGAAACGGTACACACCCCACAATCCCCCGTCCATCGAGACTAGCCAAACACGACTTCATCAAACACACCTGCTCTTTCATCTCTTCCTCACTGGCACCCCCAACGGACTGATCGGGAAGCATCCGTATGGGTATGTGCACAAGATTATCGAAAATGGGGAGTGAAAGCACGGCATCCAATCTCAAAAGGTCACGGTTTAACCTGTCTCGGCTACTCCAGTCAAATGTACCGGGATCCAAATCAATGCTGATGGATGATATATATCTCGATGCGACGCGAGACAGAATGTCACACACGCAGACACAGTGTTCCAGTCCAGCATGTATTTTGAGTGATTTGAGGTTTGTGTTCTCAGATAGATCGAAATTATGGCCTACAAGCAGTATGAGAAATTCGCGACAACGAGAGACTACAGTAGCAGACTCACATCTATCCACAGTATGAAGAATGACAGATATGCCAGTTCTGATGGAAAGATCAAGGCGGTCGAGAGATGGTCCCGCATGCATAAGCACTTCGTTGATAGCGATGGACACCGTGTCAAGCTCACATAGAAAGGGATATATTGAAGCATAGATCTGTGTGATTCTGAGGGGATAGTCCATCTCGATCAAGCAACGGATAATATGGTCCACATGCTGAGGCTGGGCCAAACAATCCACGCCAATGTTGATTGGAGTCAATCTGCGATGTGCGTGGACACCTGTGATCTCAAGATCGGGAACGTTTGTCTCTTTGTTTCCAAAGATGAGGTACCAAAGTGATGGTAGTGCGTGCAGGAGCCGTGCAATGGAAGAGGAGGAGAATCTCCACCAGACGGATTCGTGGAGTGTCAGATGACGGACCGAGTCCCACGGATACGCCCAGAAATGTCCACCACAAGGGCTGCTTACGGAACTGATGAAGTCGAGGAGTTCCGTATACCACTGCCATGCAGTTGGAGTGAATTGCTCGAGCCAGGGCTCCGAGTCCACGCGGCCGGGTACAATACCCAAGTAGAGTCGCTCTAAGCCCTTGGGTTGTGGCAGGAAGCGAAAATCGGAAAGCGTGCGAGGGTCGAATAGGAAGGACGATCTGGCGAATTTGACATCGCAGAGATAGAGTTTTTCGAGGCCAGGCAGAGCCGAGACGAGGGCGCCAAACGTGACGATGGATGGAAATGTGACGTCACTCAAGAAGAGGCAGGTGATCGAGGTAAAGCACGAGAAATCCCGGAAGACGGCGGCGTCGGCAGCCCGGAGTGACGACGGCCACGATGCGTTCTGGATGGCCAACTCCTCGATGCGGACCCACTTGCCCGCTGCGAATGTCGACGCGAACGAGGCTATGTGCGGGATCGCCCTTGTGCTCTCTTCTCCCACGACGGAGGCCAAACTCACTCTTGGCCAAGCAAGCAGCCCTTTCGTTACTACATCTTCTTTGGCATGTTGAACGTCTGCCTCGTTTTTGAGTATGAAGCATCGGCTCCACGACCCAGTGATATATCGTTTACTCCACTCCCGAAAGACATTGCAAACGTCAGCGCATGTTGCTATGGCTTCATAATCGCCGCCCTGCGCAAGCTCGTCAAAGACTTGCAACCAGGTTTCCGCGGGCAAGGAAGGTTCTCGATGCTGTATTCTGTCTGAGTCCCGGACGGCACACGACCTCACCGCGATAAGACCCTCCCAGAATGGCTTTTTGAAAGGTCCTTGCATTTATGCTGCGTTAGCAGAACTAGGTATCTGAAGCGCCCACCTTAGTCGTTACCTTAAGCGTAGTATGAAATGGGACGGTTGAGAGACGGTTAAGATCTCAATGGAAGTGCGCTGTGACGCTATCCAACAAGCTACCAGTATATATGGTGGCTCCCGCATCGCTCTGATTCACGAGACTTTGATCGTAAAGGAGCGGTGGTGCTCGATGGAACATTCTCCGTGGTTCTCGTGCATGTTCGACTCAGTATCCAATATAGCGGAAATTAGAGACGTGGAAAACAAAAGTTGGCCTCTTGTGGATCTTCGCGCATCAGGCCACTGCTTTTCCATCCGTAAGGTAAACACAAGTCCTATGTAGCAACATGGCTGTTTCATGGTGTACCCGCGCATTCTCGACCATGCGCCAATTGCCATCATCATGACAGGGAACCTCTTGTCCATACAATGAACCCATTGCGTGTAGTAGCTATCACTGTGCACAGTGACAAGTGACGGCACGGCCATGTTGTTGGCGAAAGTAGACCACCTTCAGCTGAATGAGCGTGCTGCAATGGTACAAAAACCGTATCATTGTCTCGGTTTGAACCTTACACAGCCAACCTCTGTAGTTGAATGATGTCTTCATCGATCACTCTTCGACGCCGTCCTTCTGACACCGCACCACGCATACATATAGACTATAGGTGCGTAATTCCGCATAGCCTCATCGCGAGTACGTTCCTGTTCTGACCTTCGATAGAGTTCGTCTTCGTGCGTTATGGACCGCCCCACACGCATCCCAGGGTCCTCCTCCTATATGTGAAGGAAGTATCACGTGCGAAAATGTGTGGTCAGGCGGTATACAGTACCGGAAAAGCGGTGTCCTTCTGTCCACATTCCATGATGCACGCGGTACACCCAGAATCTGGAAAACCTTGATGATCGGCTAGGCATGCCGCGAGATTGCGTGCACTTTACGCCGAGGGTGCGATGCGTCCAAGTAAGAGCGCCTTAGACCAGTTGCTCGGACTCACGATGTGCAGCGATGCGCAGCGTCTGGCTATTTTCGCATGACAGGCTCAAGCAAGCGCATCCGAAACCATTTAGATGCGGTAGCGCGCGATGGCGGCCAACAGCATGTGTTCAGCAAGATGGAGAACAACCGGTCGGACCATACACTGCGGCGCACAAACCTTCCTTGCGTGTCCAGAACACTTCCGAACGACTGGGCGAATGGATCCGAAAGACCACGAACAGGCTGACGCCTGTGGTCCCTGTGTGATGCCCTCCGGATAAGACGTCTGGCCGCTTCAGATAAGCTGGGTCATGAGGGAGGACCAAGATACTACAGCGACAAGGTATTCGTCGAGGGTGATATAGAACACGACGACGGCGCTGCATTCGCTTCGTCCTTGCTCAGTGGCATCCTAGCATATATGAAGATGTCGGTGTCCCCGTCATCAGCAGACAACATAAACACAAGGGCTTTCAGCCACATCGAATTAATGCAAGTAGCGGACATACCATTGCTGATGTTGAGTCGAGTTCAGCTGCAATAACCGACGCTCCTTTCACTGGGTGTGCGGTGTAGCCCAACGGCGATGCCGTAACGCCCGAGGCTGCGGGGCCTGCAGCGAAGCTGACCGGAGACTCTCTATTAACGTCTGCGGCGCCTGCGAGCTACGGGCCGCTTTTGGAAGCAGGAGCCTCAACGACGCATTCACATGGCTCTCGGTGTCGTCACTTTCCGGGGTTTTTTCCGTCTTCCCAAAACATTCTAATTTTAAGAATAGGCCGTGAATATGTGTCGCAATGTGATATGTATCGGGTTCATTAACCCTGGTGCGGGATACTGGTCTTGCAGAAGAGTTCGTCAGAAAAATGTTATGCTCAATTGTCAGCCCTTTCGATACACAACTAAGGATATGGTGCATGTCGAGAGTCATCGACGACAATCAGAACATCAGTCGGTGTCCTGCGCCTTTGCCCGGTAGTCTCCTGGTGATAGTCTCAAGAATATCCTGATATCCATGAAGACCTTCGACCTGTGCCCGCTGAAACAAGTGAACTCGAGCTTGATGCGAGGTATGTGCCTTGATTTGGTGCAGGACATGTTCAATGTACCGCGGCGTCTCTGTCTCGACTAAGAGGTAGTACAAAAAGTGGACATATTTGAGGCTCGTATTCTCAGAGACATCAAAGTGATAAGCTGTGAACACTAGCGGTAAGCCACACGCAGTCATCCGGGATCAGAGTAGGAGACGTACGTGGGGTATCAGGCAACGAGCAGGACGTTACGCATATACCTACACTATGGAGTGTAAGAAGGTACAGCGACGGTCCAACGTGCTTAAGTGTTGCGTTAAAGGCGCATGTGCTACGGGAATAAAGAAAAAGGATGTAACAGAGATTTTTGTTCACTCTGAAGAGGCAGTCCGCCTCTCGATCGAGGAGTGCAAAAGTTGGGCGACATGTGACTGACGACCGTGGGTGTCTATGGTGCACTTTAGAGCAGCTCACACCAGTAATAGACACAAGCAGTGGGGCAATGCAGCCAGTCTGACAGAACTGCATTGGATTTCTATCTGGTCAATTCCCAGGCCTTTTTTCCGCAGCCCGATAGAAGTCGAAAGTTGGAGAACGTACAGGACCAGGATAGATGGGCAGATCTGTCAGAATTTGACTGCACAACACCTGCATGAAAAGATCAGCACAACCAGGGTTTGAACCCGGGACCTACCAGAGATGCACTGGGTGTTCTACCACTGAGCTATTGGACCTTGGCTACTAAGGAATCATGAAGTCTCATATACGTTACTTCAAGGGTATGAACATGATCTATATTATAGATTCAGAGGTTCTTAACCGTCTCATATGTGTCAGAGCACACATTTGACAAGATCTGGGGAGCCGGACGTCGCAGAGCTTGAACACGGCGAGCGAGCGTGACAATGAGCGTAAACGTGATGTCACTGAGCTTGGGATCGAGTCGTCCCGGTGCGGCAGCAACGACGGCGCTTCCCCGCCTCGATCTGCCTTGCGAATCTCGACGCGAACGATGGAGACTTGCGACAGTTTTGACGTCCTTCTCGCGTAGCCTCTGCATCGACGCGCCCAACTTCTTCGTTCTCGGATGCCATGCTCTCCTTAGGCCGCCCATGTCGGCTACACCAGCGTCGGAGGCCGGCACACAGCGCTGCATCCTTCTGTGTCATGGAGCGCGCATCTCAGGCTACCGGCTGCCATCCGTGACTCGCTCTCCTACATCATAGGTGCGCACCTCTATGTTCCTTTCTCCACCTCCCGGGTGCATTGACCTTCATATTGTGTAGGGTCATGCAGGAGTCCTGCTAACCGGCCATAGTCGCCCCGGCTTACGCGACGTGTAGCGATGCAGCAGCTGTCGGCATTCAACAGACAAGCTTTCCGAAAACTGAATCCAGGGTCAAGGGCTGAAGCAGACGATTTGGGGGTAGGCGAAATATATGGGATGGGCGCGCGTGTCTATATAGCAAGAGGACGGGGTTACGTGAGTTCAAGTTAGATATGACGATACGGCGGGAGGACATGTCTCAGGAGTCCGAGCGAAGCAGCAATATCATAAAACAGACGAGAGTCGGCCTTTACGGCTAGGCCTTAAACTGCGCCGACGCCTCATACATCCGCTTCGGGGGCACAGATACGCGGTGCCATCTCCTACATAGTACGCACGAACACATGAGCTCCAACTGCATCGCAATGAACTTGTACTCGGCAGAAATACCATCATTCACCATCAGAAAGATATTCAACACTTCGACTGTAGAATTAATCGACGGAAGCCCTTTATTTGTATGCAGATGAGAGAGACAATGCCCTGGCGGAGCGGAAGGTGCCCACCTGGAAGGACACACTCACTCCGTGTGCGCCGCTATTGTTCCCGAAGGTACACTGCCTTCAGATGCAGAAACCTCGACGATCCCTACGTTGACATTCTCGTCGTGCTTGCTAACATCAATTCTCCAAGCTAGAACCTTAAGAGCCCATAGTATTGCAAGGTCAACGGGCCTGGCATGTTGTCAGTGGGCAATGTGATATAGAGCATTGGGCGGTCTGTCACCCACGTCGAGATGCCGCCACTTGTGTCAATTCTGTAGAAGACTACATCAATGATATGAACTATAGATTGGCAATAGTGCACGGGTGAACCGATACACACTTTAGAACTCCCCGTTTATCGAGACTAGCCAAGCATGGCTTCATCAAGTACGCCCACTGTTGCATCTCTTCTTCATGGAGACGCCGGTGGTGCTTACCGAATTCCACATGTATAAGTACGCGCACGAGATTGTCGAAGACAGGAAGTGAAAGCACGACATCCAATTGAGTAAAGACGTCGCTCAACTCTCCTCGATCACTCCACTGTGACTGGAAACGGATGTCGACAGAAGAGATGCATGTCGATGTGACGTGAGACAGGATCTCACACGCGCTGAGGCAGAGCGCACCGAGATGTTTGATTCGAATCGACTCGAGGTCACGGTTTGTGTTCTCGGAGAGATCAGAGCCACGGTCTTCAAGAAGTGTGAGGAATGCACGATACTAGGAAACCACAGTCGGATACTCACGTTGATTTGCAGCAATTTTAAACTCCCAAATCTTACCCGGTCGAGCATGCCCGCGCACAAGCATAGCAAGATCAAGATGCTCGAGTGACGGTCCCGCGTGCCGGATCAATTCATTGATAGCGGTGGCCACCATATCGGTACGTCGTGACAAGGGATATATTGGTATGTAGAGCGCCGTAATTCTGAGAGGATAGTCCATCTTGATCAAGGAACGGACTATATGGGCCCCATGCCGAGAACGAGCACCCCAACATCCCACGCGAATGTGCATTGGGCGCAGCGTGTGAAGTGCGGAGATACCTGTGATCCTCATTTCCTCAAACAGGTTTCCTGCGTTTTCAAATACGAGGGCCATAAGTGATGGGAGCGCACGCAAGAGCCGAGCAATGGAGGAGGATGAGAATTTCCACCAGACAGATTCGTGGAGGTGCAAGCGGTCTACCGAGCCCCACGAATACGCACGGGGAGACTTGCCACAGGGGTTGCTCACAGCACTCATGAACTCGAGGAGCTCCATATAGAACGGCCATACTGTAGGAGTGAATTTGCGCTTGGGCCTGTGGTTGGTTACAGCACCTAAGTTGATTGTCTGCAGGCTCTTGGCTTGGGGCAAGCGGCGAAAATCGGAAAGCGTGCGAGGGTCGAATAGAACTGAGGATCCGGTGAGCTTGACATCGCAGAGAGTGAGGTCTGTGAGGCGTGGCAGAGCCGAGACGAGGGCGCCCAACGTGACAATGGATGGAAACGTGACGTTATACAAGACGAGGCGGGTGATCGAGGCAAAGCGGGATAAATCCCGAAAGACGGCGGCATTGGCGGCCCGGAGCGACGACGGCCACGACGCCCATTCGATGGTCAGCTCCTCGACCCGAGTCCATCTGCCTGCGAATCTGGACGCGAGCGTGGCCACGTGTGGAATCACTTTCGAGTCTTGTTCTCCCCAGATGGTCACGTGATTCGGTCCTCGCCAGCCTCCGATCTCCTTCGCTTCGACGTCGGTCTTGAGGCGCGCCACGTCTTCTTCGCTTCCGAACGTCAACTCGTCCTTCAAATGTTTATTACACAAGTTCCGGAAGAATTGGCAGACCCTGGCGCATCTTGCTATCACATCGTAGTTCCGTTCCTCCGCAACATCGCCCAGGATGTGCATCCAGAGTTCCACAGGCAATGAACGTCCTTGACTTATCTGCATGCTGTCTGAGTAGCAAACACAACACTAGAGCCGGTGTGTGCGTGCTCACCAGGAGGCAAGGCATATACACGTCCTGTCGTCTCAGACGCACCTGGTCTTCTTTCGCCGCAGACGTCTCGCTGTCTTCCATTGAAAGCTGCTTACACTTAATCAGAGAAGCTCACCGTCCTCTGCGCTGCTTAGGAAAACTCACAAGCTCTAACATGACTGATAGGTAAGGCGCAGTACGACGAGGCGCGAAGGCGGCGTGCGATTGGTATCGTACTGTGTTGACATCAAACGGCGTCCTGCTCTATATAAAGACACCACGGAGCCTCGTGCAATTCGCGTTCGGCGTGGATCCTTCCGTTCTCGCCTCTAAGGCGTGCGCTGCGCAGCCTCTAGACTTGATAAGTTCAGTATTCGACGATACTTGCATCCCAGAGATCTCGGGACCTGGGTTGTAGGGTGAAATTTCGTCTCGTCCATTTATAATTTCACCGTCCACGTTCGAACTATGTGAAGACACAGCTTCCCGTGGTACCTCAGCGTCTGGTCAACTACATGCCCTCCACTATTGCCGCGAGCAGAATACTCGTGCCTCGCATCCAGTTCAAGTCAATTTAACGGACTTCGACGAGATGTAGAGGCAGGGTTTCAATATCTTTAGCTGAAAGTGTAACGCGCGTGATGTGACAACACAAGCAGACATACTCTCGTCCAAGGCCTGCGATATGCATGACAGCGCGTACACACCCGCGACGGACTGTATGCTATCTTAGCGCCGGAGAAGGCTCAGAACTCGTCCACTGCTGTATACATGGATCGCAGGTGCGTGCTTCCACCTTGCCTCAATGCAGACACGTTCTCTTGTCCGACAACCGCGCCATATGTTCATCGCCTTGTTGTGGACGTCTTCTGTCCGTGTAGGAGCTGTCATCATCGCGTAGCACACAATCTGGAATTGGCCCATCGATCAAGTCCACTCCTTCATGGCTTCCTTCCGGTGTCGTCCACAGGAAGATGCTCTCACAGGCCCCTGCTTCCCGTGAGATGGCATAGCGGCCGCGTCTCTACGAACACTGCAGGTGTGCATCTCCGAGTCCTTCGTTCGACATCTGATTTTGAATGGAATTTATATTCATATCACAGGAATGCCTTACGTTAGTAATTCGGTGCTTCTCATCGTCAGCAATCGTACATGTTCCCTCGAGGTACGAAGGGACGCCCCGTCCGCCGGGGCGTCTCACGATGGCTCACCTCGCAAACTTATCTGATGCGATATGGCAGATGTACGTACTACGCGAGACTACAACGTGGACAGCGCGCACGAGCGGAACCACAGCTCATGATCACCTCGCCGGATCACATGGGGAACAGGAGATCGCCGCTTGTCCGTGTTCCTTGTCCCACCGTCGGCTTTCGCCCGACAGGCGTCCTGGAAAACGCGCTCAGGATTGTGAGCACGAGCGGACGGTTACCGGAATAGGAGAAGACAGCTAATGATGGATAGGTGCGCCCAATGAGCACGCGTAATTGACAGGTTCCGGAAATGCACAGGCGAGGGCGTGTTTCCGGTCTCACTCGGCCCGCAAGTACAACGATGCCGCTATCCCAGCTCTCGGGCATGAGGCCACGAAGGCGCGGCTGATGTGGAACGGTAAATATCTGAATCAATATCATGGTGACGGCACATTCATATCGGTCGACAGAGGCAGACCTGGCAGAAGGTGTTTGGTCGCACACCTACTATGCACACGCAGCAGGAAGTGTGTTCTTCGCATCACATCAAAGGAGCTTAGACTGCGAAGTTTGGGAAAGGAGTGAGCGCCGCGGATCGCCCTCGCTCGACCTCGGTTCTGTATGATACCCAGCCGCTGAGACAAGACAGCCACGCGGTATGATGCAATCTGTGCCCAGGGAGCGTCGGAGCCCTCAGACCGCCTTGCAGCTCGTAAGTTCAGGCAGCGTGCCGCGCGACGCCGATTTTCCCAATGGTCGCGGTCTGCGGCAGTGCTCTTTGTGTCTGCGGCACCACTACATGACGCTCTCTGGCGACACTCCGCCGTCACTTGAGCCCTGCGTCAAGGTACTATGCCATGGTCCGCCATGGGCGACTACGTGGTCAGCAGTCCAGTGTTCGTGCATATAATGAGAGCGATTATTGAGTGTCACTGCTTGAAAAGAAAATGTTTCCTTTTCTCCACGGATGGATGATGGCGTTGACACTCCATACGAGCGTCGAGAGCTTGCTGCTCCTCTCCTGCGTACTGGATACAAGGGGGCCACGTGGACCCCTTGAGTATATTCAAGTGGGCCTCTCCCCGAGAGAAACGGGACCAAAGCACACAAGTCTTGGAGTCCGATTGAGGCAAAAAGCAAGTTACAGGCACATAACAAGTGTTAAAACAGTCTAGTATCTTTTCACTTCGTTGGACGCCCGCCTTCGTGTTTGGGAGGGGCTATTTGGTGTCGTCATCTATGCACACACGTCTTTGTACGCCTACATCGCAACGGAGAGGCATTCAAAGAGACGTACCGATGACCTCTAACAAGAAAAGGAATGTAGGCTTGCGTTTCCTGCAACAGCACTTGAGCTGCCTCCGCCGCTGTCGCATGAGCGTAGGCATTAGCGATGCCTTCACAACGCACGACGCTGTGAAGGGGAACCCGGTGAATCTCCTCAGAGATCCGAACCCAAACCGATACAAATCCGGAGGTAGACGAGACGTGATCTCCGGCAGCCCATCTGCGGGAGCCACGGGCACAGCGTATTTTGGATAGTAGTCGCTTTCCCTCGAGTTGCCGGCAAGCAAAAAGAATTTTCGATCGAGCCTTCGAAGAAAAGAGGTTATGTTTGGGCCTCAAATTAGAGGTTTCACATCGAACCTTTGTGGTTTGCCCATGTTGTCTCCCATGTCAACGAAGGCGGATGTGGCAATCACGATATGGGCGTCTGCGAAATCCAAAGGACGTCCGATGTCCTCGAAACGAGGGACCTCAATAACAACGCTGTTGTTGTTCTCATCTCGCTTAATGTCGTAGTGTTTCCAGCTGTTTGTTACATCATCCCAGAATGAACCAATTCTGAAAAGTACCATCAGTCAATGTCGCAATACCATAAATGACATGTGCACCGTCACCTGGCTTGACCTTTGGTGATCCTGCAGGGGAGTTCATCGGAGATCTTATATTACCGTGCGTGTTCGACAATCATAGTACGCACCCAAAGATATTGGGTCTCGTAGACCTCGTTAACGACGGCCAGAGCTCTTTTGTCAAGTCAGCATCCCGTTTCTCCATACGACCCCGCGGTTCCCTGGCGACTGAGCTGAGTGATATTTCTATATTTTTGAGATTATTGAAGGCGGGAAGTGGAGAAAGCACGGCAATGAATTTGGGAAGAATGTCCCTCAGCCTTCTCCCCTTCCAAGGAGAGAAATCGAGTTTGATACAGGACATGCATGCTGATTCCACGGTAGACAGAAGCGCGAGGGCATAGTCATAACACCGCGTCGTCCAGAAGCTGCACGTAAGCTCGAGAGATTTGAGGTTGGTGTTCTCGGACAAATTGACATGACAGACTACAACATCGACTGTGAGCAATCACGCTTCTTCGAGATCAAAGCAGTGGACTGACACAAGGTTTTGCGCAACAATGACAAATGGTTCGCTTTAGCACCCATGTTATGAAGAGTAACATGGTCAAGCGATGGTCCCGCATGTTTAAACACTTTGTTGAGGAGAATCTGGGGCGTATCCGATATAGAGACAAATAGCTCTGCTGAAGCGGAGACTTTCGTCACTCGGAAATGGTGGTCCAAGTCGATCAGGCAATGTATGATCCGGGCGAAATACATGCATTTGGTATCGGAAGAATGGTAGTCCAAAGTGGCGACGATTGACCGCAGCCTAGGACGTGCGAGTGTACCTGTTATTTCAAGGGCAGGCGACCTGCAGGCACTGAAATCGAGGGATTGAAGTGAAGGAAGTGCGTGCAGGAGGTGAGCAAGGGAAGAAGGGGCAAGATTCCAGCCGACTGCCTGAGAGAGCTGGAGTTGGCGAACCGAGCCCCATGGATACACACGAGGAGCGTTACCGCTGCTCACAGCGTTAATGAACGCAAGCAGCTCGACATGATGTGACCATGCGTCAGCAGTAAATTCTGACGTCTTCTTGGCTACGTGGCCCAAATCGATTGTGTCGAGTTCGGGCTTTGGCAGAAGTCGGAAGTCGGAGAACGTGCAGGGATCGAACAGATTGGATGATCTTGGGAACGTCACATTGTGAATGCGAAGCGTTTTGAGGCGTGGAAGCGCAGCGACAAGAGCACCAAACGCGACAATGGACGGGAACCTGACGTTGTCGAGGACGAGGGTGGCAATCGAGCCGAGACAGGACAGATCGCGGATGATGCTAGCGTCGGCGGCCCCAAGTGACGACGGCCACACCGCATTCTCGATACATAGCTCCGCGATACGTACCCACGTACCCGCTGCGAATGTCGACGCGAACGTTGCCATATGTGGGATCGCCTTTGAGTCCTGTTCTCCCACAATAACAGCAGAACGCAGTGGCGGCCAGGCCCTCCTTCCTTTTGTTGCGAGATATATTCGGGCGCGTGAAACGTCTTCCTCGTCATGGAAGGTCCAGTTTGAACGACTCGGATGTGGCGCTCCTGTAAAATATCGCTCACTCCATTCGTGAAGGACTCTGCACACCTTAGCGCATTCCGCTATCGTTTCGTAATCGCCCTCTTCCGCAAGATTGTCAAACAGTTGCAGCCATATATCTGCTGGTAACGGGGGTCCCTTGCTATGCTACATGCTGTCTGAGCGGCAAGCACGACGTCATTGCGCAAATGGAAGCGCAAGCACTCACCATAATGTTGAACAATGGAATACTCCTCTCCCGTTGGGATTTTCGCATTTGAGGGGCGCTCTGCATATATGCTTCTCAGACTAGACAAAGGCTTTACCTTGCGGTTGGCCCAGGCGCAGTATGACCTGGAACGATTGAGACTCGGATGCGAAAAACCACGATCTCAGCGGGGGCGCGCTGGCTGATTCGACATCGTCCAGTAAATCACTGACTCTTATATGGTAGCTCCTGCATCGCCTTGATATCTCCCGGTGGGTATCTGATTGTGACGGCAAATTCGAGTGCTGTACAGCGGAGGTCGGAATCTCTGATCGCCAGATAAACCCTCACTTCCTATGCTTTTTTTTGCGCACGTACCAGACCACCGGTTTTCCAAATACGAAGCAGACGAACACTTCTATGTGGCTGTATCGCTTCTCCGTGGTGCTGCCACGCCTTTTGAACCACACAGCAATGCCCTCGTCTGTAATCACTATCACAGGGAAGTTGGAACCTTGCGTCCATGCAGTAACGCTATGAACACGTGAGTATAGCATCTATCAACGTGCACCGCAATATCAACGCGTCTAGTACGATGAAAGCCGGCCGGGACACCATTACAGAAGCTTCATTCCTGGCACAAGTGCCCTGGCGTGTCACATGCACCGTCCCTCATGTGCATCTGGACGGCCAAGGCTGCGTATCGCCCCTCGCCTCGTCCTTCTGAGGCTGTGTCCACCCTCACATACGTGTAGTCCACAGACCTACACCCGCGCGTTCCTCGTCCAGCCCCTGGCCAAGCTCATTTCCGAGCGATACGCGGCCCTATAGGCTCCGTCCAAGAATTCTCGTGTTCGCAAACCGAATATCGCGTGAGAATGGCTCGTGGTTAGGTGGCGCGGGACCATCCGGGCAGTAGCAAAGCAAGCTTCTTTCCGCCCCTATTCCCCACATTTCATACCAGTCGGATCTGGCGGATTCGCCCACTTGATTGCGCCTCTTCCCGGCAGTTTGGCCGCCGCGCACTTGCGCCGCCTCCACGTCTTCGCTCGCGCCGGGCACACAGCATAGCGTACAAATTGAGCGACTGGAAAGGTCGTTTGGAATAGGGACTGGAGCGGCTACTCTTCAACCCTCGTCGTCCAACCCGCCGGTCCCCAATTTTGTGCACGCAATCGCTGTGTGCTGACCTATCCGCCATCCTGTCCCTTGGCATATGCTCGTGGCGAGGAACGGAATGTGGGAGCACATACCCACGACGTTTGGAGCACGGCAGCCAAAGCCTGGTAGAGCACATGCAAGTTCACGTCGCTGCGCGGTACATCAACCACGAGGGACGCCCAGGAGCTCCGTATGTACATAGCTGCGCAGCGCTTACGCAACTACTCGCACGTCGTCCTAGGTTTCCGACTACAATGACGTCCGCGGCGAGATCCGCAGGACACACGAGGACGGGTCTACTGAGCGTCTGAAAAGCTGACGAGGTAGTGTCTGATCGAGGCGGTGCGGAGGTACGAGCCTGTATATGTAATATTGAAGCCCGGAACGAGCCGCCCATGGAGCATTTATCGCGCGGCGGACTTACGAGGCATAGGTCTGAAGGCTTGAGGACGATTGTGTTGGTCGCCGGGCGCCCATGTGGTATAGGTATGAGTTTCCATCAAGGATCATAAGCAGGGCGAGGAACGCGGAGACGCGTACTTGCAGTGTATATGCGATATGCTGCCGCTCATTCCATACAATATGAGCGACTGCGACAGCTTTTACGTGGATGGAAGAAGTCCGCGACAAGGCGATGAATATATTGAGTAGTTGTCAGACAAGGAACGTGTTTGTATCGAGACGGCAGTGGAAGCACGCACCTGTGCTCTATATATTCAGCGCTGCAAAGGGAAAGACGGAGGGATTGATGTCGAATGCATGAATGTCGCTGTATATATCAGCACTATCTTTGATGTCGTTACATATATCCAGTCGCACCACGTCTTGCCTAACAGTCTTGTCAGAGCAGCCAGCCTGTGAGTCCCTTTGGGTAGCGCAGGGTACGGGGTACTTCTCTGGGAGAAAGTGAGGATTTTCAGTGGCAGACAGGCATTTATCTATGGCAGAAGAATACAACCTGTCTCCGAGACAATGAGAGAGGATTATGTCCTGTATCTGGGTGAGCACTACAAACTCTAGTGTCGCATTTGTCACTCAGACAGCAAGCAGATCAGCTAGGGAACCCCTGCCCGTAGGATATACTTTGAACGGGAATGATGCGACAGCAAGATGCCCTTGGGTATGTCGATTCTTCCGGTGTATGTGCGGTCGACATATAGAGGGCAAGGTGACATTGACGAGCGAAGAGGCCGTTGAGCACTTCAGGACAAACGTCGGAGTGTAGTTGTGTATCCTTATTTGCCTTAGGTGGAGCGCTCAGCTGTCATAGCCGCTCATGTCACTGGCCATTCAGTGGAATTGCGCATGGCGCGTGTTCATAGCTCGTTCAATGCGAGGATGGGTATTTATGTCATGCATGGGATGGTCAAACGAGTGTTATAATTAACAATACGGATCCGCATACCTTTCGCTACGTTGATCGCGGAACGATTCCACCGGGCGTCAGTGTTTGCACGAGAGGGATAGCATCCCTCTCGTGCAATCAACATGATTTCATTACGACTCTGCAGGAGACAATAAGCTAAACGCAGTTCTCTCTGCTGCATACATTCATAATAGACCCATCTGTGGTATGGAATGGGACCTGCTTATAATCAACTAGGTGCCAGAAATGCTATGTCCTTTGTCCTAACTCCGAGTGCGGAGTTCGAACGGTGCCTCTCGTGGCCGTAGAGACGCAGCAAGCAGCAAGTAAGTGTTTATGGTAATGGAGTGGAACTCCGCACAGCGTGAGATCAGCTTTAGATCTCCGCGAACTCCATATGTCGGGCCGCCCGCTCTGGCCGTCTTGAACACTCCGTCCTGCTCTCGACGCCCACTCACAAGGCACTGTATATCCTCTCAACAATCTTCACAAAATTATATTCACTCGCGCATTAAGCTATTCAATCCTCTTTCGGTGGGTGTCCAGCGTTTTGCATGTCTTCTTGCCAATCCAGCCTCGGCGCACTATTTGTTCACTTTGTGGCGTCGTCACTTTACGAGACGGCACAGTTGGAAGATAGGGAGTACGGCTGACACGAATTCATTGTTTTTCTCCACAAAGAACTTGAAACTCTGAATCACCATGCTCTGGCTTCAAGTAGCCAGCCAAATTGGCATCGTCGTCTTCACGTTTTTCGTGCAGATGCAGATGCCCAGCAATCAATATCTACCTGAAGTCGTCGGACAGCTCATCGACGCGGCTTCTCCTCGCTTCGCATACCTCGCTAAAGAGGTTGCGCTTTCGCTCCGGTGAGTGTGTTCAATACCTACGCACGCCACATTTGCTCACTTTAGATCCGCGTAGGTCCATCCGTCCCACGCTTCCGGCTCCCCCGACTCGTCATTCTATACCCCCTTCGCCAACTACGGCTGAAGCCAAGGATATCATCATCTGGGCCCCCACAACTCACGCTGTCCCCATTGAGCTGCAGCCTCCGGCGCTCGCTACTCAACTTGTGGCGTCGTCGCCGGTGCTTGCTACCTCCATGTCGATGCCCACGTTTACCCGAGCTTCCACATCTGAGGATGCGTCGTCAGATATAGTGATCTGGTCGAATGATGCGGTAGACTCAGCGAACCACTTCTGCCCGACTTACCTCGCATCCATCGTCCCTACCTGCCATCTTCGTCCAGCTCACATCGTGGCGATTGCCTTCACGTTCGCAACGATTTGGAGTGCATGTGGACTGTTCAAGATCTATCAAGCTCGGCGTGATGAGAAGACGGTATCTGCCAACAGTGGTTTGCGGAGCTATACCCAGGTGAGTGCATGCGTGTCAGTGGACACCATGCATGCTGATTGTGATGTACAGAGCAACATCGTTGCCAAGCTCATAGCGACATTCTATGGCGGCGCACCATCGCGGTCCAGAACGAGCTCTCTGGACCGCGATGGTGCTTCGTCGACTGTCCCGAGCGCCTCTGCAAACCACGATACCGTACTCACCGTCCTTCCAAACACGAACCACACAGACGGCGACGGCGGCAACACGACGGCAGCACGTACCCAGCAACAGACGGAAAGCTCAACAGCTCATGAAAGTCATTCCACGCCAGGTACGATCCTCGCGCCCTCGTTTACTGCGACGCCGATTGACCATTGCTTCCAGGGACGTCCAAGCCCTCGTGGGCCCCCAGTAGGCTCGCGCCCATGCCCGAGACAGTGTCAATGGCGCACACCGCGTACGCTTGCGAGATATACGCCAAGAAGTGTGCCGAGCATATCAAAATGATGGAGTACCAGAGCGCGCGCCCGGCTCTAGTGCGAGAGGCCATGGAGAGAGAACGCGAGGGGTTCCTAGCATTTGTCGAGCAGGAGGTCCAGCGCGCCGCGGGACTGCAGACTCAGTGGCAGGAGCGTTGCGCAGAGCTCACGAGGATTTATGCGACAATGACAGCACGCCAGGCAGAGGTCTATGGGACGCTGGAAGTACTGAAGTCGACGCGTGCGCGGCTGGACTCGGAACGCGCAAAGGCGAGGAAGGAGCACGAGCAGCGGGCGAAGGAGAGGGCGCAGGTAGAGCAGGCGCGTGCGGCCATTGCAACCAAGCGCATGAATGCAGAGGAGGGACGCTTGGAAGATACGCGTAAACGAGTACAGGCCATTGTGGAGCGGACGGTGCTGGAGGAACAGAACGAGATGCTGGAGAAGGAGCGCGTCCTGCGAGAGGCAGCGCGCACGCGAACTGAGGAAGAACACTTGGAGGCCGAGCAAAGGCGCGTGGAGGCCATGGAAGAGCAGATCCGCTTGGAAGAACAGCGCGAGATGCGGGAGAAGGAACTTGCGCGGATCGAGACTGGGCGCATGCAGGCGGAGGAGGAGCGCTTGGTAGCTGAGCAGAGACGCATACAGGCTACGACGGAGCAGATAGCTCTGGAACAACAGCGGGCGATACTGGAGAAGGAGCAGATCCGTCTGGAGGCCGAGCGTGTGCGCCAGGAGGCCGAGCGTCGGCGTGATCAGGAAGTGCAGGTAGGGCCAGCGAGGCATCTGCAGGATCGGGAGGTGCAAAAAGATGAGCCAGCTCTACGTGACAACGAAGCACAGACGCTTTACGTGGAATGGAAGGACGCACAGACGGGTCGGGGAAGCCTATGTGAGGGGGGCATGCAGACCGACTGTACGGAAGGCGTGCGCGATCAGGAGGTGCAATTCGGCCCCGCGGATTATCAGGTGCAGACTGCGCGAGAAAACGATCTACGCCACCAGGAGGCGCAGATCGAGCGAGATATGCAAGCGCAACAGGAAGACCAGGTGTCTCACGAAGGCGGACAATGGATGCAAATGGACGATGCGATGGACTCACAGGACAGTGGATCAGTCGAGCAGGTCGAACACGTCGCACAGCCTGTGCAGTACAAGCAAGCTCAACCTGACGTCGACGCCGGTCATGAGTTTCCAGTCCAGTGTACCCCTGTTCAGCCGTCTCCCCACAATCCATTCACGGCGGTTCCGCTGCAGGAGTACCAGAAACCCATTCAGGCACCGCAATCGCAGCCTGCGGTGCAGATCCCTGCTGCGTCATCTAGTAGCATGCCCTTGACAGGCCAACCGTCATCCCCGAGTCCAGTCACTGCAGCCGATACTGTCGAACCATCTGCTGCTCAAGCTGAGAACTTAAGGAAGATCCTCATAGACCTTTTGCTACAGCAAGCACAAAACGGGCAAAGCATGCAGATGATCGACGATGACCTGAACGACAGGCAAAATATGCAGGGGCAAGCTAATCATGCGAACATGAATGCGATGCCACAGCTCCAGGGAGGGTACCAACCCAGTCTCGACGACTCGTATTACCAGCCCATGACCCCGCAGTCATGGCAAGGCCCAATGAGCACAACTGGACCATACGGCTACCAGTGGGCTGCACAACCTCTCCCGCCGGCCCTTGCGACAGGTCAGCAGTTCGCGCAATACGACCCTGCCCCGCCGCCCCCCACAGCATCGATCATGTTCGACCAGGCTCCGTCCTCCAGATACTATACCGTCCCTGACATCGTCGCCTCACATTACGCTGACCCACGTATGGGCCAAGCATCCGCTTCAGCACCGGTTGCGCAGGGGTATTCCAGTCTCCAATACTGGCAGGGTATGCCAGAAACAGGCCCGCAAGACCTGCAGGACGGGCAAGCATGGTACGCCGAGAATGGCGAACACGACGCGGGAGATGCGCAGTCACAAAGTGACGAGGTGGAGGTTGACCTCGGATACGAATATGAATACGGCGAGACAGCTTACCCTGCACCAAGTGGTCATCCCGAGGGCGACGTCTCCGGAGACAGCACTCAAGAAGACCATCCGGATTCGGATTCTTCGCAGCCCACCGATCTGCCGCCCACCGATTTATCTAACCGCCCCAAGCTCCCACTTCCATCCCGCGCAAGACGTCTACAAAGTCATCAAGAGGCACAGACAGTGCAGTTCCTCCCGATGGGCCATCTTGCAGAACAGCCGCCGCTTGATGGCCAATCCAGGTAAGACCAGCCCGCATTGCGAGTCTGATACCTCTGTTGATCGCGTCTTTCACAGCGCGTCTTCGGTTGCTTGGAGTGCAGAGGTGGATTTCAGTATGCCGCAGTCAACGTATGGGCCCCCGCAAGCTTGGGGCGCTGCTACGCTGGCTCAGCACGATTCCTCGCCCTCAGCGTCCATGAGTACGCCTTCGTCACGTCTTGAAGAGCACGCGCGGGACGGCCATTCAGGAATCTATGAGTCGAGCAGCGTCTCGATAGCAGCGCCTATCGAGCATACATCATTGTCTCTCCATGACTACATGGCGGCTGAGGCAGCTTCACAGCAGGCACCGAGATCGGAATCAGAAGACGGAGAGACGGAGGAGGAGCCGGCACAGTTTCCGCCTGGGGAAGACCATGAGAGTTGGGAGATGTAGACGCGACAGCAAGGATTACTGGACGGCGCAATGTGTGAGTGTCAATCAGGCGCCTTTCACCACACGTTCGCTGACGCGCCGTCTAGGCTTTCTGCAGGCCTGAATCGATCTCAGCTTGAGGTACTCACCCCTCTTTATACCCCTGTGCGATTGTCCTTCTGCGCCAATATTATACCCATTTTCTCTGCAGAGCCTGTGACAGGCGCCTGCGCCGGTTGTGCGATATGCGCTCTTGTCGGTATTTGCTTGACCCATGCTGCACGGCCTTCGCGCATTGATGCGGCTCACCCCTTCACTGTCTGATCGAGGTATGTGTGAGGGCTGGGAACAGAGCATTAGATCAAATTCGGAGAATCCGAGTGCGAAACGCACTACGCGGTAAACTGAGAGTCGAAATTCCTGAAGAAAGCATCCGCATCACAGATAGGTGCTGGGAAGCGCTGTCTGTCTGTGAGTTACCAAAGACTAGGAAGGCTGTGAGTGCTTGTTACAGCCATTTCGCAGACCCAGTCGCTGTGTACGGGTAGTGCGCGTCGGCGCGAGGCATCCGGCCTATACTCCGAGTGACTGTAGCTTCGGCTTGCAGGCATCAATTGTAGGGAAATATGATAAATTCCCACGCACGAAAATAGTCCGCGTTTTGGATTCTACCGTTCTACTTCCAGCTTTTGACTTTCCTCAAGCATAAGTCTTGAAGCTTGAAGCTTTGAAGTGCTGCGGGGACATATTTGCATCGTGTACCGAGCGCCGCTCGCAGCCCCGAACTCCTGCTCGTTGTAACATTGTCTTGCGCTCCGGTGTGAAAGCGCGCGCTCCGCGAAAGTCACGCGCGGGACAAGACAGGGAAATGGACCACTATATCGCATTAATTGACCGACGCTTGTGTGAACCTCGAGGTAATGCCCATAAGTGCATAACACAGATCCATCCTAGCGATCACTGCCGTACAACCCCTTGATCAGGACTATTCGCATATCTCAGACGTGTGCACTCAAAATCATCAAGTGTTCAGACGAAGCAGAGCTCCCTTCGATGCCGCGGGCGCAGACATGTCCCTGTATCTCGGTGAGCGCATCTACAGGTCTTGCATGTTGCATCTGCCACTTAGACAGCTTGTAGCACAGCCAAGGACCTTCCTTGCCCGTGGAGATCTGGCTGGAAGTGGTGGCTGGATTCGTGGAAGAACGCGATTACGACGCATTGGCGAACTGCACCAGAGTGTGCAAATTCTTCCGCTTCTGGTGTCGCCGACACCTGAGCGAGCAGATGGCGTTCAAGAGCGAACAAGACGTAGAACGCATCAAGGCGGATGCTGCAAGGGCAGAGGGCTGGAAAGGACCGCACACTGTTCACATCATCGGAGAAGGAGAGTCGAAGGCGACTTCGCACCTGTCCACATTTGCGTCCAAATTTGCAGGTCGCTGGACTGAAATCGAGTGGCTGCATCTCGACAAGGTGCACTGGCCGCCGCAATGGCAGGCCGCCGATGCCGCCGTCTTCAAGGATATGTCCCGCTTCACCTCAATCACGACGCTCGAGCTCGACGGCGTTACGTTTCCGTCAGTCGTCACATTGGGGCGACTCATCTGTGCGCTACCACGCCTCACAACGCTCTGGCTCGCCGATGTTAGGTTCCACCGATGCTTTTATCTGTTCGACCCCCGTACACTGTCAGACTTCCGTCGTCTACCAGAAACCAAGCTTGAGACACTGTACCTGGGAACAGCGCACTATGGGATGCAAAACTACAGTCCTGCTGCATGGCCGCATTACACTGAGCTACTTACTTTCATCACTGCTGTGAGTGGCCACAGTGTCAACACTCCTCCGGTTCATCCATGGAGATCGATCAGCCGTCTCCAGCTCCATCAGATAGTTGGTTGGAAAATCACTCCCCCTTCCTTCGCCCGCCTCCTGCGTGCGTTCCCTGCGCTTCATAAGCTTGACTTTTATACAAAAGTAGCCGGGTACGCACCTGAACTAGAACTCACCTGTGCATCCGCTCGCATTGGTGCAGAGCCAATCATCATCACGGTAGACCAAGCCCATGTGTCGTTAGATTCAGACGATCCGTATGCCTATCAAATTCTTCGCTGCCTGATCAAGATGGACTACCCCCTCAGAGTAACAAAGGTCTACGCTCCAGGATATATGTCGGAAGCTCTCAATGAATTACTCAGGCATGCTGGACCGTCACTGGAACATCTCACACTCCATCATGTCGATGTTCCAAAAATGCGTTTATCACCTCATGAGATTCCACGTAAGTCTGCTAGCCTGATTCACGGCATGTGTGTATAGCTGACAGCCAGTGTTTGTAGAATTTGATCTCTCCGAGAACGCGAACCTAAAGTTTCTTAGCCTGACCACACGGAGGGAACTTTACGAAGTGGAGGGACCCTTCGCTAAGTACATCCCTGGGCTTCTGTCGCGCGTCACATCAGACCATATATCCTGTATCGACCTCGATCTCGATTGTTTGACAGGGGAAATATTGAGGGAAAGCTTTTCAAGGCTTAATTCTGTTCTTTCACGCCCTGTCTTCAACAATCTCAGGAACATTCACATATCATTGTTCAGAATCCGTGGGCTACGAGGCCACGGCCGGATAGAGAAACAAGATGCCGACCTCGTAGAACAACTCTGGTTGTCGTTCGATAAACGTGATATCCTTGGGTGTGTATCATATATGAGTATCTTGATTGAGATAGCGTCAATGAACTATCCTTCAGGATCAACGTTCACTCCCATAGGTACGAGTGCACCTAATATTCTCAATACCACGAGAAATAAATACTTGCTTTCAGAATTGGTTTGTTCTGGAATTACGAGGAAAACACCTGGGAACGTTATGATCTCAAGCGAGGCGAAGACGGCAGTGCTTTTGTCGTCGAGGCGCCTGCCAGTGCTTCTAAGGGTAGCGTGCATCCTGGCGATTCTGCAGACTCCAACGGCTCGTACGATGCTGAATCGTCGGGATCGTTCGACGCCTGTGCTACTGCACTAAGTGAAGGTACGGCAGCGACTGTAGATTGTGTGTGACCGCGGAATCCGCACCGTAATGCTTCCTTCTCTCATCAGAGGTCATTGGTACGTCTAATGCTTCGCCGAGATGAGGTCAGACGTTGACGCACGCTATGGTATCCGCTCAGATAGCGCTGCGACATCACCATCGTCGAGTACGAAGGGACATTTACGGAGCAAACATTCAGTGAGGCGAGTTACGGTCTGGTTATCACTGGTTTTTATATATCTATGTATGATTCTACTGCTTTGATTAGAGCTGCGTGCATTCCGCGAGTTCATCCTTGAAGGCTACAATTTGCATTTGAGCTCTGGTCACGCACAATAAAATATTTCCTCAGTTCGTGAATGCAACATGACGACCCGTAACGTCCGCAACGCACAGATAGTCGAGTATTCCGTTTTTCGCGTAGGGCTCCTTACAAAGAAATGCTCGTTGCATATCAGTCAAAGCTCATCGCTATCGCCACGGCAGAGAATGCTCCGTGGACTGCAAATCACCCATGCCGTCAGTGTAATCGTCGGTATTGGTGGCTCCGTTGCCTGAGACAAGCGCTACATTCCGCTCGTCCGAAAACCCGCATTCAATGATCTAGGTAGATTGAGTGCCCCATATCGTTTCTCCTAACATGTCGGAAGGGTGCAATTGCCAGAATGGCTGACAGCCTGTCCCACTTCCCTAGCGGAGAAGTTGTATAAAAGTTGCTCACCGAGATAGACCAGGTTATGTAATTTAGTAAGTCAGCGTGCTCCGCTGATATCCGATCTGCTCACACACCACCGATGTGCCAAGGAGTGAAGAATCATCCTGTCGTTTGCAACACGGGTATCGATTCTCCACGAAGCTCCGAATACAAGCAGTGATGATACAGTTGTCATACAATCTAGCATTGGATACTCACACCACGTCCCTAATGAGATCAGAAATCATCATCTCCTCCGCCCTCCTCATCCCACCCGCTCTCTAACGCGGCCTGGGTTTCATCATACAGCTTGTCCAGACCAGTCAGTGTCTCGAGGTATCCTTGCTCGTTGAATGCCTTCAATAGCATGTCGAAGCCTTGCATCTCGTACGCTTGGAGGACCTGTAACGGGCACCATCGGCATGAGCACCCACACAGTTTGGACATGATAGGCCACGCACCGTCTCGCTGCAACCTGTGCACCTGTCATATGCCGCGCCGGCGATAGGCATGTTGCGGAACTGCGCAAGGAAGCCGCGAAGCTGGTGCGGTACAATCCCCAGAACGCCCTCGGACGCAGACGCGTCTCCTGCATCTGCACCCGACGTGGTTTGTGGCGGGGGTGCCGGTGCGTTGATGCTAAGAATCGTCAGAAACGAGCCACAACGTCTAGCGCGATAGACCGCTTACCCGTCAGGGTGTTGTAGGAGCGAGACGAGCAGCTCGACTGCTGTGGACGCCGCAATTGAGGCGAGGCCTGGCCGGGTCACCGTGCACATTTGGTCGAGCGTCCGATCCGTGAGCGACTTTGAAATGACATTCATATGTCAGCCGGACATGGAGGCGTCGCTTCAAGAGCACTCACATCAGCTGGTGCAACGATGTCGTTGCAGTAATAACACCCGAGACGCTTCCCGGATGCGTGCGTCGCCCGGGCACCGTGGCGCATGACGAGGAAGGTATCGAAGCCGAGCGCAGCGTTCATGACGATCTACCACGCTCTGTGAGCGTCACTGGGAAAATCGAAGCTTTGATCTATCTCACCTTTCCCTTCGCTGCGCCGAGTACTGTCGGCAGCCATCGGCTTTCCCTGGAGTCCATGAGGAGGAATACTACGTCGTGCTCGTCCACGAGTTTCTCGAGCGTCTCGACGTCCTTGCGGGCCTGTTCCGTAGAGGCGGGGGGTATCGGATGGCCGGGCATGGGTATACTGAGGTTATAGCCCGCTGAGTTCTGCATAAGCCAGGCTCAGCGCAAGGTCGCATACAGGCGAGAGCTAGGCCGCGAGGCCGGAGAGCAAAAGCAATACGCACCACACCAGGGAAAATCTTCTTGAGCTTCTCGGCGGCGCACGCAGCCTTGGGCTTGCCGCCATTGAGGCAATCTTCGAAGTCGAAGAGCGGCTGCCGCACTGGATTCGAGAACGAGACGCGTGCGGAGTCGACCAGTGTGATCTTCCGCACACCCCAGCCCTATATCATGCATCGCAAGCCTCAGTCATACTCCGCTCACGATCAAAGCACACGGACACGCACCATCAGCGTGCGCGCGACATAACACCCGAGCGTGCCTGCGCCGAGAAGGAGACATTTGGTGTTCGCGACCTTCTCGAGATCCAGTGCCGGTAGAATGCGCCAGCGCATGAGCTTCAGGTTTAGGTCCACCGCCTGGTCCGCCAATCTGCAAGATGCGCATGAGCGCCGCACGCAGTGACGGTGCCGCGATTACTCGCCTTGTCGGGTCCATCATCGGCGCAAGATCTGCCACGCGCGGGCCGAGCTTGCCCTGTACGTTCTTCTCCCAGCCCACTGCCGCGGGCTTCTCTTCTAGCTTGCTGCTCGGCCCGCGCAGTACACCGACAAGACTGCGCGATGCCCCGCCATGCACCGCGCCCTCGCTGTCACGCCAGCAAAGGATACGGTGCTGCGACGCTGGGTGGTGCACGGCGAGGTACACGAGGAGATTGCGGAGCGGCCACCCGGGATTCGTGGGTGCGGCCGAGGGATCCAGGAACGCAACGGTGCGCTAGGGAACTGCATTCAGCTTTCGTTCAAGGCGGAAGTTTGGGCCTACGTACTTCCTCAGGCGGGACGTCTGCGAAGAATGTGTCGTATTCCTCCACAGGCGCAATCTCTGGCGGGCTGCCATTCTTGGATGGCTTCACGAGGAAGAATGCGCGAGGTGCGATGCTGAGCGCGGCATGGATGCCCGAGAGCTATGCGGATGAGGGTCAACCTCTGGTAGCGTGCACAGCGGGATGAAGGCACGCACGAAGGACTCTCCGTACACGTCGCTCGCGGGCCCCCACCCGCCGTCGATCTCCCATGCGGGCTTAGCAGCGAAGGCGGGGAACGCGAACCAGTAGTAGTACTTGTACTTCTTCAGGTCTGCGAAGGTGATCAACAGGAAGCGTGTGAGCTGCGCCGTTGAGCGGTCGACGGTGATGCTCCGCCAGATCTAGATGGATGTCAGCTTGCGCGAGAGAAAGGCAGTTGCAGGCGCACGTCGTCGGTGACCGCGTTGAAGAGCGCAGTCTTATCGGCGGCCTTGAACTCTTCGATGGTATTGTAGTTCTTGAAAACTCCGGTTGCTGGTACAGCATGCGCAGGCGATCTTTGGACAAGATGAGTGCATGACAGATCATAATGCATAAGAAATTGCGCATGTCAAACACGAATGCAACGGCTGAGGCTGGCCATAACCACAGCATATGTGTGGGTGTGGAGGAAGTTTACGCAAACGCTGAGCGAAAAGTCAAATTCACCATAGGCTATGAATGTCCCTCCCTATAATGAATTGGCGGATCGAAATCGTCCCGGCAAGTCGGTATCATATATATCGATCACAATCACACATCCAGCCTCTGAGGATACGACGGTCGCATGCAGCGTCAATGTGGTGCGAAACCAGTGAGCCGCGCAGTTCCACATATCGGACTGCTTTACAGCCTGTGGCATTATGATCGGTGTACACAGGTAACCCGCCGGCCGAGGTGGGATTAACCCAGTCCTTAGATTATATGAACCTTGTATTCGGGTGACGTCTGAGGCGGACTTGACCCTGGATCGCCTCTGCGATCAGGTAAGACGCGGATCGCAGCCAGCGGTATCTGGTCATCCCCACGCATTAGGGCAATTCGCACGTCAGGGAGGGGTCTGTCTCAGCCGTCAAGTCCCTAAAACAATGCAGTGCTCAGGTATTGGTGGACCAAGCACATTCCATATCAAGATGAATTTCGAAATCAGGATGGCTCGGCGTGTACTGCGAGATCGTTTACCTTTGCCCTGCCGTTCCGACGCTAAAAGAGAGTGCGACTCACTGTGCATTCTGCGCGAACGACTCTCCCCCTACGACGAGATTGCAACCGAGGGCTATCTCAACGCCAGTTTCGCGATCCTTGACCGATCTCCCAATGGAATACGAGCCAGAGACGGGGACCGCGTCGTCAGAAAGACGGAGAACATCAATCTTGAGGTCTGTGAGCGCGTGCCAGAAGGCAGGCTGAACAAGCGAGGAGAGTGGTGTGAATTGCACAATAGGCATGGCGATCAGGTCGTATTGGCTTCTAAAGCCCAAAGGCAAATCGTTCGTGGAAGTCGACGCAGGATATGAAGAGGTAAGCTGTACGGCCGCAGCACCGTTAGATCCGCTCACAAATCCCAAGAGTTTCCCCTCCGGGAAGACAACGGTGTGGTAGGGACTGGATTACTGGCCGAATCCGCAGGAAAGCGCCGGTCAGGCGTAGCCCGCCAAATCGGGCATTTTCTGACATTTGAGACGTCCCGATCAATTTGAACAACAGACTCGATGCGCGGGTCAAGAACAGCTCGCAATCGACCCGAAGAACATCAGGCGCGCAAGGAGGATTCGTACGCGACAATCAATTAATCCAGACTCTTCGGCGTCTATATAGCAGCACGGCAACAGTCGTTTGTGAGGCCAGTCAGATCGAGATTTGACGTCGACGTCGATTCTATTCTGCAATCTCGTCCAGACCTCTGCGGGAGGACATCCATTGTCCGCACATTCAACTAGGGTGTACGAAACAAAAGTCAAATACTATCGACAGACAACGCTGCACATTCGGAGCTCCGGATATGGCAGCAAATATCTTTCAGACAACACAATCAATCGTTACATGCACTGTTCGTCTCGCTCTCATATGACTCGATTTTCATAGTATAGACGAGCTAGGCAGTACAATCGTCTCCGGTCAAAGAATAAATAATCATGTTCCAAAACACCAACCGAACGTACATATCCAGTAATCCAGCGTCGTATGATACAACAGTCAAGTAACAGTAAATCTACGCTACATGTGGTCCAAAACTCACCGCCATCGCCACGGCGGAGAGGGGAACGTGGGCTGCACGTCGTCCATGTCATCACCGGGATTGCCGTTGTTGGCGGATTCAGCCCCAGCTGAGGGTGCCCCATTCCGCTCGTTAGGCCGGTGTGTAGTGAAGAACCCACTCATGCTCGCAATACGCGTCTGTGTCTGGCCGCTGCGCGTCTCGCTGGGTCGCTCGGGACGTCGTGCGGCGCCGCCGCCACCGACGCGACCACGACACACGGGGCATGTCCGTGCCGTCTTCAGCCATTGCTAGGGAGCACAATATCTATCAGCCAGTAGAACTGTGTGCACGCAGAAGAGGTGAGCCCACCTCAATACACCCTTTGTGGAACCAGTGCGAACAGTCGGAGATCTTCAGCACGGGGTCTTCTGGCTGGTACTGTCGACGAGGGTTTAGTCAACAGAAATTGATGCCGAAGATTCTGCACTCACATCGTCCAGGCAAATGGGACACCGCGTCTCACTCTCTCCGGGGGCGGCCCATTCTCGGTAAAGACCGTGGGGTAATGCGGCTACAATGTGGTCAGGTGTCCCGCGGGGACGTACCTCGCCCAGCATGCTAGAAAGGTGTAGTAGCCCCTCGTATGAGGTGTCGAAGTCCTCGTCCCTCTGCGAGGGGACAAGATGGGCAGTTTAGCAAAGAAAAATCAGTACGTTTCGGATGATGTGCATCAAAACTAGGGCTGCTGACCACGTAATCGCCAAACGGTCTGCTGCGGTACGTTGTGGAGTATCTTGAGGCGAACCCTAACGGCGGCATGTCGAAGGGGAACGCCATTTCGTCGCGGTGGCGCCGCCACCATAAGGAACGCGGTCGTACATAGCGTGCCCCCGCAGGCCGCGAGTCACTTGTAGAGTCGGCATCGCGCGGCGGGCTTGCAGGGCGGTGATCTGAGTCGAGCAGGTCGGTATCCGGGGCGAGGCGGCTTGATGATTCCGTTGTCCGCTGAGCACGAAGTTGATCGCGCCGGGCCATACTATTGTGAGTGTATGAATAGGTCGACGGATCAGTATCGAAGAGGTCAAGCGATGCGCGCGTTGTGATTCGCGAGTGATATTCATGTGTGGAACTTGGACGGTCATACGACTCGAACCAGACGTCCGGGATGCGACCTCGCGGGGTCGGGCTGGCAGCAGATCCAGATGACATTCCCGGCCTGAATGCACTCGTATTAGAGGCGTGGCGTGTGCGAAGGTCGCGCAAGTATGACGCTCGCTCGGCATCTAACTCTGAAGCAGTAGGTTGCGTTGCTCGCGACGACGATGCCGAGCTGTTTGCAGCTCGAGCCGCGTTGGAATGCAGAGGACAACTGAAATTACCACAGGTGTGGGATGAGCCAGCAGACAGCTGTCGGCAAGGTCAGTCTTTAGGCGCACATGAGTTAGTTTTGGTCAAACACACTCACAGCGGATGAACGAGCAGAAGTCAGGCCTAAGGAATCAAGGGGTGGCAGCTGCTGGTCTGATCGCCGCCGCCGGTCGATCTCTACAGACCGTTCTAACGAGGCGCGGAAGGGTCCATCATGGAAGGCATCTAAATTGATATGGCGTCGGGTACCAATGTCCCTGGAGGTAGTCGATGACGCAGGCATTAATGGCCGCAAAGGTGGGGTAGGTAGTTCCGCTCGCGGAGGAGGTGGCAACGCCAAAGGAGGTAAATTGTAAAGAACAGGAGACGCGGTGGAGGGCTGAGACCCAATCCTCTCATGCACATCACGATGTGTGGGGTCTCGACGGCGCCGCTCCTCATCTGTGTTTGATAGCGATGAGCGTGTCTGATCAAAAGACCTATCCAGTTCAGATGGTCGGATACTGCGTAGGTTGCGCAGTGCAGCGATCCTCGGTGCTCTTCGCCTTCTATCTGCTTCGAGCGAGGAACTATAGCCAATGCCATTGAACAGGTGCGTGTGCGGAGAAGATGGACGCGCTGACGTAGGCATATCCCCACCTGGCATACGCGACATGCGCTCCCGGGTGGCAGAAAGAGGAGGCGAGTTTGTTCTTATTGGAGGGATGCTCCGCCTGGGAGACAACGAAGACCAGGCGTTCTGACGTGTAGTTGGGCGGTCGGCGGGGTCGAGCCAATAGTCGTCCTCAATAAGCGAGAGGTCAAGGTCAGGGACGACGCGACGATTGCCAATATCGCTCCCCCTGTTGCTGTCGAGACGCACACGTGGCTCTGGACTAGGGTATCGTCTGCGTAAGCGTGCATACCAGGCAGAAAAGCTGTTGTCCTCTTCTGGGCTCTCCTCTCGGCTGGGTCTCCCCGCCCACGAGGAGGATTCGTTAGTGTCACGAACGATAGGGGGGCCACGACTCGGATTGCGTAGGGGCCTATCCGTGTCATCCACGTCCTCAAACCAGGCTTCGAACGCAGAGGATGTCACATTGGGAGGGCGAGTGGCCGCCCTACCACGGCTTTCGGAAGACGGCTCTTGACGCGCGAAGATTTGCTCTCGCGTGATCTGGTTGCGTCGCTCAGCTGCATTCTCAGACATGAGAGAGTTTGAAGGCCCTGGTCGTGTGACGCGGTACGCCTGAGATGACATAGTTGGCCTACTGTAAGTGCTGTTGAGCCCCGTCGGGATGGAGCGATTATTAGTGGATGGATTGCGTGACGACCCGAGACCACGATCTGCAAGGAATGTCAATGCATACGCTATTTGCGTATAACAAGGAGCGTACCATGGCTGTCCGTGTGCTCTTGACCCATTGTGCGATAAGTATTCTGGCGGGCTTCTGGACGATCCATGGACAAGGTCGGTTAAACCTGACAGCATGTATAACTTACGACGACGTACCCTGGACTTGACGTGCCCTAGAGGCCGCGAGCTGTTGCGCAGTATTCCGGAGCTCTTCGAGACACCATTGCATGAGTGCAACCTCTCTTGCTTGTGCATCGGGACTCGGGCTCCGATGACGAGCTACAAGGGGCTGCTCACGAGGTCCTGATGGTTGCGCTACGCGAGGATATGCACGCGTGGACATGGTGTCGTTAACTCGCAATTGACGTCCTGCATCAAGCCTTGCTTCGATTTGCTGCAAGTGAGCAAGAGCAGCCTCGGGACTAATTGGACGGGAATCTGCAAAGGGAGTGTGACATTGTGATCGACAAAAGTACAGACAGTACAATACCTGAGAACCGACTATGTGGCGTATTATGCGGGAAAGTACCTGATATTATGGTCCGCTGTCAATACTAGACAAGACATCTCATGTGGGCATGAACCCGCCTTCATTGTACGACAGACTAAGAGTACCCCTAGACTCACGGAACTGATGGATTAGATCTTCCCCCTCCGCGGACTCAGAGGTAGTAGACAAAGGATACCCCGAAATGGCATGTGGCGCTATGCGACCTCGTGTGGTACTTGATAGGCCGTCAGGGCCTCTAGAGATGGAAGACTCAACGTGCGCTGGTCTGGCGCCTAGCAGACGCGGTAGAGGTAATGGAGGGCTATCCGCTCGCCAAGGATCCACCATTGCGTCGAACCACGGCTCAAAGTTGTACTGGGATGAGACAGAGCGAAAGCGCGGGACACTATGGAATAGTTCTGATAATGGGGGTGGCGAGGCTGTCCGCCGAAATAGGTCATCGCCATTAGGACGGCCACCTGGCACCACTGCGGGGTCAGAAGCACTCCTGTTAGGAGCAGGTTGGTTGCCAACTTGAGAGTCCAGAACTGGCGAAGGTGAACGTCGCAACAGAGAGATGTTACTATCGAATGCATTGAAGCGCTCCATTGATATTCTATACTGCTCATCTTCGGGGTTGGAGGTCGTTTGTATACGATTTTCCAGTGATGACTGACTTGATCCTTCAATCCCATCCATTGGGGACGGCAGAACTTCAGGCTCGTTTGCCACGAGGCTCACAGATGAGCTGCCTACATGGCTCGCAAACATCGTTTCACCAGGACATAGTGTAGTCGTGGAGGCAGTCTGTGAGCTGCTGGAAGGGGTACTTGTCGAGCTTGATGCAGAGGTATGGAGGAGGGCATCGATGTCGCTGCCTTCGCTTCTGGAGCGTTTGCTGCGCTCACTGCCTTCGACGCTTGAGCCACTGCTCCCGGTCTCGTTAAGAGGACTGTCTGGATCGAAGCCAAGCTCAGAGAACGACCGCTTGAATGATGTGTTCGCCGCTGACAGATTGAGTTGCAATTGGGGACCGCTAGCAGCGTTCATCGTTGTCGGCAGTGGATGGGGAAGGGGGAGTGGGAGCACCCTAATTAGTTGCATATGTACAACAGAAGCATATAACATATTTAATTCCCACTATAGGATAGCATACGCTGGAATAAGTAGGTTATTATCTCCGCCTCACATAGTAATATACCAAGATAGCGCGCTGCCTTTAGTCAAAATCCGAAAAGGATTGGCCGCCGAGTCAGGCCTGGAATTGCTTTCAGCGGCCGAGGTGTATTCCTTTTCCTTCTGGGCGACGGGATCTACGACAGTTCAATTCGAGCATCCTCCAAGTAGTGCGCGAAATTTGCTAGGAGGTACCGCCTCAAGGATCGGCGCTCGGAGTCATTCCCGCTGCTATATATTGTCGAAGCGCTAGGCACACAAAACTCATCTCGCTCTCCCAGGATGCAAGCAGTCGGCCGTTTACGGGCTAGCGGTGCTCAGCGTGCTATCCTTGTGGCTGGAAGACGCCAAGCGAATGTACATGCGGTGAGGTCGAGGACACCAGCACTCGCGAGGGGAATCCAGTCAGTCGCGCAGACGGACAGGGTGAGAGGTCTTCCCACTAGCTATTACTGTGACTGAGATCTTCCGGTAGGATACCATCACCCGCTTGCTCTACTCGATTGGTACCAAACGCGAGGTCGAGCGGTACCTGCGAATCTTCTCCTCTTCGTCGGATGTTTCCCAGCCAGCGAAGTTCGCAGTAATCAAAATCGGCGGTGCCGTACTCGACCAGATTGATGAACTCGCACTCAGCCTCAGTTTCCTATACCGAGTTGGCTTATATCCGGTGGTCCTCCATGGTGCTGGTCCTCAGTTGAACAGCATTATCGAGAGCGAAGGTGTCGTCCCAGACTACATCGACGGTATTCGTGTGACAGGTATGAACTTATGTCCACTCGTCTTGAGCTTTACTCATCTGTGTCCGTTGGTAGATGCGAAGACGTTGCAAATTGCGCGTCGCGTCTTCCTAGAGGAGAATTTGAAGCTCGTCGGCGCGCTCGAGAAATTGGGCACTCGCGCACGTCCTATAACTTCGGGTGTTTTCACTGCTGACTACCTAGACAAGGAGAAGTACGGCCTGGTGGGGAAGATCACAAAGGTCGACAAGCGGCCCTTGGAGGCGGCCATCCGTGCAGGAGCGTTGCCGATCTTGACTAGCTTAGCCGAGTCTGAGGCTGGTCAGATTCTCAACGTCAATGCGGACATTGCGGCTGGGGAGTTGTCGAAGGAGCTTGAACCACTCAAGATTGTTTTCTTGAATGAAAAGGGCGGTCTGTTCCATGGCGTTACGGGAGAGAAGCTCGATGTCATCAATCTCGATGAGGTATGTGCGGATGCCAGACGTCCGACATTAGTTCTTAATACCGGAAGTGCGACAGGAATACGAAGCGCTAATGAAGCAGCCGTGGGTGAAGTATGGCACCAAGCTCAAGCTACGAGAGTTCAAGGAACTGCTCGACCACCTACCCCGGTCGTCCTCGGTTGCTGTCATAAGCTCAGACATGCTTCAGCGCGAGCTCTTCACAGACAGCGGAGCAGGCACCTTGATCCGTCGCGGCTACAAGCTATTCCACCACAACTCTATTGACTCTGTCGGCGCGGACCGTCTGCGTCAGGTCATTCATGATCGTGACCCCGATGTTCAAGCAGGCGACGACAGCGTTGCTGGAGTCCTCAACAGCCTAAAGGAGACTCCTTACACCATCTACGGTGATGAGCCTTTGGACGTCTTAGCGATCGTCTCTCGTCCGGAGGACGAGGTGCCCATCATGACGAAGCTCCTAGCCTCACGGAGCGGCATCATGAATGGCATTGTCGACAACGTCTTCAACGCAATCAAGAAGGATCACCGCAAGCTGTTCTGGACCGCCAGGGCAAACGACGAGAATCGCGCGTGGCATTTCGAGCGGGCGGACGGGAGCTTCACGCGTGCGGGCAAGTCGCTGTTCTGGTATGGCGTGCAGGATGTCCAGGAGGTGGAGCGTATCGTGAAGAACTTTGAACAGAAGGGCAGGATCAGCCGTTCATACTTGCCTGTAGGCCCATCCGCTCCTCCTCATCGCGGTACCGGCACTGGCGTCCGTTCGTACTCCACGTTTGCCAGGCGCTTCCCAGGATCATCACGAGGCTACGCTACCGCTGCCGCTGCCGCATCAACCGAACCTAAGCGTCTTGCTCTTGTAGGTGCGCGTGGGTTTACTGGCCAGGCGTTGACGACGCTACTGTCATCCCATCCTTACCTCAATCTAACCCACGTCTCGTCCCGCCAACTGGCAGGGTCCCCTCTTGAGAGCTACACCAAAGCCGCTGTGTCGTATTCTGATCTCTCCGTGAAGGATGTTGAAAGGATGGAGAAGGATGGGGAGGTAGATGCGTGGGTGATGGCGCTGCCGAATGGCGTCTGCAAGCCTTTCGTGGATGCGGTAGATCGTGGCACGAAGGAGCGCAAGAACGGAGAAGGAAGCGTCGTTATAGATCTTAGTGCGGACTATCGTTTCGAGGACGGCTGGACATATGGGCTTCCGGGTGAGGGTTCTCGGTCAACTGCGTAAATCCTACGATTAATAGTAACGGGTCTTGTTTGTCTGCCACATTAGAGCTCTACTCGCGCTCGGCAATCCGTGAATCGAAAAGGATCTCCAACCCGGGGTGTTATGCGACGTCGTCGCAGCTCCTCGTCGCTCCCTTGTTGAAATATCTCAAGTATGACGCCTGGCCAACTGTCTTCGGTGTGTCGGGTTACAGCGGTGCTGGGACAGTCGCGGGACAGTCCGCAGCGGACGGCCGCCCGACCACTGTGCCCAAGGTGTCTCCTGAGAGCCTAATGGGTGGCATTAAGCCATACGCCCTGACAGACCACATCCACGAGCGCGAAGCCGGCCGACACCTCTCACGTCTGCTGAAGGACCCCTCGAGCCCGATGAAGGTCGCATTTGTGCCGACCGTGGCGCCATGGTTCAGCGGCATCCTCTCCGTGATGTCCATGTCTCTGAGCGAGAAGGTGACCGCCAAGGACGTGAAAGCGTTGTATGAGGAGAGCTACAAGGACGAGAAGCTTGTGCGGATTCAGCGGGACGTCCCGGTGGTTCCTGACGTCGCGAACCAGCACGGGTGGACTGTGGGCGGTTTCCAGGTCCATAGCGAGGGCGACCGCGCAGTCGTAGTGGTGAGTATCCTTACTAGTTACATTTAAAGAAATTTAACACTGTCGTCAGGGCGGCTTGGACAACCTGCTTAAGGGAGCTGCTACGCAGTGTCTACAAGTAAGTCGCATCAAAACATAAAAGCGGCAATTTGCTGACATACGACCATAGAATCTTAACCTTGCCCTGGGTTACGACGAATATGCGGGAATCCCGCTCCCCCAATGAATATATTCAGAGGTCTGATGCTCTCATAATGGATCACTATTAGCGTATAACACTGCGTGAATGAAAGTATACAAAGATGCTGATATGCGATAATCTACGTGTACATTGCTACGAATGCATTTGATTCGACAACATGTGAACATAGTGGGATAACGAGGAAGAGAGCGTCGTGATGTTGCTGCAGCAGCAGTGAATCGCGCGAGATAAAACAAGACAACCACAGAGGAGTGAGCCGTACATATACCAATACTGCGGGGTCCGCAGGGTTTTAAGATAATTCCATTGGGTCAATCGTAAGCACTCATAGCCTTTTCGATCTCTTCGTAGGTGAAGGGCATTTCAAGGTCACCGAAGCTCGAATCTGCCTCGGCAGGGGGAGACGGGGACCGTCTGCGTGTGGGTATCTTTTGTGGGGGACGTGAGGGTGCTGCAGGGTTCTGTAGCAACGGCAACGATGGTGTCGCCGCAGGCGTGATCGGTGTATTCTTTGCCGCCGGTGGAGGGCGCGCGAAAGGCGGCTTGAACGGCTTCCGCTTCGTTGGCAGCTCCTGCGAGGGCGTTAACTGTGTTGATGACGCTACGCTATAGCTGATTGGGCGCATGCCCAGCACGCGCGACCGCGGGGCGGCGCTGGTTGTCGGCGACGTGCTCGCGCTCGCGTTCGTGGTCTCTGAGGTGCGCCTGGTATCTGGTATGCACTTGGTCGTGGACGACGCTCCACTGAGCGACGTTGTCGTCACTATGGGGGCCAAAGGAGACGGACGCTTATGCGAGGACGACTTGGGCGGTCTTTCACGCCGCGGAGGGGACAAGTTCGGCGACCCCTCGGATCGTGACCGTTCGATAGGCGTGCTGTGCGGAACCGCCGTGAAATGAACACTCGGCTCTGCGTTGTAGGCGGCAGGAGGGGTGATGTATGACAGTATGTCCAGATCGCCCATCTCAACCGTCGTGTTCTGCTGTGCCGCTGCGAGATCGTCATCGCTATCACTGGAACTCAGACTCCATCTCCGCTGATGACTGTGTCCGCGCGAGTCCATGCTTGACTTTCGCCGCGATCCATTGCCATGTCCCTGTCGGTCGGCGTGTTTATGCGAGACGGTGCTGGCGGTCTTGGTGTCCCGCTGGTTGGCATGTGTATGCGAGCTGGCGCTCGCCTCTCGGGGGTCAATTGGCACACTGGACGCTGAGCCCGGGACTCGGTGATCAGCCGAACCACTACGAGCAGGCCGACTAGTCTCTTCGCGAGCACGCACCCTCGCAGCCTGTCGTTCCATATACTCCACGCGCTGGCGAGCCGTCCTCAGCGTGTCCGTGGATGCTTTGCGCAGAAGCCTGTTCCATTCGGTTGAATCCACCTCAATGTGCGACGTGCTGGCTGTGCTCACGTCGGCTGCTGTGGCTAGGCGGGGCCGCGTTTGGCGCGAGTGCGTCCGGATCAGAGAGGCACCCGGTCTATGCTCCGAAGAGGCCGACGAATTTGACGATAAAGGTGAAACGGTCTGGTCAACGAGCCCCTTGTGTTTCTCGGACACTGGGATGGTGCGTGAGCAAGATCAGCTGTAGTAATGATGAAGTCCTGGACATACCTCTTTGTGATGTGCGATTTACCTTGAGGTCGTCCAGTAGCGCGACGAATGTCGGTGGCTGGGTAGGTTCCCACCTCACAACGTCACGGTCTGGATGAGAGTCCCGCATACCAGGAAGCCAGGAGTAGAATGCCTGTGAGAGTTCGGGGTCGGGGTCGACATTCATATCGTCTTCGTCCATTGTTTCTGGCCCTGGGCCGCCTTATACAAGCACGACCGGTCGATAGTGAGCGAAAGTATGCCGTTCTGGGTAATCTGCTGTGTTTGTAAGAGAATTGATGGCATGCGTAGCGTTTCCCGAAGCAAAAATGAGAGAAAGAAAGAACGAAAGCGAGAGCGGCACAATGAGGGCCTGTGTGTGCTGCACGCGTCGCGTCGCGTCTACACGTGATCCAATAATGGATCAGATCAAACACCCTAACAGGAAGCTGGACTCCTAGATAGGGCAGCAGGGGCTTGCTCACCACTTGTCCTTCATCACGCCGTGTAGAGCGTATCAATCTCAATGTAATGAGAGTCTATCTTGTAAATACATGGTTTCAAACTTGAAAGTTGTTGCTGAATTTCGGTCAGTGCACGTGGCTTCAGCATTGACAGACGCCTTCCCGATTTAGGTAGGACGCGTCTCGCGGTGCGCGACTTGGTTCGACTCCATCTCCTGTTTTGCCTCTCAAAGCTAGGGGAGCCTAAGAATGCCCGCTCCGAGGCCGTCGCAGAGCGCGGAGGCGGCACGCGCTGCTGCGCTACAGGCGGAATTTAACGAGAAGAAATGGGTCTGGGTTCCGGACGACAAGGATGGATACCTCGCCGGCTGGGTGATCAAGGAGGAGGAGGACATCGGAGAGGTAGTTATTGCTTCTGGCGGCGAGGTGCGTAGCTGTATTAGATTACTTGTGGACGGAACATGACTGAAGGGACAACGGCAGATACGACGACTGCCGCTGTATGCGCTCTCCAAGATGAATCCCCCCAAGTTCGACCGTGTAGATGACATCGCGGATTTGACATTCCTGAACGAGGCCAGCGTGGTCCACAACCTCCGTTTGCGGTACGGCTCTGGATCAATATATGTGAGTGTCTTCATCAGGTGGCTCGCGCTCGAGTACTTCCTGTGGGTTTCCGCCTCCCACAATTACTTACGATTTCTTGACAGACGTACTCGGGCCTTTTCTTAGTTGCTATCAACCCATACCAGAACCTGCCCCTCTATTCTGATGCTATTGTCCACCAATACCGAGGCAAGCGCCGGGATGAGAATCCCCCACACATATTTGCCATCGCAGAACGCGCGTGGATTAACATGGGCGAAGAACGCGAAAACCAGAGCATCCTGATCACGTATGTTTAAATTCAATTGTCATTTCTTAGCTAATATCCCTGGTAGCGGCGAGTCTGGCGCGGGTAAGACGGAGAGCACAAAGAAGGTCATCCAATATCTTGCAGCAATCGCGACTGATACGCACCTTCCACAAGCTACACCTTCACATTCACAGTCCCCGTCATTAGCTGGCTCGTCGTCTTTTGGCGCTGTCATGCCTTCCACAGGTCTTCCCCGTAGCAGTTCTTTCCGCAAGCACGGCAAGGGCGTGTCAACGAGCGGGTCCGGTACCGGTTTGACAGCGAAAGACCGTCTCGGGCTTCTGGAGCGGCAAATTCTGCAGGCAAATCCTATCCTTGAAGCGTTCGGTAATGCGCAGACGCAGCGGAATAACAATTCAAGTCGTTTCGGAAAGTTCATCCGGATCAGTTTCTCCCCAGATGGTAGCATTGCTGGAGCAAATATTGACTGGTACCTACTGGAGAAGAGCCGGGTAGTTGTGCGCAGCGAGGCGGAGAGGAGCTTCCATGTATTTTACCAGCTGATGGAAGGTGGCGGCAGCTTGAAAGGTGCGTTGGCGAACGGTAAGTGAGATAAACATGAATCATGACTATGTCGCAGAGACACTTCTACTCGACGGCGGAGTCGAGGACTATGAGTATCTCAACAAGAGCCGACGTGAGGTGGATGGCATTGACGACAGAGAAGAGTGGGCTATGCTGAAAGTAGGCCTTAACTGGTCAGTCATTGAACGAGGTACTGAGATCTCCTTCTAGAACGCACTTGACGTGGTAGGTTTCACGCCAGCGGAGCAACTGGATCTCTTCCGTATCGTCGCCGCCATTCTACACATCGGCAACATTACCATCGCATCCACTCGTTCCGACGATGCTACTATGCCCGATCCGTCCCAGGCAGAACGAGTCTGCCATTTGCTGGGAATCCCAGTTGCGGAGTTCACCAGGGCAGTGCTGCGTCCGCGTGTGCTTGCAGGTAGAGAGTGGGTGACACAAGCACGGACCCAACAACAAGCACTGGAAGAGCTCTCTGCACTTTGCAAGACGCTGTATGAGAAGTCATTCGGAATGCTCGTCGATCGGGTTAATCGCGCGCTCGATCGCCCGTCGTCGAAGTCGACGTTCATTGGTGTCCTCGATATTGCTGGTTTCGAGATCTTTGACGTGAACGGCTACGAGCAGCTGCTAATCAACTACACCAATGAGAAGCTCCAGCAATTCTTCAATCACCACATGTTTGTGCTCGAGCAGGAGGAGTACGCGCGGGAGGGCATTGAGTGGGACTATGTCAACTTTGGGCTAGATCTGCAGCCAACCATCGACCTCATCGAGACAAGCGGGAATGCTATCGGCGTGCTGAGTCTACTTGACGAGGAATGTATCATGCCGAAGGCGACAGATCTCACGTTTACCAACAAACTGCACGCACTCTGGGCGAGCGAGCCAATGCCCGGCGAAGAGCAGCATCCCGGCGCCACGAAGTATGAACCAGCTCGATTCGAGCAGGGCTTCCTCGTGCACCACTACGCTGGGCGCGTGGAGTACCGCACGGACGGATGGTTGGAGAAGAACAAAGACCCACTCAATGACAACCTCACGCGCGTCCTTGCAGCATCTCAAGAGTCATACGTCGCGTCTCTGTTTGCGGAATATAACGATACGCAGTCGGTTGTTGCCGGACATGTCAATGCACTGTCGATGGGGAGGAAACGCGTCACAAAGAAAGGCGCGTTCCGGACGGTCGGACAGCGTCACAAGGAGCAGCTTGCGGGGCTTATGGCCCAACTGCAGGCGACACAGCCGCATTTCGTACGCTGTATCGTGCCCAATATCCTGAAGAAGCCTGGACGCGTCGACGTACCACTCGTCCTCGATCAGCTGCGATGCAACGGTGTCTTGGAAGGTATCCGTATCGCTCGTCTGGGATATCCAAATCGCTTGCCGTTTGTTGAGTTCCGACAGCGTTACGAGGTGTTGACACCCGGGGTCATTCCGCGCGGATACATGGACGGTCGCAAGGCGTGTTTGCGGATGGTCGACGCGCTGGAGTTGGACAAGTCGAACTTCCGGATTGGAACATCGAAGATCTTTTTCAAGGCTGGTGTGCTCGCAGAGCTGGAGGAGCGCAGAGACGCTCTCCTCTTTGACATATTCTCGCGGCTGCAGGCTATCGCGCGGAAGTGGACTGCTCGACGGCAAATGAAGAAGATCTTGAATCGGGCGGTGGCTATCAGGGCCATTCAGCGTAATGCGCGCGTGTATGGCGAGCTGCGGGATTGGCCATGGTGGCAACTGTATACCAAGGCAAGTTGACTCCTCCATTCAACCGTGACTGTTCTGACGACCTCATGTAGGTCCGCCCGCTGCTCGCCGCCACCCGTAATGACGACGAGCTTCGCAAGAAGGAGGCCGAATTAGCTCTCGCCAAGGAGCGTGCGGAACGTGATCAACGGGAGAAAGAGGCTCTGGAGGGCTTGAAGATGCGCTTGGAGGCCGAGAAGAGCAAGGTCGAGGACGAACTTGAAGCTGAGCGTGCTCTGGGATTAGACAAGGATTCCTTGCTGGAGCGGAGCAAGAAGCGCGAGGCCGAGCTCGAGGAAGAGGTTACTGCGCTCCAAGCCGATCTTGACACACTGGACTCGCAGCTCGATCGTGCCTTGAAGCTGCAGAAAGAGAGCGAAGAGAAGCACGAGACTTTACGACAAGCCTTTGATCAAGCCGCCGAACATCTTGTCCGCCTAGAGAGTGAGCAACAAGACTGGGAAGCTAGAGAAGTCGAGCTCGGTGAGACTTTAGACTTCGCTCAAGAGGAGATTGAGGTCTTGAAGACGGAGAGGGAGGAGCTCCAGAAACTTGCGGATGAATTGAAGAATCTCGTAGCTCAGCGAGAGGAGGACCTAGCCCGCGCAAAGGAGCGCATGGAGTCCACACTTTCCGATTTGGATGGCAAGCTCACCAGCGAGGTCAGAAACAGGTGAGTATCTTGATGTAGTGTTGCTGCATCATTCATATCTGTACATCAGGGACGCGCTTCGTGAGAAATCGGACAACCTTGAGCAGGAAGCTCGACATGCGAAGGAGCAGCTTGCTGAGATGGCGAGAACTGCAACGGACTACTCCAATATGATTAAGAAGAAAGAGGAAGATGCAGATCGCTTAGCAGATGGACTGGACAAGTCTAAACAAGAGCGCGGTCGTCTCTTGAAGCAGATTGCTGAGCTCCAAGCCAACATCGACGCCTTGACAGCAGAACTCGAGGTGCAGCAGAGCGACCGTAAACGCGATGCATCAGCTCAGTCCAAGTTGCTAGAGGAACTCGACGAACTTCGTGCTTTATTGGAAGCGAAGACGACTGAGGAGACGCGTCGCTCCGAGGTGGAGAAGAGCAAGGAGCAAGAACTTGCTGACTTGCGGGAGCAGGTAGCCCAGGTTACACAGGAGCTCGACGACGCTCGTCGGAATGCCGTCGATAGCCAGAACAAGCTGAAGATTGATCTTGATACTATAATCCGCGATCATAGTTCCCTTGAGCAAAGCCACAAGTCTCTCTCTGATCGAGAACGCTTCGCTCAAGCTCAGTTGAAGAAGACCGAAAGCGCTCTCGGAGAGGCAGATAAGGCCAAACGTACTCTTGAGTCAGAGCTTCAGTCCATTCGCTCTCGTCAGAACTCTGCCGAAGACGAGCTTGCTGAAGTACGGAAGGCGAAAGAGGTAAGTTCATATAAACTTCTGTTGCAAATCGACTCACTCGTTGCGCAGGCTCTCGAACGTCAATTGTCGACGGCCCAGGCAAAGTACAAGGACTTCGAGGACGTTGTCTTGCAGCTGGAGCGCGAGAAGAGTCTCCAGGACCGACAGATGGATGCCATGAAGAAGCAGCTCGATTCAGAATCTACAAAACGAGCACACCTGGAGAAGTCAGCCTCGTCTCAGAAAGCTGAGATCGCTCGTCTAAAGGACATCAACATCAAGCTCGACCGTGAATTAAACAAGGCGCTTTCTGATCTCAAAGCGCGCGAATGGGAAGTGAAGCAACTTGAGGCCAAGCAAGACAAAACGATCGTGGAGCATGTTCATGTACTCGAGGAGGCGAAGCGTGTCACGGACCGGCAGTTGCAGAAGGCCCAAGAAGAGCTGCAGGCGAATACAGCCTATATACGCTCCCTAGAGAAGGCGAAGAGCAGGTTCATGAACGAGGCGGAGGATCTTGCCCGAGAGAAGGAGCACGAACAAGTAGAACTTCGAGCGAAGGACAAGCGAATCAAGGCTGAGGAAGAGAAGGCACATCGTGCACTCACGAGCCTCGAGATGGAGCGGCGTTCAAGAGAAGCTGCCGAACTGCACGTTCGACGGTTGCAGCAAGAGCTCCAGAGTACTCAGAACCAGGTATCGGACGTCATGCAACAATTCAGTACTGTGCAAAAGGCAAAGGAGAATCTCGAGCTCGAGCTCACCCGGCTTGCAGATGAAACCGACGCCCCGAATTCGGCTGCGAAGCTCCAACGGCAGTACGAATCTCGCATTGCCCAACTGGAGAGCCAACTGGAAGACGCAGAAATCGCAAAGACAACAGCGCTCAGGATTAAAGAACACGTGGATCGCCAGCACGCTGAGATACGTCGACTCATCATGAATAACGGACCCAAAGACGAATCGTTCCGATCCCGTCTATTGAAGGAGCTGCAACTTGCTGATGAGGAAATGGAGCGCGAACTGTCAATGCGCCAACAGACGCGTCTCTTGACCGGTTCGGATGCTCGCTCAATGACTAACGTCACTCCCTCCAAGCGTCATACAAATGGTACCTCGCGTACGCGGAAAGATTCACATCCTGAAGCTCCGCGTACTCCAGACAGGCAAGCACAGGTCAATGCTCTCAAGCATCAAGTCCAGATCCTCGAGATTCAAATGGCTGCTTCCAATCGTGTCCGCCAATATCTAGAATCATCCTTGAAGGAAATGACAGACGAGCTTGAAAACAGTGACGGTTCGAAGCAATCACTCGAACAATATCGAGCTCGTCTCGCTAAGGAGAACGCTCGTCTGGCGGAGCTTCTGGAGGACGAGGCAGAAGCGAGGAGGGCCGCGGAAGCTGCTCAGCTCAACGGCATTCAAGCGATGTGGGACAAGTTCCAGACTCAGATCTCCGAAGAGAGACAGAGCTATGCTCGCCTGGAAGAATCGCGCAAGGCGTTGGTAAGAAGTTTCGTACGCTAGTTGTCGTAGTGACTAACATCCCTCCAGGCGGTCCAACAACGCGCCGCCCAGGTCGAAGTTGAAGACCAACGTCGCCAAGTCCAGGAACTCTTGGTCGCCAAAAGGCAGCTACAGGCTGAGGTTACGGATCTGAAGGATCGTCTAGAGATTGAACTTGTTGCGAAGAACGATGAAACGAGTACGTGGCCATGGTCGGGGCCTGCTAGTATCGTGCTTATCATCTACTCAGGCGCGAAACGGCAGCTTCAGCTGCGTTTGCAGGAGCTGGAGATCACAACCTCAACGTCGACAACTATACACTCCGGTAATTATCGTCTATCGATGAACTGAGCGCCACTAATATAGCAAATTCAGAGCTGCAAGAGGCTGTGGAGTCGTACAAAGCGAAAACGGAATCCTACCTTAAGAAGCTGGAAGAGGCTGAGATTGCGAAAGCCAAGACAGCGCGTGCAGAGACGCTAGGTCAGTGTCGCATGAAGTCATGCCACGGGGATGACTGACAAATGTATCAGCCCGCCGAGCTCTTGCTGACGCCGAGAAAGCCCACGCTGAAGCGATCAACGAGCGCAATGCAGCAGAAGAGGGACTGAACACGGCCGAGAAACGTATTCACGAGCTCGAAACCAAGCTCGAGGAAGAAGGACGCGAGTCCACCGACCTCGAGCTCCTCAGACATAGGCTGGCGGAAGAAATGGAGGACGAGCGCAAACAGCATCAACAAGACCTAGCGGAGCGAGACTTTACTGCTGACCAGACCAGAAAGAAATATCAAGGTGAGCGCTCCCTCCGCTTTTGTGGAAAGCCCTGTTTAATCCTCTCCAATAGCGGAGCTTGCCCAGCTTAGCGAAGGTATGTTCCAAATTGCCTATCCCTACGAGACGTTGACTTATTTCTCCGTCAGAGCTGCAATCACAACGTGATACCATGAGTCGCCTGCGTGAGGAAAGCAGGAAACTTCGCTCCGACTACGATCAGCTCCAACTGCGCCATGACGAAGAGGTGTACAACGGAGGGTCCTGGAAGAAAGACAAGGAGCGCCTTGAGACCAAGATCCAGGATCTGACCAAGGCATACGACTCGTCAACGGCTGCTCAAGCTGAGCAACAGTCGCAGATTGTGTCGCTGCATTCGCAAGTCAGAGAACTGCGCAGTGTTCTCAATGATGCCGAGGCAGATCGTGCGCTTCTACAGAAGGCGCGCCGTGCCTTACAAGCAGAGCTAGAAGCAATCAAGCTAGATTCTGTTGACACCACGAAGCTATCTTCAGACACGGAGCTACAGAGGCTTCATCTAGAGAAACAAGACCTCGAGCGAGCACTTGAGGAGCAGAATGATCGTGTCACGATGGCATTCGATCGCATGAAGAAAGCTGAAGGGTACGCCAACGAGTGTCAAATCGAGCTGGGCAAGACTCGCGTAGAAAACTCGGAATTGGACAAGCTAAACGTATGCAACATATGCGGCTTTTATTTGCAGCATGCTGATCAGCTATTTAGGCAAACCTTGAGAAGCAGATCAAGGATCTCAACCTGCGCATTGTGGATCTAGAGACGAGATCGCTAAATTCTCCGCGTCCCTCTACGTCCCGGCGTCTGGAAAGCAGGATCGAGGAGCTCACCAGCCAGCTCAACCAGAGTACCAAGGATAACTCTCGGATTTATCGGACAGTAGACAAGAGTGCCCGAGATGCCAAGTTCCAGCTGGCAGATGCGGAGCGCCAGAAGACTCGCCTCGAGGAAGAGGTCAAGTCGTATGAGGCAAAGATCGTCAGCATGCGACAAGCTATGGACGAGCTGGTAAGTGAACTGACTGCGGTCACGTACGCTGGGCGCCATTGATGAACGATCATAACAGCAAACTTCTGAGAACAACCTTCAGCTTGAGAAGCGGCGTGCTGAACGCGAGGCTGCAGATCTGAAGCAGAAGTCACTCAAGTGGGTCGTGCGCTGTCTTTTGATTTGTCAATGACTGATTATTCGCTCCTAGCCTCGAGCGAGAGGTAGAGCGGTTGCGCAGCCGATTAGAACGCCCCTCGACCGTGCTTTTGGGATCCCCCGTTAGTTCACCACGGAAATGATATCAAGACTTTTCACGACGAACATTTGTACGCCACTTATGATCTTTACGACCTGCATCTGCTATACCATATTCGTTGTCGCATCTTTCTGTATCACTAATCTGGACGCTCTCGAACACATCACTCTTCTATCTTGCTTTCTTGTTCTACTTTTTCACCATGGTCTGGATTCGCGATCGTTCATGAAATGTACTCTTCATCATTTTCTTAAGCGTATTGTTATTACCTTTCACTGCTCGATCTTGCAACAGAGTGGCTTGTCATCCCAGACGTATGAGGTGACGCGCCACTTGGCGCTGACTTTTGAGGCCAGGATGACGGTAAGGTTAGGGTCACCCCGGCACTTGCCGCAACTATACAGCCAGGGTCAGCCACACAGTCGCTCGTCCCGCATAGTGAGCGGTAAGCGCCCCCCGACGCCGAGCAAGACATCTGGCCCGCCATGGTACGTCCGTGCTGCTGCTCAGCATGCTCAATATTGACCGAATTTGCCTCTCAGCCCAAGGAAATCCGCGACATCAAGCAGTTCATCGACATTGCCCGGAGAAAGGATGCTGTCGGTGCGTCCTCTGCCTAGTAGTTGCCTTCGAACTTGCTCTGACCTCTGCGTTCATCATCCGCACGACTTCAGAGGCGAGGATTAAGAAGATAGCCCCTCGTGTGCCCGGTGCGAAGACACGGACGAAGTTCAAAATCCGGTGCTCGCGCTACCTCTACACGCTTGCGCTTGAGGACCCCGAGAAGGCAGACAAGCTGCAGCAGAGCCTACCACCAGGTGCGTCGTATTCACTGTCTCAAATGCGTAGAAACCCTAACATTAAGCTCGTCAGGCCTCACCGTGACTGAGGTCAAGAAGACACCCAAAAAGAAGTAGAGCACCGACTCTGCACTCGTCGTGGTGGACTATGGCTTTCGCTCTCCAGTCTTTGGGCACTGTTGGGCATTTATGTGGGATTGTATGCTCCAAGTTACTTGATAATATGCATACGTACAGCGCACGACACCACGCTGTTCCTCTGTATCATTACGATGTCGATGCAACCTTTTTGCTATGCACCAGACTTTCGACCGGGATTGCTGCATGGAAGGTAGGGATGATATCAAGCCACTGATGACTTTGGCCGCTTCACAAGATATGACATTATATAGACATGTGGAGTCTATCCCAATGTCCGGACAACACCCAACAGGCAGCACAATCCGAACAAGATGATCGACGCATAGTGAAATGTCCGTTGAAGGCGAGATTTCCACTCACCACGGGGCGAGGGTCGATGAACAATACTCCCAGGTTCGCCTTCCAATGCAGCCAGCTCCACGTCTTCACGCGCATTCGATGAGCCTCCCGACGACATGACGACGAAGTCGGCACTAGCATCCAAGAATGGTCCGCCGTCGAGAAACGATACAGGAAGCATGTTGAAGAAATAAAGTGATAAGCTGAGCATTTGAACGTAGCTTCGCACAGGACGTCAGATTAGATGCGACGCTGGCATTGACGTAGTTCTAGTCACACTCACCCGATGAAGGCTCCCACGAGAACGGGAAGACGAACGGGGAGCAGGTGCATGCGGGGTGCCCATGTGCTGACGTCGACTGTGCAGTGCGGCGTGATGGTTCGTGGTTAGCGCTGTCACAGATGGCCGAACAGAGTGTCGGTGCGTACCTTCTGCCAGAATCTCTGCCCGCGGTCCGCTCCAGACGACGACGCTGTCGGCGGGGCCATCAGATGCCCAGACGGGTGTGTGCACCGTCAGGCGCACCAACTCTTGGTCGTCACGTAGGCGTGTGCATATGTGCCCCTCACCGCAGTCGGTGGTCGATGTGCAGCGTTTGACATGTGCAGACGGCGCCGGGTCACTGAGGTACGGCAGCGGATCAAGGCAGCGCTCGTCCCAGAGCGGTTCGTGCGTTACGAAGCATGCAAGGGGCTCGCGGTGGGCGGCAGACACTGCTTCTTGTCTGCAGCAGGATATCGGTTGCTCTGAAGTGCATGAGAATGACAGTTCGGGCAATGCTACGAAGGCCTACCAACGAATGAAGAGCGTGCAACGCACCAGCCAAGCTCATCCTCCGGCGTTGCCTTGACGTGATGGCTCAGTAACGTCGACCAGAGATCAGTGGTCACGTCCGACGTGAGCAGCGGGTGATCATCGATTTGTGTGATTATCGAGCCAACGGCGAGGTAACCGTACAGCGGCGAACTCTATCGAGCCGTTTAGCGGGTCTGCGAGTGATGTAGCGCGAAAGCGAGGAACCTGTTCGACGCCGACAACTACCCTGCCCCACGCGCTGGTGTCGGCGTACTGCAACCCCGACCAGAGGAGGCGGTCTGCCCCTGCGTGTGCGGCTACGTTGAGCACCAGCCAGAGGAGCAAATTGTGGAATGCGCCGGACGAGCTGATGCGCATTCTACCTCGCGGTGCGAGCGCCTGGGTGGCAGCCGAGGGGAGCGCTACAAAGGCAGAGGGGAAGACAAGAGTCAAGGACGCTCCCATGGATAGGAGAGGTACAGATTCTCTGAAGAGGTAACAATACGTTCTGAGCAAGATTGAGATTGTGTGCAAGAACGACGCTTACAATGCTGCTGTGAGCGCATGCCCGAACTCGTGAATAAATTGATTTACAATGAGGGCGAGTACGAGGAGGGGGAAATGGGAAATGGGCACCGTCACTCCGGGTATCTGGATAATTAAGATGTGCTGACTGTCAGCATACATGCGACTTGTGATTACCGGAGCAAACATTCCGCCACTATGTGTACATTGTAGCACACAGCCACGCAAGTCAAACATATGGCTATAGTGATCACAGTATCAGCGTATAATGCGGCACATTGTGTGAACGGTACACGAAATAGCATAGGTATGATACATCTCCATGATCCATTTCGACCACTAGAGATGTTGGCGCGGTGAATCTGAGCACTGCACGAGGTGTATTTAAAGCGTACACCTAACATAGATTAGCTCAATGAAGCCTATCCGGGTGCATGTCACTAAAAATGCAGCCCGTACTAGCTAGTCAGAGCAGGGGAGACCACAATCACCCGTAGCTCAATTCTGCCCTAACAGCAGGGTGGATCCCATGTCTGCGAAGTTCTCAGCGATATCCTCTGCTTGGGACCAAGTCCCATGTAGCAGGTACTCCGAGAACGGTTGATAATAGAAAAGTGTGCCTCAATATAATGCAGACGCTATCCCCGCACAACGGCGAACACACTCACAATGGCATATACGGGTATACGTGTATAGGAAGGATAGTTAGCTGTCGTTTGAAAGCCTTCAGGGCCATCCAGAGCACGCTTTACGATGCGACGGTGCATTTCGATTCCACTTCCGCCGGGGCTCGTTGGAAGGGAAGCCCACAAGTAAATCGAGGTCCAGCTGAGTAGGAGAAGGGAGCCTAGCATTCCCATTAGACCACAGAGACTTCCAAAGTTATATATTAGCCTCGCAAGCGCGAGAGTACGAGAGTGGCGCAGCTTCGCGAGCGAGGAGGTGAACCTGTCGTGGAGTGCGTTGAACGCAGTCGTTTGAGCCCGGAGATGAACAGCGTGCAACGTCAGTTCTGTCTGAGAAGAGCGAAAGAGACGGCGTGTGGATCCGCTGGATATGGAAGAGCTACGTGTCAAGGTCGGCAGGAAAGACTGCTGGTGGCGAACGCGGCGGTCGAGAATACAGCAGACGAGATGAGCGGAAGCCCAGAACGCAAAGACGCAAAGTACAACCCATTCCATACTATGCCACAGCGTGTCCGACCCGCTGGAGAGCTGTTTTGAGTGAGAATTGCAAGCCTGGTCTGTTGAGTATGTGACGGTGAAGACAAGAGCTCAGCCAACAGCAAACCTTAGTATGTCTGAGTATATATTATTGCCGTTATCACTCAACCTGTCAGTCGGGCCAAACACACATAAATCTCGCGCCTCGCGTCGCTCTGAGCACCTCGAACTGAGAACACGGATATCTCTCGAAATACTCATCGTATCGCCTTGATTCTTGCTGCGTTCGACTCTGCTCATCGTTCCGGAGGGCCTGGTATCCATAATGTCATGATCTGTCCATGCGTAGCTGTTGTCAGCTCCACCACCCCCTTCTGGACGCAGGATTGTTTTCGCCCACGAATGCAAGCATCTTCTTATGTCGGAGTGACTGCGTTGGGTCAAAGTGGATACTAGGGAGGGCCCGGTATCATTTTTGGTGTGTCCCTTAACCCATAGGTCTTTCCTTGGTCTATTCTCTGCGCTCGAGCATCACGCAAGCTATGGTTGTCTACCTGCAGCCTTGTGTACTTCGCCCACCTGGTGAGTCAGTCTAATAGCCTACTACTGGTGTGTTTCTAGCTTTACAAGACATCTATCACCTGTTAAGCAATGCTCCGTGCATCGCAGTCAATGCCCGGCGCGCGCACTCTTGAAAGGCATAAATAGCATGCAATCTATAGAATCCCGACCTTCAAAGCAATTTTAGTGCACCCCCAGACCTCCAGCACAGGTCCAGCTCTCCCGGAGAGACAGTCATTTGCGCTTGGCTCGCTGTTGGTATGCCTTACATCAGAGCCAAGCTCTTTCTCGTGATCAAGTTGCTCTACGCTTTGTATTTTACATAGGTAATACTCATAATAGACACATATCAATGATTTCACATCTTGGGCGATGTAATGCGTGTAGACGTTCTGGTATGTCTCGATCTAAGGCCTACTAAGATGATATCAAGGCTGGGTAGAGCACTGATGTGACATACTGTGCACAGCAGCTCATGTAACCTCTCTTATACTGCATGCAGGATGGTTGCGAGTATGAAAAGTGACAAAACCAAAGGGCAGCACAACTTTTAGTCCATCGTATGCAGTAGAAGCCATCCTAGACAGCGCGGGAGTCTCTTTGCGACTGAATGCCAATGACAGATAAGGGGAACAGGTTCACACCATAAGATAGCTCTAATGGCTTTATATGATATATTACATGGTTTGGGGATCTTGGAAAATAGATCCCGAGCAACCTGTACTGATGCCATGGAGGAGTGCTAGCAGTATGGCAACAGTAGCATACAATGAAGATAGTCTTACTGGGGGACGCACTCAACCTATACCGTGCCCTCCATAGCATCCATCTCGACCAAACGCAGTCACTCCGACATGAATACACGCTTGCGTTCGCGGGCGAAACCGATCCCGCGTCCAAAGGGTGGTGGTGGAACTGACAACAGTCGTGCATGGACAGATCGCAATATTATTGGTACCAGGCCCTCCGGGGAAACGAGCAGAGTCGAACGCAGCAAGAATCAAGGCGATACAGTGAGTATTTCGAGAGATATCCGTGTTCTCAGTTCGAGATGCTCAGAGCGACGCGAGGCGCGAAATTTATGTGTGTTTGGCCCGACTGACAGGTTGAGTGATAACGGCAATATGTAATACTCAGGCAAGAAATCCTTTTCCCACATGCTGGTACTACAGGTTCCAGCCACTTCGCGCGTTTCCCCGTTGTCCCACGTCGCAAGCATGTGCAACGTTGTCTCGTACCCATCCCCCCGTATCCGCACCCCACCACCGCGAAAAGGGGGTCTGGGGCAGTTAGATAGGCGCACCCCCCTGGCTTAAGCGCCCTACAAGCGCCGGAATGTAACGGTCACGGTAGGCTTCTGGTACCTAGAAATGATGCGATCTTTGATCGCTTTCCAAATCCGGTACTCACACCTAGCAGGTCGTGCTCGAGACTGGTGGACGCTACATTGTGGTCTGCTACAGAATCTCAAGTTTACTTGTTTCAAGCATCTTAGATAAGTCTTATATACTATATCCACCAGCAACCTAAGTATTTCATGAGATATACCCCTCCAGTAGCATCATGAGGATGCCACAGGTACTGAAAGGAGAAGTTGCAGCTTTCATCATGATGCTTTCCACATGATACTTCATTTGGTCATGAACTTACAGGCTGAGTTTGGCATAAATATTTTTTGTGTGGCCTTTCAAGTATTTTACAAGCTCAGGTATGCCTTTGTTGACACTTCCTCGAGCACGACCTGCTAGGTGTGAGTACCGGATTTGGAAAGCGATCAAAGATCGCATCATTTCTAGGTACCAGAAGCCTACCGTGACCGTTACATTCCGGCGCTTGTAGGGCGCTTAAGCCAGGGGGGTGCGCCTATCTAACTGCCCCAGACCCCCTTTTCGCGGTGGTGGGGTGCGGATACGGGGGGATGGGTACGAGACAAGTGCAACGTTCAAATTAGCACTAACGTGCTTGAACGCCAGTCCACCGTCATAGTTCAGCTTCTTCTGAGTTATACAGCTGTTTGTAAGTATCATTACCGTCCACTTGAAGAGCCATCGTGTCTAACGAATCAGTGTAAACTTGAATTATCCTATATGAACACTACTACGGAACTTCAGCCAAATCGATCACCTCGCCAGTCCGGGCCAAATCTTCGACTGTTATGTCAACAGCGTGCCGTGCGCTCCAATCCAGGATATTGTCCAACTTCCTGCACACGTGCAACGTGTTGAAGTTGGGGTACGGTTTCTTGTGGCCCTTCACCCAGTCGAAGGTAATCATACCTACATCTCCCGTACACAGAATTCTCTGTCTAAGCATCTCAATACAATGATCTAAGGGCGATAGCATCTCAACAAGCGCACAGTAAACACATGGCGATGGGTGCGCACCGAGGTGAATTCGGTAGAACTCTGCATCTCCAGGCGGAATGGAGTGTTTGATGGGTTCATAGTAATCAAAATACGTATGTCTGCGCAGCATATCCTGTTCGATGATTCCAACATGAGGAGTGCACGCGCAAGTGGTAAAGTCGCACTAACCAAACAATGTATCTGATGGCTGACCTCGATTATAGCCACGTATCCGCCTCCATCCTCCTCGCGGTAGCTAACAATCGAGGGTCGATGTGCCATGCCAATTCTGGTTAGCGTGTCGTCTGTAATACGCACTGGTAGTACTGTCGTGCGGTAAGCGTCCTATGCGTGAGACGGAACGTGAGGCTAAACTCGCACCATGCCCGGTGAGTCTCCCCCAGGCAGCATCTATGTACGGGCTGGGAGGTCCTCGGTATTCAGATGGATGGGCGAGAGACCCGTTGAAGAAGACACTTTCATACTCGACTACCTCCAACGCAGGTGCTATTCCAGGTCAGAGCGCCATATCATCTTGTTTATAACCATCGCTACTCACAGAAGGCCGACGGCTCTCTTCGGCATGTATCTACAGAATATAGAGAGTGGCCGATGAGAGTGGCCCATAGGCACAAGAAAGTTCCATGCAGGATCCATGGCAATAGTCGCATGCAGGTCTGTTTTCCATTCGCTGATGTGGTCGGGGAGTTGTGCTGAGAGGGTGTTCCTAGTAAAGCCTCGTCGTGATGACTGAGTGTGTATTCGGCCATTACTCTTAAAGTCTTGGCGCTGCACAACGGCGACCTTTGTAGCAGCGTTAAGAAAGGCACAACGATGTCACTTGTAATTCGACATGTTATAGGACCTGCCCTTGACTGCTTATCAGAACTTCCTCGACGGCTTATACGATGTTACCATAATGGTAACGACATTCATGGCTGCCCGAGCATCATGTATCACGGATGACAGTCTGATTATCAGGCTCTGACGTACGTTATTCAATACTTAAGAACTGCCCCAGATATCTAAAGTCAACTTTGCTATAATTCAGTATCATCTTCCTGTTAAGCGATGTCCATCTAGCATACTATGACACCTTCTCATCAGTCAGCACAGGACCTATATTCGTTGTGACACCGCAGCAGCTCCGCGCACAATATGTCAATATTCTGTTCGGTACCCAGCAAGTCCGGTGAATGCGTCTTCAGACACGCGTGTCGATAGTAGGACGCTAAGATCGCATGGCGGCCCATGAGACTCTCGTCACCTTCCGTGGACCGCCTGGATGTGTTGCCACGAGCAGAACAGGGCTACTGTGCTATTACTTTGCTCGGATACAACAAAACTGTCAGCCAAAATGGCGGGCATTAATGCTACGCTGATGAAACAAGTCGTTATTATGCGGAGTCCCTCATATGATACTATGACTTTCATCCACTGGCAATACTGCTTCTCGTCTTGACAAGCTATGAAAATACCCCAACGAGAAGGCGTGGTTAGTAACACAAATGGAGTTACGACCGCTGTCCGATTCACCGCGTGTTTTTCTATGTTCACCTTCGACGCGTTGTGAGTAGTGGTTACCAATCTTGACTTGGGCTGTGTTCCTGGAGCCCCTGGCAATGCCGTGACTTTACCAAAGATTCATGCTTCAATCTTACGAGATGCACTTTCTTGTCAACGGATAAGAGAGGATAGACTTCCCGGTCTATTCGTCATGTCACATTCTTCTGTTGGGAACAGTCGAGTTGGATGACCTCGACAGGTGGCTTCTCTGTCTGCAGTGCCGCTCATAAATTACAGAAATCAAATTCGCATAAACCGCCTATGTTTCCAAAAGACGTAGAAAGATCTCTATCGGTACATTTCTCCAGATATATAGCAGCCAGGCCTGCCTGGTTTCCGAGTCTCTCAACTGAAATGACGTCCATGAAGATGTATGCTCTCATCGTTCTTTTGCACTTTGTAGCATTCAACGCTACGAAGTGCAGGGCTGCTGCATATCCTCGCCCAACGGGTAAGTCCCGGCTATTTGTGCGTGGATGTTTGATATTTATAATAACAATCATCACAGCTGCTGGAATTAATGTCGGTGAGTACAATATCACTTCATTCATTTTGTCAACCCGACTACAGTTTGCCTCCTGGTAGCCCTTGAGCACAATCCTAGGTCTCCTATCTTGGTCCCAAATCACCAACATGGGGCTCGTTGTCAGTACATTGACGCAGACTCACATCTTTCTTCGTACTTATTAGTCTCTGTTGCTCATTTGAAAATGCCAGCTCCTGAGGATAAACGTGGGTTTTGTCACTGCTGTCATCCTACGTATTGACGGAGGAATCTTCTGTAGCTACGCAGGATCTTCCCTCCACCTACTTCTATGCTCTCTACGGAGAGGACTAGGTGGAGGAGACCTTGGCATGAACATTGAATAAGTGTACCACAGTGCTGCGTCGCTAACAAGTGTTGTATGAATGTACATGATCGCTGTATCTTGTTCTTCCGGGGGTTTCAAAAATCCGAGATTACTCAGAAATGTATGATGTGTCACGCGGCATGCCTACTAAGGGCCTTGTCTGCTGGAAGTTCTTCGCGGCATTATTATCACACTTACAACACTCCTTTGAAGGCTGGTGACTTTGGGCCTCGCAAGAGTAGGGGCAGCAATGACACTCGACTTGTCATTGGCTGCCATGCTGCTGACGCAAAATAAATCTGTGCCGTTGAGAATGCACGCGGAGTTAGAGTTGGAAATGGTGGGGGGCGCAGTGTAAAGAGGGTTCGACGCAGTCTCCTGAGAGCAGAGTAGACAATTCCCTCAATGCGGGCTCCGAATACCCGTGTCTTAGTCTCGTTTCCAGACCTTATAGGCGAATCACGTGTGCTATTACCCAATTGGGTGGCGGAGATCTAAAAACCCCTGCACACTCTCGCCTATAAGCAACCTTTAGATGTCACATGCCGCAGCTGGGGATGAACTCATGAACTCGTCGAAATGGCCGGTCACGGTCACAAGGCCTGAACAGTAGGTCGAGTCGATACAGTAAGCTATGCAGGAGACGTGAGAATATGTATCGCTTGACTCACTGTGTACACACGCGTGATATTCCGGGTGGCGGGAACACAGCAGTCAACCATCGCTACCGACCTTACCGTGAGACAGCGCGTTGAATAGCAGACATCAGACATGGGCATTCGCAGCCGGCACAGGTCGAACTTGAAGGAACTGTCAACTGTACTCTCAGAAGACTAGGGCAACTGTCGTTTTCGAGGCCAGTCAGATCAGCTGCCTTGCTGACAAGGTTCAAAGGTCAATTCTATTCTGTAATCTCGTCGAGACCCCCGTAAGAAGGCATACACTTACGTCTCAGATGTTAAGGGACAGGAAACAGGGTGCTTCCTGTGCGCTAATCTTAATTCTGTTATGCCCGCCTACGATTTGGCTGAACATCCCATTGACTAGGTGTTAGGGGGGCAGGGGATGTCATCTAAGGTCTGGGACATACAGTACATCAGTTGAGTGCTTCTTCTACCTGCTATATTCACCATCATCACCTACCGGTCAATCTGTGCTTTGCCCATCATTTTACGTTCTTTCGAGCAACATAAATCGCTCAATCCCCAAATTGCATGACAGATTTCAGACACTATTGTTTGATTCAATCGCTACGTGGTGCATCATAATGGAAGTCTTAAATGCTGGCACACAGAATCTAATCTTAGCTCATGAGGCAAATAGACGATGGGCCCATTCAATTACCTACTAACTTTAGAGCAGCATCTCTACTAGGCCGTTACCCGAGGCACGATGCGGCGCTATGCCGTCAGATGGTGGTTCTGCTTCTATACAAAGAAATTAATACACTTCCCAAGAGGTACATGGCTATGGCTCTCAGTCGCTGTGGCGCTGCCGCGATGAGGAGGTAATAAATGACTGTCAATCAACAATCTGGCTATAACACCATCATCTCTGGCCTTACATCAAGCACCTCAAGTATAAGTAGTGAGTAGTGGCTCCTGGTTGTTTCCCTAGGGCCCCCATCGAGCTTGCTTGTATTCAATAAGCAACTGTCATTATTCCAAGTGGTATGCTGATTTTGCTCGGTCTTCACATTAATCATGATGTAACAAGCCTCTACAGGTCATGACCAATCCATATGGACCAGTCAATGAGACGGCTGCCCAGGTCTATGCTGATAAGACAGCGCTCCAAGGAGCACTCCTTTGCAATATCATATACGGCATACACTTCATTCTGTTTGTTATATGTGCATACATTCTTGTACGCCAAATGTCTCGCTCCAATTACACGAGACAACTAGGCTTCTTGGTTTACATCGCCACCGTCTTCATCCTCGGCACTCTGCTTACTGTGTCCAGCTCGGCTTTCACGCAACTAGCATTTGTTGATAATCGCAATTTCCCCGGAGGCCCCTCTGTGTTTGAACAACTCATGTCATGGATACCGATCGATCAACTCGGAAATGTAGCACTTGTGCTTAGTAGCTTCTTTAATGATGCACTGCTGGTGAGCTCCCCTTTCTCTTGGATACACTCTCCCCTCTTGTATTGACGGACGTGCAAAACAGGTTTGGCGCTGCACAGTAGTTTACAGAGGCAGCACCAGTATTTTCCGCTATGCCACCACGATATTTCCCTTCATCATCTTATTAGCCGCAATAGGTGAGCTTCCCTCCCCAAGCATAGGGAAAATTAATTGATGAGCAATTAGTCATGGGAATACTTTTCCTAGCCCAAAATTCCAACTCGTCGCCTGTCTTCCTGAACGATGTCATCATTGCCTACTTCACGCTCACGCTCGCTCTCAATATCATCGTCACTATTCTTATAGTGCTTCGACTCCTCTCTATTCGTAGGCGCTTGAGAAGACTCCTTGGGGCTGGACACGCAACTCGCTATGTGGATATAGCAGCGATGATTGTGGAGTCGGCATCATTGTTCTCTATATTCTCCCTACTCTTCCTAATCCCATTTGCTCTGAATAACCCGCTATCAGAAGCCTTCCTGCCGTCTTTGCCTCAGGTGCAGGTATGTGTTTACCAACACACACACAAACTCCAACTGTGAAGGGAACTCATGTCATGATTAACAGACGGTCTCTTCACTTTTAATCATTCTCCGAGCCGCGACGGGCAGAGCCTGGTCAGCAACTACCGACACAGAAATTGTAGCATGTACGGATGCGGCAAATCCTGTCCATCTTAATCAACTTTCGACACCATTGGCTCAATCGCAGATGGGCGCCAGCCATTTGCAGCTGTCTAAGGACACCTCGAGCATGGCGACTAAAGTTTTTGTTAGTCACGAATGTACAGCTACTGCAGATGTTTGATACTCAAGCACTGGATTCTCCGTGTGGAAATCAATTCATTTACATCAGATATTGTACGACCCCCCATTTTCGCATGCTGAGCATGCACAGGAGCCCGGGTGTGACAAATGTGGCAGGGAAGACAAGGTCGGTCATCAAGCGCGCAGGTGGCTTCGATAACTAAGCGTCAAATATTACTGGTCAAGCTCGTACGTGTTAGGAAGAGGAGCGAGCCTGAGGTTGCCTCTGCCACGGTAATGGATAGACGGAAAAATATGGCTTAATGCCACCAATTATACGTTTCCTGCACTTCTTGATCTAGATCACTGTACTTCTATCGCTCTAAATGATGCACGTGACAGAAGGATTCCCATGGGGCGTTACTCAAGCGCCCACGGTCTTCACGAGAAGTACGTGTCTGTTCCAGCAAGATTCAACCGACACAGTCGTCCACCGTTGACTACGACATTGGACCATGTAATGTCTGATTCATCAGAGTAACATGCCATGCGCTGACCGTCTTTCAGGGCGACCGTTAAGGTCGACTCGTCCGAAATCGTGGGGGCAACCCTGCACATTGCTCTGCCATGGTACTTGCATCTTTACACCGTACCTTGCCTCGCGCTCTACCCGCTTCTTGCGTACACATACTACATCAAGTATGATGATTGGCTGCAGAGTGAGGAATGGACGTTCCTGGCCTGCATCACGGTGGGCGTGACGCACGCACTTAGCTTCTTGTCGACAAAATGGAGCACCGGTGCAAAAGCACGTATCACGGCTCGCCAGGTGTGTATTTTGGTAGACCCCCTTTGTCGCGCTTACAAAATTGTCTTTAGGCTGCGTCGATAGAGCAGGCAGATTGCATTCGCATCCTCCCTGCCCCACACCGTGGACACGGCGAGATCGTACCGCTTGTCAAGAAGGTGCCTGGTGATCCGTCGACGTATTCGTTCAACTATCAACGTGACACCTACGTCCTCACGTCCTCGTCTCCCATTGTTTTCGCCCGCCTGCCATACCCGTCGTCTTCACGTCCTGCGTTGTCGACATTCAAGTCGCGCAAGGGCTTGCCCTCTGCAGTTGTTCCTGGCACCATATCCCTCTACGGCAAAAACGAGTTCGACATTCCCATCCCAACGTTCACGGAGCTTTTCTCGGAGCATGCGACGGCGCCATTCTTCGTCTTCCAGATCTTCTGTGTTGCGCTATGGTGCTTGGACGAATACTGGTACTACAGTCTCTTCACACTTTTCATGCTTGTAGTCTTCGAGTGTACGGTTGTGTGGCAGGTAGGTGACATCATCCTTCTGAGGACATCGCTAATGCGCGCCACAGCGTCTGCGGACGTTGACTGAGTTCCGAACGATGTCGGTCGCGCCATACCCTATCCAATGCAAGCGAGACGGAAAATGGGCAACAATCCAGTCGGACGAATTGCTGCCCGGTGACGTCGTCTCAGTTGGTAAGTCAGACAAGCACTAGCTGATAACAATTGTTCACTCGCACCCAGTCAGGCACCAGGCAGAAACCAACATCCCAGCGGACATACTTCTGCTTAAGGGCGCGTGCATCGTGAATGAGGCCATGTTGTCCGGTGAATCTACACCGCTGCTCAAGGAATCCATCGCGCTGTTTGAGGAGCAGGAGCGTTTGGACGTCGATGGGACCCATAAGAACCAGGTGTTATTCAGTGGAACAAAACTCCTACAGGCGGATGGAGGTGTGTATGTTTGTGGTGTTTGACGGTTACACTCAGCTGAAGGTCTTTAGGCGACACACCCGACGGTGGTTGTCTGGGCATCGTGCTCCGCACGGGATTCGGAACCGCCCAGGGGCAACTCGTGCGCACCATGATCTTCTCGACTGAACGGGTGTCTGCGAACAACTTCGAGTCGTTCCTCTTCATTGGGTTCCTCCTGATTTTCGCCATTGCTGCGAGTTGGTATGTTTGGGTCAAAGGTGCGATATAAATGAATATGGCGGTCGGCCCCTGACTAACCTGAGAATAGGCATCGAACGCGAGCTGAAGAAGTCGAAGTTGCTGTTGGACTGTGTGCTCATCATCACGAGTGTCGTCCCGCCCGAGCTGCCTATGGAGCTCTCCCTCGCGGTCAATGCGTCGCTCGTTGCCCTTTCGAAACACGGTGCGTAGGATTCCAATTCCATAAACCAACCGTGAATTTATTGTGTGTACTCCAACAGCCATCTTCTGTACGGAACCGTTCCGCATCCCATTTGCAGGGCGCGTCGATGTTTGCTGCTTCGATAAGACAGGCACAATCACCGCAGAGAACCTCGAGGTCAAGGGTGTTGCGGGTATTGAGTAAGTGACTTTCGCTGAACCTTAGGTACATATATTCACGTCTGAATGATAAGCCCCGCAGATCGCCTTCGTTTGGTCGACGTGACGCAGACAAGCAGAGAGACGACTTACACGCTCGCGGCAGCGCATGCGCTTGTGCGCCTCGAAGATGGCCTCATTGTCGGCGACCCAATGGAGAAGACCGCCGTCGACGCGCTTAACTGGCAACTGAGCAAGGGTATGTGGAATCCAGCGTGTTCACTCATCCGGGGCTAAGATAGGGCCGCAGGCGATAGTGTATCAAGTGCAGACCCGAACGCGCCACACCGGGGCACCCTCAGCATTCGCAGACGCTTCCAGTTCTCGTCCGCGTTGAAACGCATGTCTACTGTTTCGACCCTATCAGGAGGGAAAACGATTATGGCCGTCAAGGGTGCGCCGGAGACGATCAAATCCATGCTCGCGACTGTACCGGATTTCTATGATGATACGTATAAGTGGTACACCTGCCGTGGCAGCCGCGTACTTGCGCTAGGCTACAAGGAGACAGAAAGCATGTCGCAGGACAAGGTCTGTCTCGACGTCAGTTATATCAATGCCGTATGCTCAATTTGCGAATAGATCAATAAGCTCACAAGAGATGCGGTTGAGAGCTCGCTGACGTTCGCTGGATTCTTGGTCTTCCATTGCCCGCTGAAGCCGGATGCGATTGAAACGCTGAAGATGTTGATTGACTCGTCTCACCGCGTGCGTTCTGTGCCAGCCATGCTATCTTTGCATCCGCTAACAATCTAGATCATAGTGCGTCATGATTACTGGTGACAACCCGCTCACCGCTGTGCATGTTGCTCGTGATGTCGAGATCGTCGATCGCGAAGTACTCATTTTGGACCTGAAAGAGGATGCAAAACATGATGCAGGTGCGCTATCCCGCCCTTACGCTGATATCGCATACCAATGCCTGCGCAGACCTTGTCTGGCGCACTGTTGATGAAAGCAAGATCATACCGGTAGATCCTTCGCAGCCCCTCGACAAGGAACTCCTTGATGCGTACGACATCTGTGTGACAGGCGTTGCCCTTAAGCACTTTGAGAATAGGCCCAGCTTGAATGATCTGGTTCAACACACATGGGTGTATGCGCGTGTGTCACCATTACAGAAGGAGTTGATCCTCACCACTCTCAAGTCCCTCGGTTACACTACGCTTATGGCTGGCGACGGGACCAACGATGTTGGCGCGCTGAAGCAAGCCCACGTCGGCGTCGCCTTGCTGGACGGTACCCCCGAGGATCTGCTGAAGATCGCTGAACATCAGAAAAACGAGCGTATCAAGAAGGTGTACGAGAGCCAGCTCAAGATTTCGGCGCGCTTCGGGCAACCTCCGCCGCCTGTTCCTCCCGCTATTGCTCATCTTTACCCGGATGTCGTCGAGGCTCAAAAGAAGGTCAAGACTGAGTTCCAGGAAGCCCGCAAGAAGAACCCGATGGAGAAGGTGTGTCCGCATCATATTGCAGCAATAAGACCGTTCATTTATGCTGTCCTAGTTCGACATGGCCTCTATCACCGATAAATTGGCCTCAATGGAGGATGAAGATGACGTGCCCAAGATTAAGCTAGGTGATGCATCATGTGCTGCGCCATTTACATCGAAGCTGTCCAACGTACAAGCCAGTAAGTCATTACGTTCTCAGCTGAACGAGAGTAACCTGAAGTTTGGCCTAGTCACGCAAATCATCCGACAGGGTCGCTGCACCTTGGTCGCTACTATCCAGATGTACAAAATCCTTGCGTTGAATTGCTTGATCACGGCGTACAGTCTCAGTGTTCAGTACTTGGACGGCATCAAATTTGGAGACTATCAAGTTACGATTACTGGTATGTTGATGTCAGTATGCTTCTACTGCATATCCCGCGGCAAGGTTGGTCTACCCGTTGCACTGATTGAACTTGGATGTCGCTCATGAATCTTTCCCACCCTCAGCCTGTCGAAAAGCTCTCTCGTGAACGACCTTTGGGCAATATATTCAACCTATACGTCTTGCTCTCGGTCCTGCTGCAATTCGCTCTTCATATCGTGTCCTTGATATATATTACCCAACTATCGCGCGTATACGAGGAGTGCGTACAGCGAGTGGTCACTTTCCCCCTTGCTGACAATAGTTTGCAGGCCTGGTCCGGTCGATCTGGAGGCCAAGTTTGAGCCTAACCTCCTGAACACTGCCATATATTTGCTCAGTCTATCGCAGCAAGTGTCTACCTTCGTCATTAATTATCAGGTAAATGCCTGCGCTCAACCCTTTTTATTTTGTCTGACTCGTGGTGCTAGGGCCGGCCATTCAGAGAGGGTATCCGAGAAAACCCGGCCTTATACTGGGGCTTGGTTGGTGCCAGCGCTGTTGCTTTTTGTGGTGCAACCGACTTCGTCCCGGAGCTCAATCGCTGGCTGCAAATCGTCGAAATGGACAGAACGGTATGTGGTTAGTTGTATTCAATCGGGGGCATGCTCACATGCTTCCTAGTTTGCATATACATTAACCGCCGCCATGATCATCGACTTCGCCGGCTGCTGGGTTATCGAGATTGTATGCAAATGGCTATTCGCAGATCTCGAGCCCAAGGCTATGATCACTCGTGGCAGGGAGCGTCGCGATGCCCGAAGACAAGAGGAAGCTGGCGCTGCGCCCATGAATGGGGAGGTCAAGAAAAACCAATGAGGCGGGAATCCCTGATTTACCGTCATGTCGCCTTAAAGGTGAGACTGCGCGGTGGAAGAAAAAATGGTGCATGACCCTTCCGATTGTGCACTACTTCCACCGTGGTCGTCTATGAAGGCGACCATGGCGGCAGGTCGGGGATTGAGTGTGATCAGCTATCGTTTGTAATGACACTGTTTCCATAGATTACACCTCGCTTATGTACGAATATTCTTATTAAGTTAGAGTGAAATACAATAGTGCCTTCACTCTCAGGTGTCTATTATATGTGGCTTTTGGTGGAAACATAATGGGGTTTACATGTTGACCATAACTGCACACTTTTGACAGTTGCACCACCGAATTGCATTCAAAATTAGACTAAACAGCTCAGGTTGCATTACAGGTTATACTACAAATACGAGGCGGTTCAGCATACAGCTCTGACTGCTAATGGGTGAAACCTACTTGAACTAGCATTGACACTGGCCATGGTGTCACCGATCCCTGGGAGGTCAGGTAGACGGGACGCAACTCGCCGTTCGTGTCGTCCGCGAATCTGCGACGGCATGAACATACACACCCAATTTCGATCACAAATAACTTACCGGTTCAGACTACCCGAGGAACCAGGTGCCCGCTTGAGATCCTTAAGGGAGAAGATTGTTCGCAATACCGTGAAAGCCGTCTGGTGACGAGGTCAATATAAGCTGAGTGATTAGTTGCGGCTGCCTTACCTTTGCGAGGAACCTGTGATCAAGCAGACTAGTGGAAAATTGAGTGAGCAATGGTAATATAAGCTAATGTAGAGTGTAGCATACCCGAAATCCACTGATCTAGCAGCGTCGAGCTTCTGCACATCCCCCTGTAACGAATGAGTAATGCAGCATCGTGTCTGACAAACGTTTACACATACGGTAGCTACAATGTCCAACATAATTCAGTAAGGGCGATGGTATAACAAGCTCAAAGAGCACTTACGGAGAGCCTCTCGGATGAGCGCGAGTAGTTTCTCGTCGCGGTTCGCTGACTCGCCAGTTAGGACTGAGACGAGACGAGCGCGTTTGCCATCATCGAGGTAGTAATCAACGACTTCAGCCAGGATTCGGGAGTAGAGTGGTGCGGTAGCGACCACTTCGGCGATCACACCCGCAGCGAGGGCATCATGCGAGCCGTGTCGCCCAGCAAGCAGCGACTTAATAAATGATCTCTCGTGCTCATTCCCTCCTGTGACGTAGTCGACGACAGAATCTGCGAATCCAGACAGCTGCACATATTCGTTAGTGTTGAACACGAGTTCAGAGCGCGCGGAACGTACGCTGTGGCCGGAAAGCTCGGCACAATGACCTTTAACGAAACCGGTGACGTCCTTGGCGGTCTCGGTACACTTTCCGCGAAGCGCAAACTGGCCTTCGGGAGATTGATCCAGGAAAACATAGCTGATGTCACGCAATCAGGTTATCATCAACAGACGCATACAACGATACAAACTTTCCAACGTCTGACCACTTTGTCAGGAGGTCATGTTCACGGTATACGCCGTGGGGGTTTGTCTCCGTCTTCAGAGGGAGCCCGACCTAGTTCTACGTGAGACAGCGGCGACAATACATGAGACGTAGGAACGCACGATGAAGTTGGAGATCCAGACGACGGGAAGCACGTTGACGACATTGCGGACGATGTTGACGTATTTCGCCTTGCTGTCAACGTGATCCACCGACTTTGTCTTCAGCAGCTGCTGCGTGATCTCCTGGAAGGACTGTGCCCATTGCTGGATGGACGCGTCGCTGAAGAGAACTTGCCGAACCTATGCCGCTACCATCAGGCACCACCACATCAACGCAGGAGGGGCTGCATACCGCCGCTCGGTCAGGCACAACGCCGCCCAAGATTGCCTTGAGACGCTGATCATACTCCGAGACGGGAGCGGACACGCTGGGGCCCAGCAGCGAGGTGACCGGGGCAGCCAGCGCAGGCCTGTCCCAGGAGTACTTGTTCACCGCGTCCGCCGCGACGTGGCCCTTCATCGTCTTGGGCACCATGAACGGGAAGAACGCGTACGCAGAGTCGGCGGGGTACTGGTTCGGCAGCGTGCGGAAGAGCAGCTTGGACAGGATGCCGCCGATCGAGCCGTCATCCTTCTTATACTGGCAGTCCTGGTAGCCCCAGGTCGTGAGGTTGAACGCTGGAACGGCGCGTGAGTGCCAGGTTCAGCAGGGTGGTTTCTGGAACGGACTTACGCGTGAGGTCCACAGTGAGGAAGCGGTCGCCACGAGTGAGGCATACAGCATCCGCCAGGATCGCGCGCGAGATTGTGTAACCCGGGCACAGGCCTGCACCTGGCATCGGCACCTTGGTCTCCTCTGCTTGCAGTCCAGCCTACACACAAGGCTCAGTCAAAAGTACGTTTCCCAAAGGAGTGTCCCTACGTAAAGCTCCAGGTTGTCGATGTCGTGGTACAAGGCTTCCGCTGCCTTCTACAGCGGGCGTCAGCGATCTGACCCAGCGGAGCGTGATGAAAAGGTCGCGTACGTAGATCTTTGGATCGGGGTTCCACTCCGCGAAGGTGCTATAAGCTGTAAACGCGTCAGCTGATTGTCCCGATTACCCTTGCCAGCTGCTGGCACTCACGCTTCAGGCCCATGAAGCTCCTGAACTCGTTCAACTGGCGGATAGCATATGCATCAGACTTCCGCAGGGTGCGACGGAATCGATATGGCACGCACCGAGCACGTCCCCCAGCTCCTAGCCTGCATGATGCCGAGGATCTCGATCACGCGCAGTACCTCGGGCGTGCCGCGCGCCCCGAACGCACTCGCGGGGGCCTCGGTCGCGCTCTGCAGGATGTTCGCGAGCTCCGCTGCAAACACGTCGTCAGCGAACGCGCTCGCCCGTGGGAGAGTGCACACCCACCGTCGTCGTAACGGCCGTCCGGACCACGCTTCAGGCTGTTCATAAAGGGATTTCCTTCAATCCAACAATACACCGGCACGAAGCGCGGATTTCCTTACTTGTCAAACGACCACTCCTTCACGTCCTGCGGCGTGCCCATCACATACTTGATGATGGCGGTGCGGAAGTCATTAACGGAGATCTGTCCCATAAGACCGAGGTCAGACACCCGCACGCGCGCACGCGCGCGATGAAGGTGCTTACGTCACTCCACGACTTCCCCGGGAAGAGCTTTCCAAAGAGGTTCTCGATCCACTGCGTGTCGGACGCGGAGCTCGTCGCATGCCAGCGGTACATCAGGTTGAACTCAACCGCGACGACGTTGCCCTCGCCCTGCGGCGCGAACGCGTGGTTGAGCTCGCGCATCGCCTGCGGGGGGCGCCGATCGCGCGTCAGCACATGCACACACGCGCCCACGCATACACAGACGCACCGCGAGCGGGTCGAGGCGCCACGCGAGGCCGTCGCGCGTGAGGCCAAGGATCGCGCCGACGTAGTCGCCCAGGATGACCTGCATGAAGAGCGCGCTGTTGACGAGGCGGGCGCGCTGGAAGAGCTCCTCGTCCTGCGCCGCGCGCTCCTGCGCGCCGAGCGTGCTGGGCGCGCGATAACTCCCGAGCTCGTTGATGGCGAGGATCCTCTCGGCGACGTACTGCGTGCCAAGCGCGGTGAGTCCCGTGCCGCGAGGGGCAAACGGATTGGGGGCTTACATTGTGGTTGCGGCAGAAGAGGACGAGCAGCGCGCACGACGCGGGGGGCATGAAGAGCAGTCGCGGGTCGGCAAAGACGTCCTCGTAGAGCCTACCAGTGCCGTCCTTGCCTGCGAACGTCACGCGTACAGTCAGCAGGTGTGCACTGAAGTGCGCGAGAGGGCTTACGGCGAACACTGTCGACCTGCGCCTGGGAGCTGCCGTAGAGGGGGCTGAGGTCGAGGTAGCTGGAGGCGTCGTTGATGGTCCAGTCGCGCGTGTTGGTGTTGAAGATGCTGTGGATGACGAGGTCGGCAAAGGCGAAGAACAGGCTCGATATGCCGCCTGCAGGGCATGACATCATGAGCCTGAATATATATACGCAAGAAAGAGAGGGAAGCGCAGGCGGCGCACGTACCTGGATGTTCGACAAACTTCTCGCGTTTGAGGAGCGTGTCGAAGACGAGGCCCGGGTCGGGGAGATACTGCGGGGGGATGCGCGTGGTGGAGGGCACAGAGCGCGCGTATGGCGTGCCGGCCATGCCCAAGGTAGGGATGAGGACATTGTAGTCGGAGCCGTCGGCGCTGCGGTAGGCGTACTTCACGCCCTTAGTGATCGGCGATGCAGTCGGGGGCGCGCCACTGGGGAGGGCCAGGTACCCGCTCGGGGGATGAGGCAGGTCCTTGTACACTAGTATGCATATCGGTCAGAACAGTGGGCGCTACTTTCACCGCATATATGCGCTCACGGATGTCAATCGCGAACTTTTGAAGCGTTGCCGCGAAGGCCGAGTCGTCCGGGGCGCGCGCCATGAGCGTGAGCACCTTCTCGAGCTGCAGGTACGCGTCGTCGGACGTTGCCAGCAACACTCAATAGGCCCGGGATGCTCACCAGGAACTTGCGGTCGTCAAGACCAGGGCCATTGAGAGTCTTTACGGCGTTGATATATGCAGGCTAAGGCGCAAAAGGTTGTGAGCTACATTCAGCGCATAAGTCCGACGATATACCGGTGGCTTACCAGGTCGGCGGGAGTGAAGCCGGGCCCACGGATAGCTTCCTGCTCGACGTCCGTGATTTTGCGGGCGAGTAGAGGAGGGAGGGGGTGCCCGCCATCCTGGTCGACGGGGGCGTCGCTCTCGGCAACAAAGTCGATGGTATTCTTGAGCGGGTTGAGAACGGGGTTCAGGTTGACCATGACTATCAGGGGTATTTGACGAGTGCGGACAATAATAAGCGGGGGAAGGGCGGTGAGAAGAAGGCATGAGGGGGAGGGTTCATATAGCCATGGGTAGAGCAGGCGCTGTCAGATTGTTCTTGACCACGGGGATCCGGAGGCAGTCCTGGCAATAGTGCGAGATCGCGTCGAGCGGCCCTGCCAATTCGGTGAATACAAATGCGTCCAACCAGCGCCCTTGCGATGCCGCGGGCTCTGAGAAGGCTGGCAGATATGCGCCTACTATGTGCGCATTTATTGCACATAAAGAGGAGGACGAGAGACAAAGCGAGGCCATCTAGAAGAGCTGGCTGTACGCGGGCGCACAGGATGCCGTTATGGCCAGTTTTTTGCTGGTAACCTCCGAGTCCTGGAAGCACGGAGCAATGCGCTCTCTCTCATCTGGCTCCGCCCAATCGGGTGATCGCAATCGAGATGTGATCTTGGCCTTCCCCGCTTCCCGAATTTGTCCCTTGCCTTCACCGCGACGGCTTCCGCCGCGTTGAATTGGGAACATGCTCTCTGTCCGTCAGGCTATTTCAATCATGCATGGAAGCATTGTATGGCAGATCCTCAAAGTTGTAGCTTGATTGCCAAGCTGGCATCTATCATACGTTCCATCCTTACACAGCCGTCAGCGTCATTGTCAGTTTAGCATAGCATCCACGCCGCCAGCCGCCGTAATAGCTTGGAGGCCGCCCGCGACCGATGCCACGGGATTAACAAAGTATCATGTTGCCAGCTTCTAGAGCACAACTTCTGCTAGTAGACTCGGCCGCCGTGTGTTCTGCCCTTCGTCTTCCATGTCTCGATTATTACATGTGTGTGCAGATGTCATATCATGAGAAGTCTACTAGCTATGGATCGAGCGTCATCCTTATCTGTACCTGGTCAGCAATAAGGACTACATAGGTACCAACACAGACGGGGATTGGAACACACCGATAGCACATTCTCCCCCTGTTAGGTTAGGACGTCCATGCCTTCTGTCAACTAATTTCCGAGCGTGATGTCCGAGGGCAACCGTCAATGCACCATCACGCCGCCCTCAGGTGTGCAAACTATCCGCAATGATCAGGTAGTACTATGTATATTGCAAGATCCAAACACGCGCGCAGTAAAGCTATTCGTACAATCCACCGAGCGTCCGTATGCTACGCATCACCTGGCCGCCCCAGTCGCGTTAGCGCAGCCATCGCCCCGCGCTCCACGGCGCAGGCGGGGTATCTAACAGGGAGCTGCTCTGACAGGCCATCACGCACATGGCGGGATCAGCGTCGCAACAACGCGCCCGCACGGTGGGGCGCCTCGCGTTCCACGCCCATCGCCGCCGGCCTGCAGCAGTGGCACCAGCGCCCTTACATGATCACACAGCACGAGTTTTGCTGCGCACGGAGAACACCGCCATCAGCGCGCGCTCTGCGAAATGCTGTCTGGGAACGGGGGTATGGAAGGGGGGACGCACCTTCTTGGCCGTCTTGTAGAACATCTTGCTCTGCGCCGAGAGCGCGTTCGAGCGGTCGACCAGGTCGTTGATCTTCTCGCCCCGCTGTAGTACGGACTCGATCGTCTTGTGCTGTCAGAGAAGGCGCACACGTGAGCATCGACGTGGACAGCATGATGGGTGGCAGGCTCTGGTACGCCCTGGGCGAGGAGGAAGCCCGCCCGCGGCTGAGAATAGCGCATCGCGCTGCGGGCACGCACTATAATTACGCTGACCTGGCCGTCTGGGCCATCGTCATTGCGCAGCCGCACGCGCACGACGCACACACATAACCACCACCGGCGCACTCACCAGAATGATCTTGGTCTCGTCGAGCTCCTGCTGCACCTTCATGATCGCGTCCGCCTGCCGCGGGTCCTGGTACTTCTGGATGTACGTGTTGATCTCGGGGAACGCGATCGCCGCGGGCGTCGCGTAGGACGCGACGGGCACCTTCGCGATGAAGTCGTCGAGCAGCTTCGTGAGCAGCGAGAACGCCGGGCGCACGGGGTACTCCTGGTCGGTGATGATCACGCCTGCAGCGCCGCGTCAGCACCGTCGTGGCGTGCGCAGAGAGGAGGGGGCGTGGTGTAGGCTTCGGGGAGAATATGAGAGAACACGGATGGGGTACGCACCAGCAAGCTGCTCCGCGCCGCCGCGGTTGTACACATGCGCGGTGTAGTTGTTCTCCTGCACGCTCTGCCGCTGGCCCTGCGGCGTGCGCTCGGAGATCGTCCTGGAGAAGAAGGACATGAACTCGCCCACGGACGGGCGCTGGTAGAACGAGAATGACGAAAGGTCTGATGCGCTGCTCAGGATCGTGCACGGCTTGCCGGGCGGCGTGAGGACGACGGAGAGCGAGAAGACCTTCATGGTAAGCCGATAGCGTAGACCTGGTCAGCAGTTAATCGACAAGTACTTGAGCTTGACTGCTTGACTATTCGAGCGCGTGTGCGATGGAGGATGCTGGATGTTGGCGAGAAACGGTCGGTTCGGCCACGAAGCTTAGATTAAGCGCCGACGCAAAGCTTGTGAAACAAACAGAACCACTGCGCGCTGCTTAGTCACCGCCTAAAATGTGCAGCGGCCAAATTGGTCGGGCAGTACTACACGGCCAGAAGATCCGTATAAACTGGGTTTAACCACTGACAAGCTGCACGTCGGTCAAAGCGCTTTGCGCCCTGTGCAAACCACGACAGTTTATGCCTGGTGCAGCCACTCACACGCTTGCCCCGCGGGCAAATTCGTTCAACCCCCGTGCAAAGCAGATTTCTGCTCACGTGATACAAGCGCAGTCTCCCAGGGCCCCATTGACCATATTGTCACGCAAGAACATACAGAGAATGGCTAGTCGCAGATGTGATTGCTTAATTATGTACATATACATTCAACTCCTAAGATACCAGACTGTAGCTTCTAAGAGAAAGCAATACAAAAATAACAAGTAACTCACCGAACTCTGCAGATGGTTCAGAATGAAGCAGAAGGCGAGCTGGCATATGGATCTAAGGCAGAAAAGGTCAGAATAACAGGCTCCTGATCATAAGATCAGGGTACTGGTACATTCACCAGGAGCACAGGGCTCAAAATACATGCAAGACGATATTGAGACATTTGAGACGTGGGTGGGCAAGATGAAAAACTTCTCAGATTTGTCGCGCGTGCCTTGTCGTGTCTGGTGCAAGTCACATGATATGCAGTGTTTGCCCGCGGGTTAAACTGCGATATGGGTAGCTGCCGGTCACCCGTGCATGCCAGCCGTAGGTCAAATCAATAGATTTGTACGAGGGTCAAGCAATTTTGACCAGGGTGCAAACTTGACATTTGTCCTCCGGGCATCTGCAGGCCGTTCAAACGTAGGCTAAAGTATCTTCTGGCCATGTACTTATCAGATATGGGGTTTTGCAAAACCCATCAATTTTGCAGAACTGCGTGATCTCCACTGCACACCATGAAAATTATAATTTTGGTCATTGTAGATACTAGTAGGCACTTAGTATACACTATGTGCAAGAGTGATTGAGAGGAAATGAAGGTGAAGTGAAATGACGGCCTGCAGACTGTTCTTAAGGTGTTCTGCAAACATGTGATGAGCGAGATCCAGAGACAATCATTGTGTTTCTTGATGATCAGACATTTGATCTGTTATATTACAGCTTTGAATGTTTTGGTACACCAGCCCGATTCACCCAGCAAGGTATGACTGGTGGGCAATGGCTGTTCTGGTCGAGCAAGCATGATACTCACCACTGTCAGCGTGATACGTTCACACTCCGCTCTCAATCATGGTACAATGTGGCAGTGCACTTTGCAGTCCTGCCACATCTGCCGAATGGAGTTTGAATGTGCCACTGTGACCCAGGCATGACAGGCAATGGCCAATATAACTGCCGGGAATATGTCAGGAAAATGCCCTGAGCGTGGTATCATCTCACGGTCACGGCTACTGGCCTTTTCTGGTAAGTAACAAATTGCATATTCTGTACATGTCCCATGCATATTCCGGGCCGGAACCAGTTTCCATATTCCGATCCGGAATATGTGAAGGAAATGATCAGAAAGGGTAACCTTCTCACGACCCAGATGGGCACTCAGGGCATTTTCCTGAGATATTTCTGGCAGTTATATTGGCTGTTGCCCGTCATGAGGCATGATAGAATTTGCAGAACTACTGCAATGTGAGGCCTCGAATGCAGCATCTCGCTACCACTGGGTGTCTTTCATGTATGGGCCCCAGCTTCATTCTGGGTACTCCTCTGTGTATTTACAACAATGCCTGAGTAAAATAACAACAATCCTTGTGGTGGTTCAAGCAGAGTGAAGGGAACAGTGTATGAGTTTGCAAAACCCCATATCTGATAGTACTGTATCGACTCAACCTAGTGTTCAGTCATGGGTCACAGGTACCTCTGAACAGGGCTGGGAGTCAGTGTTGGGCCAGTCATCTGCCAGTCACCCCAGTCGTGGGAACAACTAGGGCAATTACAGCTAGTTGCAGAATGATGCAGAAAACATGGTTTTTGTTTTTGCAGAGCCCGAAAACACCAGGCCAGAGAACCAAAAAGGAGGAAACTGGGATCATGTGTCCATGTGATCATTATATGATATGCCTGCGGTCAACTCTCATTTGCATCTATGATACCTCCACAAACTGTCTCTGCTGATTTCAAGGCTCAAATCCCCATCCTCCATCAGCAACTGGGCTATTCTTGTCACAAGTTGGTATGGTGCCTAGCCATTTTTTAATTTTTTTCTTTTTGTGGGCTCAAACCTGCAACCCCTGTACTACACACTCAAATGGACAAGTCATTATCTACTGTATGATTAGGTCAGATGGGGTGGTAGTGCATGGCACAGCCTGGGTGCTGCTTACACAGCTATGCTGACTCACTGGCCCCCGGGGCTGTGTCAGCAATGCTGTGCACAGACCAACTGTGCATGGACCAACATGCACAGCCTGCTCAAACCCACCATATATATGAACCAGCCTCTTGTCCCTAGGTCAGTAAGCCTTTCTTTGTATCCTTTCTTTATTTCACTAACTAATATATTATCTTGTCCCTAGTCTTAGGTTTGAGCATTGCTCACCATCGCTTTGGTGAGACTCAGTCGAATGCCCCCAGCCTTTGTGTTTGTTTGTCCTTGTTGCTTGACCCCAAGTTGTGACACCTTCCTCCTCCCTCCACTGTGGCTGCCTGCCAAGGCCTGATCTATGTCTTTGACTCAGTAGATCTCATTGATGTCTACTCTACTGAAGGCCCAGCATATCTCCTCTTTGCCTGTGAGCAGCAGCCGTGCCCAAACTGTACCTCCTGATCCATCCCATCAAATAATAAACAATACAAAGCAATCCGGAGGGCCCAACATCCACTTGGTCCTCGCAGCACCCTCATGTCACAATCTGCATCTCATCATTTCCACCCTGTTTCCCCCAGCTCCTGTTTACCCCGGCTGGTCACTGGTCCAAGTCAAATGAGAGGAGACCCCGATCTCCCTGCAGACCCTGTGCCAGAGCCTGAGCCTACTGAGGGTGAAGAAGGAGACGAGGATCCCAAGTCCCTCTTTGCTGTATCCAGCAGCCCCAGCTGGCCCATATCGCTGCACCCAATCCCCTTTACGTCTACAGTCCCTGATGTATGTAATGCCACCACCCCAGTTCCTTTAGTGCCTCCATTGCCATCACTGTTGCAAGGCCGCTCTTCACGTCAGTCCTCATAAGGTTTGCCCAGTCAATAGTCACATGCACCGTCTCTGTCCCCAGGCAGTTCTCCGACCCCCCTGCCGATAAGCACTGCAACTCCAATGGACAAGGAGATGCTCAAGCTCCTTATCCCCACCCGCTATGATGGAAAGACTGTGCAAGAATGCAACCGGTTCCTTGCCATGCTCAAACTCTATTGGGCGGTGAATACATTTCTGTCAACAATCAACATTGTCACAACTTAAAGTCAAGCAACAGAAAACAAACAAACCTGAAGCCCAGGGGTGTTCGACTGGGTATTGACCGAAGTGATAAACGAGCAAGGCTTGAGTTCAAGGCTAGGGACAAGATAATATATTAGTTAGTGAAGTAAAGAAAGAATACAAGGGAAGGCTTACTGACCTAGGGACAAGAGGTTGAAACTGAGGTCCCTAGGGCAGCAGAGACCGGCTTATATACATGGGGGATTTAGGGCAGGCTGTGCATATTGGTCCATGCATAGCTGGTCTGTGCACAGCATTACTGATGCAGCCCCAGGGGCCAGTGAGTCAGCACAGCTATGTAAGTGGCACCTGGGCTGTGCCATACACTGCCGCCCCATCTAATCTAATTGTACAGTAGATGACGACTTGTCCATTCACACATGTAGTACAGAGGTCGCAGATTCAAGCCTGTGAAAAGGAAAAAAAAACAGCTAGGCACCATATTAACTTGTGACAGATGTCCAGGTACAAGTTGCCCTGAGTCTTCTTGATGGAGAAGTCTGTGCCTGGGCGACTCCTCACCTTGCCAGCTATGCAGCTGGAACATCACCAGCACTGTTCATGAGTAAGCAGGACTTCTATACAAAATTCAAGGCCTGCTTTGGCAATCTTGACAATGCCGCCGCTACACAAGTAGAGCTAGCCAAGCTTTGTGCTGACAAATCAATGCGTGAAAGGTGCACTGCCACGGAGTTCTCCACGCTGTTCAAGGGTCTGGTGAACCATTCCGGGTATGGTGTCACGAGTTGGCACAGCGTCTAGCCATTTTTAATTTTTTCCTTTTCGTGGGCTTGAACCTGTGACCTCTGTACTATACACTCTGTGCTCAAACAGACAAGCCTCACCGGCACATCACATTTCCTGTAGATAGATTAGATTAGATGGATGGCAGTGCATGGCACAGCTCGGGCCCTGCTGACACAGCCACTCTGACTCACCGGCCCCCGGGGCTGCATCAGCATGCTATGCATGGACCAGCTGTGCATGGATCAGCTGTGCATGGACCAGTATGCACAGCCTCCCCTAAACTTCCCCTATATATAAGCCAGCCTCTGCTGCCCTAGGGACCTCAGTTTCGACCTTTTGTCCCTAGGTCAGTAAGCCCCTTTTGTATTCCTTTCTTACCTAACCAATATATTACTTGTCCCTAGCCTTAGGTTTGAGCTTTGCTCACCATCACTTCGGTGAGACCCAGTTGAATGCCTCCAGCCTTTGTCAGTTCCCTGTCACTTGACCTCAAGTCGCGACATTAGGTCGAAACTCCCCTCGCTGCCAGTGTTCACACAAAAAAAACTCCCTTCATTTTCATTTTCTCATAGGTCAGGTGGTGCGCACCCTTACTATACTGCACAATACGTAGATAGCCTACATACATCACCACCACTTAGGAGACGAACTCTTCAGTACCTGCACTTCAGTGGGCGGTACTTGTCCTCACAGATGCGTGGCTTAGGTTTCTGCTGTATACTAGTCAAAAGCAGTACTGGGCCCCACGTAAACTGCAAATCCTAGTGTTATCTCAGGTGCTGTAGGTGTAAGCTAGATAGCACGGCCTTTTGTAGTATGTGCACCTCCTCCTCCTTCCTCCCTTCATCGTGGCTGCCTGTCAAGGCCTAATCCACATCTTCGACTCGAGAGACCTTGTTGATGTTTACATCATTGATGGCCCTTCTGCCCTTATCTTTGCCTGTGAGCAGCAGCTGTGTCCAAACTGAACACCCCAATCAATCAAGCAGGACTACGAACACTACAAGGCGATTCAAAGGGTCCAACATCCACTTGGTCCTCACAGCAACCTCATATCACAATCCACGTCCTGACATTCCTGCCCTGTCTCCCCCAGCTCCCGCCTACCCCGACCGGTCACTGGTCCAAGTCAAACACGAGAAGACACCGATCTCCCTGCAGACCCTGTGCCAGAGCCAAAGCCTGCGGAGAGTGAAGAAGGAGTCTCAGAGCCCGAGTCTGCAGCTCTCAGTTGGTCCACATTGCTAACTGCGCTCCCCTCCATGTTAGCAGTCCCTGACGTACATCACTCTGCCCCTGGGCTTCCTCCAGCGCCTCCAGCGCCGTCGCTGCCATGAGGCCGCTCGCGCACTCGCTCCCCTCAAAGTCCGCCCAGCGGACAGCCACAACCACCGCCTCTGCCCCCGGGCTGTTCTCCATCCCCTCCACCACCGATAATGACTACTCCGGCCCTGGTCGATAAGGAGGTATTGAAACTCCTCCTCCCTCTCTGCTATGACAGGAAAACTGTCATTGAGTGCAACCGGTTCCTGTCCCAGTTGCACATATACTGGCTGGTCAACACTGCACTAACCACCATCGAGCTCAAAGTACAGGTTGCCTTAAGCCTCCTTGACGGCGATGCTCGTGCCTGGGCCACTCCACTCTTTGCCCAGCTCACGTCAGTTCAGATTGGTGCCCAAGGAGTCACAGCACCCTTTGCCAATGAAGTCACCTTTGCCACTGCATTCAGGGCCCACTTCAGCAACCTCGACGATGCGGCGGTGGCATAGGTAGAACTTGCAAACCTCTGCACCAACAAGTCAATGCATGAGAAGTGCACCGTCGCAGAATTCTCCGCACTGTTCAAGGGTCCGGCAGATCAATCTGAGTATGGAGACTTGGAACTCCGCGACAAGTACCTAAGCAGCATCCCCACCCAGGTCTACTGCAAAATCGAGCTCGAGACATTCACTACATGGGAAGACGCTGATAAGCGCGCCAATGAAGTGGAACAGATATTCAACATCAGCTGGGCCCATCGGCCCAAGTTGAACAGTTTCTTCTCGGCTCAAGGAGGTGGATGTGGTGGAGCACACAGTGATGCACCCTGGTCACAAGATGCTTCAGCCAGCATCAATGTGGCCATTGGAAAAGGAGACTTCCCCGGCAGTTGCTATGGCTGCGGGAAGAAGGGGTACTGTCGCTTCAAGTGCCCCGACTGTAAGGACAAGCCTTACACAAAACGCGCTGATGCATGGGCTACGGTTGCCTCAAGTTCTACTCAGGCCACGACAAGCACTCCCATCATAACATCATCCTCAGCAAATACAAGTGCCACTTCAGTGAATACCGAGCTGGCGGACTTGATGGCACAGGTGAAGTCAATGCGTGAGGAGCTTGAGCACTATTGGGCAATGAAGGAGGAGTCTTTTTGATCCAGTCCACGCTTCGTGCTGCACGCATCAGACCCCATAATAACAATCTGTACAATGTATTAGCGACTGCAAATGTGTACAAATTAGACCACGGATCTCAGCATTTTCACATTCTGGTGCACCTTAAAGGAGAAAGACGGCACAAAGACATAGTCGCAATGGTGGACAGTGGAACCACCACAAAGTTTATCAACAAGCATTTCATCCAGAAGAATCAAGTATGAACACAGAAATTGAAGGAACCAATTCTGCTTTATAATATTGATGGAACACTCAACAAAGATGGAAGCATCTCGGAAGTAGCTATGCTACAGATGCAAACAGGAGATCACATCAAGAAGACAGTGTTTATGGTCATGGACATCGGTCTAGAGGATGTGATCATTGGATTGGATTGGCTACATGAGCACAACCCCAAAATTGATTGGGAGACAGGATCTTTCAAGCTGTCATGATACCCCGAAATGTGCGGTGCCAGGAGGACTGGACGAATGGAGCAAGCAACGACTATGCATGATACAGGGGTCAGGCCCACGGCATATAAGTGTTTGCCAAAGTCCAAATGGTCGGTCATAGGTGTGTGCCGGAGTAAGGTACTCCTGGACTTTGAACCCAAAGAGGATCTGGAGGAGATTGAGCAGACAGAGGCTGACTTGATTGAAGCATGGGAGCGAGGTATCATGCTTCCAGGCACCCCTCAGTTGTTTGTTGCAGTGGGACATACATATTCCCAGTTGTTCGCTAAGGAAGAGATCAAGAAGAAGGTCGTTAAAACTGCCAGGGAGTCAGTACCGAAACAGTATCATAAGTTTCTAAAGGTCTTCTCCAAAGAAGCATCAGAATGGCTACCCGAAAGGAAGCCGTACGATCATGTGATCGAACTTGTGCCTGGTTACTCAACATTTCACTCAAAAGTATATGCCTTGTCAAACAATGAACAGGAGGAGCTGGACAAGTTCCTGAAGGAGCAACTGGTGAAAGGTTACATATGGAAGTCGAAGTCACCCATCTCGTCCCCCTTCTTCTTCATCAAAAAGAAGAAAGGGACACTTCGACCTATGCAGGATTACCGCCAGTTGAATGCGATCACCATCAAAAATTGCTATCTGCTGCCGCTAATTGCTGAGATGGTGGATAAGCTCCAAGGTGCTATGCTCTTCACAAAGTTCGGCGTCAGATGGGGATATAATAATGTTCGGATCAAAGCCGGAGATGAGTGGAAGGCTGCCTTTGTGACTAACTGGGGACTGTACGAACCCCTGGTGATGTTCTTTGGCCTCACTAACTCCTCCACAACCTTCCAGGCCATGATGAAGAAGATCTTCCACAATCTCATTGTTGGCAGCAAGGTTCTCGTGTATCTAGATGACATACTCATCTTCTCCACCAATAAGGAGGAGCATGAGAAGGTCACATGCGAGGTTCTTCATCACCTTCAGAAGAACAATCTATTCCTGAAGCTGGAAAAATGCGAATGGAATGTTCCCAAGGTCGACTACATCGGCTATGTGCTTGGTGGCGATGAGGTGGCGATGGATCCCACAAAGCTTAAAGGAATTAATGAGTGGCTGGTACCTCGGAACAAAAAAGATCCAAAAGTTTTGGGGGTTTTCCAACTTCTACCACCGCTTCATTAAAGACTTTGCTAAGATCTCGCGACCACTCGACTGGCTCACAGGGAATGACCCATGGCATTGGGGCGAGGAGGAGCAGCATGCCTTTGATGAACTCAAATGGCTCTTCACTACAACCCTGGTCTTGGTGTTGTATGACCCTAACCAGAAAATGTGCATCGAGGTTGACGCTTCGGGATATGCCACTGGCGGTGTGTTGATGCAGAAGCAGGATGATGGCAAATGGCATCCAGTTGCCTTCAGGTCTCACACTATGGACCCTGCCCAGTGTAACTATAAGATCTACAATAAGGAGATGTTTGCAATCATTGAAGCGCTAGACAAGTGACACCACTACCTCGAGGGCCTGCCTAATCAGTTCGAGATCGTAACCGATCATGAGAACCTCAAGTACTGGTGCACATCCCAGCACCTCACGTGTTGTCAAGGACAATGGTCACTGTTCCTCACCTGCTTCAATTTCTGCATCACACATAAAGCTAGAACATTGAGCAGAAAGGCCGATGCCCTGTCATGCCAGTCAGACCATCAGGTCAGCGATGAGGATGACAACACTGATCAGATTGTCCTCAGACAGGAGCACTTCTGCATTGCCTTTACATGGCGTGGGCATGCCTTGGTGATAGCCAATTAGTCACTTCTAAAGCGCATCAGGGAGTGTTTGGACAAGGATTGGGCAGTGGCTGAGACATTTGAAAAGGTGCAGAACCTTGGCCTGCCTCGACTGCAGAAGGGCTTTGAGGAGTGGAATGCCGAACAAGGGCTTTTGCTGTCCCACAGGTGTATATATGTCCCAAAGAATGCGAAGCTTTGGCGGGATATTGTCAAGATCCATCACAACTCGCCAATTGCGAGTCATGGCGGTCGTGCCAAAACCCTCGAGCTTGTGTCATGAAACTACTGGTGGCCAGAGATGTCTAAGTGTGTCAATGAGTATGTAAGCACCTGCGACATGTGCAACTGTACCAAGACATTCCCCACCAAACCCCAGGGTCCGCTGAAGCCGAACAAGATCCCCGAGCGCCCATGGCAGATCATCACCACCAATATGATTGTTGGCCTGCCAAAGTCTGATGGATTTGACTTGATCCTAGTCACTGCCAACCGCTTTACCAAGCAGGTCCACTTCTCGGCCTGTCATGAGACCCTGATGGTAGAAGGTGCAGCAGATCTGTACATCTGCAATATGTTCAAACATCATGGGGCCCCGGCCAAGGTCATATTAGACTGAGGTCCCCAGTTTGTGTCTAAATATCTCCATGTGGTGTATGAGGGACTTGGGATCAAGCCAGCACTATCCACGGTGTTTCACCCTCAGACAGATGGTCAGACTGAGTGCTGGAATCAGGAGGTTGAGCAGTATCTGTCACAATGTGCTCTGCCACAGTCCCCTGGTCGGCCTAGGACGATCCCCCGGTGGCGGGAGCCACCACACCATGTGACCACATGGTTGTATCAATTGCGGAGCAATCGGACCGGAGCACAGCTCCGGCCACACTTCTTTTGTTCCCTTGTTCCTGTGGCCAAGTGGCCCTTGTTCTACTTTTGGACTCTATTGTTCTCTTCCTTATTGTTCTGCCGTGGGAATGCTTTCCCTTGCTCATGTATATAAAGAGCTCTGTAGCGACCCTTTAATACACACTTCTGTGACCCACTTCGACTTCAGCCCCACTTGTGGCATTCAGTCCCTCAGTGCTAGTCCTGTGCAACTGCTCCCTGCGTCGCCTTCTGATAGATGTACTGCCGCTGCGACAGGAACATGGTGCGCTTCTTGCGATCCCTGGTGATCTCAATGCCCAGCAGGAATGTGGTGGGGCCAAGGTTGCGCAGCTTGAAGTGCTGAGAGAGCTCCTCGACTGTCTTGTCAATGGCAGCGCGCGAGGTGGAGGCCAGAGTGAGGTCGTCCACATGCACAGGGATGATAATGCGCACTTCATCTCGCAGGTAGATGTACACACTGCGGTCAGACTCGAGCCGCTTGAAGCCCATGGAGGTGAGCACCTGGTGCAGCTTCTTGTTCCACATGCGGCCAGCCTGCTTGAGGCCATAGATAGGACGGCCTAGACGCAGGACTGTGCCAGGGGGACCTTGAGCGAAGCCTTCAGGTTGCTGCATGTAGATTTCTTCGTCCAAGTCACCCTGCAAAAATGCGGAGGAGATGTCGACAGAGTGCAGCTCCAGATCCTCAATAGCAGTGAGGGCAAGGACAAGGCGCAGGGCAGCAGGGCGAGAGGTGGGCGCAAAAACCTCGGTGTAGTCAAAGCCAGGCCGCTGTGAGTAGCCCTTGGCCACAAGTCGGGCCTTGTACCG